ATTCTTTGGACAGGTTAAAGGGCACAGTATTTTCTGTACTTGTATTGTAAGACAAATGTAATAATATTGGTTTCTATAGAACAGGTGTTCCTTCAGTCAGGGTGGATATTTGAGAATCATTTTACTTTTCTGAAATGATTTATAACACAAAGCAGTCATGTTTCAAGTCTTTTAGACGAGTTCCCTTTGTTCGGAACAAGCAAATAGTCAATACTCTTCTCTAACAATATTTAGGGGCGGTGGTGTAGCCTAGTGGTTAAAGCGTCACACCGAAGACCCGGGTTCTATTCCCAACATGGGTACAATGTGTGAAGCCTATTTCTGGTGTCCACCGCCGTGATATTGCTGAAATATTGCTAAAAGCGGCGTAAAACTAAACTCACTCACTCTAGCAATATATCGAGATATCCGTTGTTCGGAACAAGCAAAGAGTCAATACTTTTCTCTAACAATATATCGAGATATCCGTTGTTTGGAACAAGCAAAGAGTCAATACTCTTCTCTGACAACATATCGAGATATCCGTTGTTCGGAACAAGCAGGGTGTCTAATCTCTTCATTAACAAGGTATCGAGATATCCATTGTTCGGGGGAAGCAGAGCGTCTACACTCTTCTTCACCAAGGTATTGAGTTAACCGTAGTTCGGAACAAGCAGAGTGACGATACTCCTCTTAAACGGTATATCGCTGAAATCCTTACATTATTAAAGATATATCACATCTAAATAGTACATTGTTAAAAATTTCAACATTCCTTCAACAGATACAATTTGAAATGGAACAAATCCCACTCCTAAGGAGAAAACATACCCTCAACATGTCTCCTCGTTTACTCCCATATCCCCATCACCCATATGCATATGGTCCTCCCCTGACTTCTATTAAGATGTGGTTTAACTATTCATTACTGTAGTGTTAGTGAGTGAGTGAGTTTAGGTTTACGCAGCTTTTAGCAATAGTTCAGCAATATCACGGCTGGGGACACCAGAAATGGGCTTCACACACTGTACTCATGTGGGGAATCGAACCCGGTTCTTCGACGTGTCGAGCGAACGCCTTAACCACTAGGCTACCCCACCAACCTCTGTAGTTTTACAAATGTGTAGAAGTACATGCCAAAGCCAGATTCAAATGTCACTTTTTGTCTTCTCGTGTTATCACTTTCTCGTCTCGTGTTATCGCTTTCTCATCTCGCGTCATTGCTTTCTCATCTCGCGTCATCGCTTTCTCGTCTCGTGTTATCGCTTTCTCGTCTCGTGTTATCGCTTTCTCGTCTCGTGTTATCGCTTTCTCATCTTGCGTCATCGCTTTCTTATGTCGCGTTATCGCTTTCTCGTCATGTTTTATTGCTGTCTCGTGCTATCATGAGTGAGAGAGTAAGTATAGTTTTCCGTCGCTTTTAGCGATATCACGGCGGGGGACAAAGAAATGGGCTTCACACATTGAACCCATGTGGGAAATCGAGCCTGGGTCTTCAGTATGACGAAAGCACAATTTCAACGAGTTTCCTCAAAACTTCTTTTATTCAATAGATGTATTTCTTTAAAAATGCATCGCTATTGTATCCCCTTTGTCTGTTTAATGCATTCAGCAAACATTCGGAACATCCCACTCAAGGCAGGACCCAGCGATACTGTTCTTGTGATTTAACACTTCCTTACGTCGGCGGATCTGACGCATGTACATATGCGCGGGTCACAATGACCTTACACCAGTCACATGGTGACCTTTCTGGCAAATTTCCAAATTCAAACTTCAAACAAATTGTATACAAACGTAACGCCACCTTCAGGTTGCCAAATCACCCCTCTTTTGATTAAACACTAAATCGCCTGGCGAACCCGTGTGCAAATTACGCATTTAAATCTCCAAATCATCATCATCATCATCATCACCTTGCACCTCCATCTATAAAACCTGAATGCCATGATCCGACGGGGCTAGATTCATCGACAACAGCGGACGGATTGTGCGGCCATCTCAATCGTTAACCAGCACTTCATACTACCTACACATTCTCACTGGACATATCTAATAAACTACATTTGTATATCTGTACACGTATGTACAGGTACATTCTCGGTCTCGCGTGTCGTGATTGAAGAGAATGTCCTTGACTTATGTGTGTATGTACGAGTATCTGACTCTGTTTGTAAGGGACAATTTGTCACGACCATTATTGCAGAACTCTATGTGCCAATGCTCGAGAATAACGAGTTTCGATTTTCCAAATTAAAATTGAGTAAAGACACCAGATGTTCGCTGAAGGGCGAGTGCTTGCCTCAGATGCATGTGCAAAGCTCTTTCGAACCGTAATCAAACAGTAGAATCTCATGCGGGCAAGGGGCGGTGGGGTAGCCAACAAGTCAAAACATTGATTACACAACAGTCTCGTTTCCTGTTGACTGGGTTCCGTCCTATTGCGCAACTTAGTACAATAACCATTTCAGAATTTTGAGACCAATTCATTTAACTGGATACATAAATATTAATCAGTATTATTTGATACATCTAAGCACTTGAATATGGCAACACTACGCTCCTTATAATCTTTGCAAACATGTCGTGCAGCGTGCTCTGACAAACAGAAACCTGGAAATCGTGGAAATCTCAAAACGAGGCTCTGCCGCTAGAAGAGTTTGGCGGTCTGGTACGGACCTGATATGATATCAATCACATTGTGCGTTACAGAACTACATTGAATAAGCGCACACAACACATAACAGGTGTCACCAGTGGGCTAGATGTATTGTGAATCATTTTACGATCTCGCCAAACTGGAGCAGTCTGTGACGTCTTAGTTAAGGTCATGCTGCCTACACCTCGATATAAAATATAGAAATACGATGTTATTATAAGTTTAAAAGTAAAATTCATTGATAAATACCATTTTCTTATGTAACAAGGAATTGGAATTCAGTGTAACCATAGTTGTTTATGATGTTTATTTGCACTTTCACACAGAGAAAATTCGGATCGGCTGAAAAGTAGGTCATTGTCTGAATTGGTTAATGAGACTCATGTTTTGGTTTGAGGTTAAAGCGTTCGCTCGTCACGCCGAAGACCCAGGTTCGATTCTCCACACAGGTACAATGTGTGAAGCCCATTTCTGGTTTCCCACTGACTGCAATTGCACGAGATGTCATGCATCGACGTGTTTCGATCAGTCAAAATATGAATGGACAAAGGTGCGTCACTGATAATAAAATATTGAATAAACCATTTACAATTACAATTACTATTACGAGATAACATGTTTGCGGCAAAATGGGTCGCAGAATACACCAGAGAGATCATCCAGTATAAATATTGATGTATAGGAACCAATCCTCTATCAAGAACGGAACGCAATACCGTAAATTCAAATGCAACGTCTGATACAGTCATTATGGAGGAGGGTCAGGGATGTTATTGCAGTTTTCGTTCAATTTGCGTTTAGATTTGTCATTTAATTCTTCCTTGAGGGGCAATCTTCCAGGATATTAAGTTAAACTGAGTTTTGGATAAGGTCATCTGCTATGGTTAATGGTACATCTTGTTACGAAAATATAGGGTGTTGCGAGACTTTTCCCCATGTGTATATGTTATAAAACTCATCGGAAGGTTTTAACATTGTAATTAACGCCATGCAAGGCACTTTGACAATGTCTCTGCCAAATTAATTAATTCATGGATTGACATTCTTAAAATAATTTCGACCGGCTCACATTGAAGGGGAAATGGGCTTCACACATTGTACCCATGTGGGGAATCGAACACATATCTTCGGCGTGACGAGCGAACGCTTTAACCGGTATAGGCTACCCCAAAGCCCATCAAACAACTCAGACTAACGCTGAGTCACTGAATATATGTAGCTTCTATACAAACAACAAAATCTACTGAAATTAAAAAATAGCCCCCGTTAGTTGAGAAATTCAGACTTAACCGGAGGAAAATTTAGACTTGCTTCGTTTAGAGCTGTGTCATTACAGAAGGGGCATTAGAGCTGTGTCGTTACAGAAGGGGCCTGGTGGAAGTGAAAATAATGTGGTTCTGAGACTATGAGACAGGCTACAGAAACCGCCACATTTGGAGTAATATGTCACAGTTTTCCGTGCCGTGCCGTCCACTTTGTACTGATAAATCAATAAACGCGTACGGATAGACCAACTGATAACTTATCGGATGCATATTAATGTACTACATGATTTTTAAAAGGCACAGACGCGAGACAAATGCATTGGTTCAATAACATCAAACTACACGTGTGGTGAACAGCAACTTTATCCCTAATTGCCGACACGGCGATTGTTTGTTATGAAGAAATTGTGGTTAAGGCTCTTAAGCTATATATTTTAACTATTAATTTCGGACACTAAGGTTATTAACTTCCAGTGTTATAAACCTGGACCAACGCGTCTGGTATTCACACACTGCAACAATACTTCAATTATTAAACAATGGACAATGTTTCAATTATTAAACGAAGGAACAACAATTCCAGTACAGAAAATATTGGAACAATACTTGCAGTATTGAAACAATGGGACAATATTTGCAGTATTGAAACAATAGAACAATACTACCAGCCCAAAACATGTCTTCTGTTGGCTTTTCCGCTTTGTCCCTCTGTTTACTAAGTTTGTAGATACAGCAACAACCCGTGAAGATCCGGGTTAGAACTGAACTTCAGTAACCCATGTTTGTGAGAGGCGACTGCCAGGATCAGGTGGCCAGCTGCAGGTTCACAAACGTGGTTGACACATGTCATCGTATCCCAATTACGTAGATCGATGCTCATGATGTTGATCAATGGACTGTCTGGACCAGACTCGGTTATTTACAGACCGCCGTCATATAGCTGGAATATTGCTAAACAGTACAGGAACAAGTGTGATGAAAATGGTGAGGTGACTCAGGGATACCCCACCTGACCAACACCATGTACATATATCATACAACTAAACAACATTAAACAATATTCACGAAACACTTTGCGAACACCATGTAATACTTACTGTGTCAAAATACGAGATAATCCCCACGGACGTCAAGGCAATGTTCAGTCAACGGCCCAGGTAGATAAGTCAGGTATTAATGTCAAGGTGACACAGGTGAACAGCTCAATCATTTTCGTTACCATGGAAACGATAGATTACTGAAACTGTGTCCGATGATACTGACGAAGTTCATGTGAGCTGTGTGTCACGCTGTGTGTCGGTGCTTTCTAATGAACGTGTTACGAACGCTCAACAAGGGCTTCCTCATCACCCAGATCGAGCAATCGCGTTGAGATGCAGGACGTAGTTTTGTGTAATAACCACCTCGTGTTAATCCGGGACAAGCCGATTGGAGCTCCCTCTTCGGGTTACGGTAACGGACGAGTAGTCACAAACCTGTAGGTATCAGCCCGAAGGACACAAGTACGATATGTACAAAGGTCACACGCAACTTGACTGCCTAACTGTGGGATAGTGCGTCGGGGCATCAGCGGAGGTTGGGTTGTATCTCTCAACGAGCTTGATGGCTGAACGCTACTTTAGACAGTACTCAAGCTATGTCGAGTTATATAATAATAACAATGGACAAGTTGCAGCGCGTGGGGATAAACCTGCATTATCCTTGCAACGGCACTTACTGACGTTCCCGCTTCCAGCATGTCAACGTGACGTTCACGCTGCACATTTGAGAGGCGCGGCATAGGAATTCGGCAACAGTGATTTAAAGTGTTTTTTCACTTTGTACTGTTGATTGGAACATGTGCGTTCAAATGCACGGGCAATGATAAGATCACGTGACCAGTGGCACGTGAAAAACACGTTTTAGCACTTTAGTGGGGTGCACGATATTGACTTAAATGTGCTGTTGTGCGGTTTTTTTCTTGAGTCGATACCAGGGGATTAATATTATGATACCCGATATACTATACTAAATATGAATTGTGAAGCTTTTATTTTGACTCGGTATACGAGGTGTGTTTATATATTGACCATGAATTGATGCAGAATGAAAAGGCATGTAAATAGATATTTATGTGAAAAGGCATGTAAATAGATATTTATGTGATTCAGTTTGATGTTTGATGTTGTGGAAATGTGTTGAGATGACCCCTGGTGACTTCTATTGTTGTGCCAATCATCACGCTTGACTGCATCACACATTGTGAACAACAGGTGGTGGCAGTGTGAGGAGGGTGTCAGCCCGATCTGTCGACAAATGAAAAATAGGATATCCCTAACTGTCGACAAAACAAAAAAAACCCGGAATGTCGACATCGCGTGGTCAACATACCGTGACGGTGTTAATTAATGAAAGAGAATGTTTGCTTAGTGGTTGCAAGTGGCCATGGCGGCTACAGCTATGCCCGTATCATGAGTAAATGAATTAAGTAGATTAAAGAGAATGTCGTTTTAACAATTTGCAAGAGAATTAAGGTTGCAAAAACAGATTATTATTTTACGTTATGCGAGTGGAAGGATTACCATTTTGGAGTTTAACATGCAACAACATGAGAAACGGAGAGCTTACAAATTATTTTGTGATATTGGGAGTAGAAGGAAACAGACTGCAGCGACTCAGGGACTTCAGCTTTCTCCTGATGTGTTTCAGTTGGACTTTGAACGTGCATCTCACAACGCCTCCAGTATTGTATTTCCAAATACTCAGCTTCGTGGCTGCTTCTTGCATTACACCCAGTGCATCTGGCGTCGCACACATCTTGGCTGAACATTCAGATTACTTTAGTGCAGATATAAAGGTGTTTTGGCAAGAAGAAATAACTGGACTCATCTTTTATATATTTATTACTTATACACCTGCAGAAATTACTTATTTATATAAAACACACACAAATATATTGTGTGAGCTTTATGAAATATATGAACAAATACGCTATATTATGTGACATATGATACATGCATGTTGTTATATTGACTGAATAAATATATTGTCTATATATATCACACTCTGTTTTAATTAGTTTGTTAATTCGAGAACACTGGGAGTGAAGTCACTCATGTAGAACATCACCTCCCTTTTCCCGGGCTGTCGACAAGTATTTTGGACGGATTATTTCTTGTTGTCGACAGTCCGGGCATAAACCGTGAGGAGATGCCGGAGTCTGCTTATGCTTACAAGGTAAAATAGCTGCAATGTTAAATAAACAACTAGTGGTTTTGAATTTTACTGCCTTTAACCTTCCAGACAGACAGGCAGATATTTTATTGAATTCTCACCTCATGTAAAAGTACAGATATATACACATACACATAATATACATAATTTAAGGGTTATGAGGGACTATAATTAAGGTAACCTCCCATTACCCCTACATGCCACTACCCCTACAGCTTATAACAACATAGTTTATGGTCTGTTGCATAACTAATCTCCTGCCTGTTACCTATTCCATACAGTGGACTGGTCCACTTAAGATGCACAACATGACACAAGACAGATTTTAAAAGTGACTTTAATACATGTGTTATCACAAAGTACCACATCATTGAGATCAATTGTCAAGTTTTTCAGTCTATTTACATTCAGTGTTTTAATCATCTCATCTCATATCACATCAGGATAAGAGAAAAACCAAATTATTACATTATCAAAAGTGTGACCTTAATACATCACACATTGAGATCAATAATTGTCAAGTTTTTCAGTCTATTTACATTCAGTGTTTTCATATCATCATATAAGGATGAACAAAAGATCACATTATCACAAGTGTTTCATATCAACATATATATGTTGTCACGATGTAGTCGTTGAAGTCGCCAGCTCTTGGGACGTCAGGAGTGTCATCCATGGCTTCAATCCAAGTGTCTTGGACCGCGGCTTGAGGAAGTAGAGGTAGTCCAGCTGCTCTCCTGATCCACTTGGTGACTTCGGGGTTTTCCTTGTAGGCAACAGCTAGTCCAAGATCCTGAACCGTCCTCCAGATGGCTTGACAGAAATGGAAGAAACAGCCCTTCACGTCAGCAGTGGGAAATTCTGTTTCTATGGCGTGGATTGCTGCTAGCTCAAAATCGGTCTGGATGCAGGCAGGATCAAGCGGTCTGTTGAGTCTCTGCTGAACTTCATCCTTGAGCAATCGGAAGAGTCTGGAGTAGGTTGTTGTCTGGCGGTCCGGAAGAAGGGCGAAGATGAGGGGATATGTTGAGCTGCCACGTCTTGCATGGATGATGTATACTTGATTCCACAGTGCAGGACAGGCTGTGAAAGTTCCATCCATGTAGAGGTTATAAATAACATCATCGTTACCGACCTACATAACTACATTCACGGAGTTGACTCTCGTACAAGAGGATAATCTAATAACAACATTGCACAAATAAGCAATATTCCAGCAATATCACGGCGGGGGACACCAGAAATGGGCTTCACACATTGTACCCATGTGGGGAATCGAGCCCGGGTCTTCTGCGTGACGAGCCAACGCTTTAACCACTAGGCTACCCAACCGCCCCATATACATATACAGTATAAGTAAAATATGCTACGACAAGTCGCTCAGCGACCTATCAGAGACATCTTAAAACATGCAAGTAGGCTACTCAAACACAAGTATAAAAATAAAACAAAATACAGCACTATAAAATGGTTATGTAAATAAGCCATATAATATTTCACATGACATGACACAAGATACCAGACAAGGACCTGAACACTTTCAGTTATGTTACGCCGTACCAGGTAAGTCTTAAGCCGGGCCAGTAAGTGCGGGAGGATAGCCTGAAGTCATGCCTGTAGCGAAACCACAGGCAACAAACCTTGCAGCAAAACTAACCCCATCTTCGATAACTCCAGGGTATACTTTCCCTGGAGTTATCGAGGATGAACTAACCCGTGAGTATGATTTGAAGACATGTCAACACAGGACGAAAAGTCGGAATGTACGTCACTGAAACTTACAAAAGGAAATACATGCTAAGATCGGATTTGTGTATGTTTTCCGTTAACTTTTCGGGCGCTTATTTTTTTATATGAAGCTAACCTTTGAAACATGTGCATATCGTATATTGCCGTATGGATGTTGCAGTGTTGTATATATGTCTGTATGTTACATACTGTTTGAGAGGCATACTTGAAGTTGCAATTGATTATCATCTTGTTTATCATCCATTGTCATTGTACGTACGTACGTATGTATGTGTGTATATATCATTCTCATGATGATCACATTGACAGTGTGAAACCAGTTAGAATTGAAGAAATTAAATCTGTACCAAGGATCTTCAGACTTCTGTCTTTTATATGTATATATCTAGTGTTAAACCCCAATTAAAGTTATACATCCTTTTGTTGAGTTAACGTTTGTGAACTTCTTCAGTCAAGGACTTCATTAAGCTAATTGTATTTGGAAGGGGTGAATTTGCATACCTCTTGGTTCTACAGATGATTTTTTTTGTAAATACAATCGGTTTCTAAGATGCAATTACTTATCTCAGCAACTGTGTCTAGTACTATTTCAGTTAGATAATCTGGTGCCATGCGGTTGTTCATTAGGGATCATTTCTGGAACTATTAATTCATCAGGATTAATATATTTCAATATTGTGGTGTTTTAGTCGCTTAACCTTTAATGAATATATTGAAAATAATCTGGTGCATAGCACTTTGGTACAATTGTGGTCAGATAGCACGACACATGGTGAGATAGTGCCTGATCTTGCTGTCTGTATTGGCCCCTTGAAATCTACCCAGGTATTTGACAGCTGTATCTCGTGTATCCACCACGATGACAGTTGACAGTTGCCACCCTTTCTCCAGTTGATTACTAAGTGCCAGCTCGCTGTGGAAGGAAACATGAATTGCTGCAGGTGTCACACGCATACTGAGACCAACAAAGATGGTTTGAGTACCGACATTCAAGAAACACCATCAGTGAGTGAGTTTAGTGTCACGCCACACTCAGCATTATTGTGCGGAATATTGATTATTAAATGTTGTGACTAAAATAACACAATATTGAAATATATTTATCCTGACGAATAAATAGTTCCAGGGGCCAAATCAGTGAGCCTGACCACCTGCTCTCTCTCGTTAGGACAAGCATGGGTTACTGAAGATTCTAACCTGGATCTCCACAGGTGAAACACGATCAGGGCAATCAGGATTCCAACAAACAAGTGATGCAACTCTGCACAGAGAATTGACCTGCTTCAAGCAACCCAACATAATAATAGACAACATTTTCTTCCAAGATGACTTTATTCATAGTTCTCATTACAAACGTAAGACTGCGTAAAGTTACAGTCCATGAGGTCTGCCAGAAAACAGGGCAAAGAAGACAAGTAAAAAGAGGTGTGTTTGGTAAGTCACTCATGTATTTGTTTTAATCAGTACACAACAGACAGCATCAATGCTATCAATAATTTACAAGTCAAGGAGGTCCACAAAAAACAGCTGATATATTTTTTTCATGCTTATGTATTCATAAAGCCCATCTTTTAAAAATTGCAATTACCATTATAGGAAGAGTGTTTGTTCGGGCAATCTCAAAATAAAAATTATCAGTGTAAAATTCATAAAATGTGTGAAGACTTATCACCAAATCTTGGATTTCAATGAAGGACAGGAGTTCAAATTAATAATAGTGACATGATATCTCAGTACAAAAATACAAATTTCAGTTTTACAAAAATATAATAAAAAATACACTGCTAGCATGACTACAGCACCCTCAAAAAGTTCATGTACTTTATAACTGATCCACACAAGAACACCAGTTTCAGGAATGTCTCATTTTACAGAATTTGTTAATGTTATATTTTAGTAAATTAATATGTTTGATCCCAATCTTAAAAGGCAGTGGTGTCGAGTGACTTAAATTTTACTATAAATGTTACAGTCATTCATACTAGCCTTGTTTGAAAATTTGAATATGATTGAAATATTTAAAACTAAAATGAAACAACATAAATATCACTACATATTTCCTGACTGTGTGAAATAATCTGGCTCTGGCTCAAAGACAGGACTGATGATGCTTTTTGACCCCACTGGTGTTCTTGGAGTGGGGCTCAGAACTTCTGCAACCTGGGAGATCTCTTCATTCAGAGTGATCTCCCCTGACAGTGGCCGGTTCCAAGAATCCTCATAAGGGTTCTGGATCTGCTGCTTTCTTGAACCTTTCATTTCCTGAAAATAGAAATGTGAAAATATTGCAATAATCACATAGATATTCCACAAGGTACAAATGGATAGAATAATACACAATATACATAAAGCACATATTTTTTTCAGCCAATGAAAATATTTCACCTTCATAAGATGACCAACGAAAAAGTGGGATAGAATTGACCTTCATTAACACATGCTTGTTGTAAGAAACAACTACTGGGATTGGGTAGTGAAGCTTCTGACTTGGTTGATGCATGCCATCAGTGCCAAATTGATGAGTTAGATGTTCATCATGTCAGCCTCTGATTCAAGACATAAAACAACAAAAACGCTTGCCATCGAGCTGAGAGAAACATGGAATAAAAACAGTGTAAATACTGTAGAATTATCATCTACAAAGGCACTAATATTTAACAAATAAGTGTGGTTTCCTAGGAATTGTCTCCAAATTATAAATACCCTGCAGAATGTTGCCAATGGCAACACATTCCATCGCTATATTGCACTTAGCTGAGATATGGAATTCATTTCACTGACAGCTCTGACTAATGACTTGGAAAACCTATGTAATTTCACATAAGGTTCTGTGAAGCCTACAAATAACAGATTGCTTTACAAATATTCTAAGCCAATATATAAATATAATAAATGGTGAAAGATTGATTGAAATGAAGGAGTTCAATTACAACTGAACACAGGAATGTTACTACATATGTGTGTCTGTGTCTGTTTGTATGTGTATGTATATATGTATATTTCATAATTCAGGACCCGTGAAGATCCAGTCTTCAACAACACATGCTTGTCCTAAGAGGCGACTAGCGGGATCGGGTGGTCAGACTTGCTGACTTGTCACCGTATCCCAACTGCACAGATCGATGCTCATGCTGTTGATCACTGTATTGTCTGGTCCAGACTCCATTATTTACAAACTGCCGCCATATAGCTGGATTATTGTTGAGTGCGGCATTAAACAACCAACCAATCATAATTCAGGAACTGTGTTGCTTTTAAGGCTAGCTGTTTTTAAGTGAACAAAAACATCTGGAAATGTAATGTAACTGAAACTGAACTACACACAGGAAAATGTTTGAATCACACATGACTGGTATGGAAAATCTCCGAAACATTACACTTTCAGAACAAAATGAAATCATAAGATAGAAACTATGTCGATATCTCTATTGTACGAGGACCCGTGAAGATCCGGGGTAGAATAAGTCTTCAGCAACCCATGCTTGCCACAAAAGGCGACTATGCTTGTTGTAAGAGGCGACTAATGGGATCGGGTGGTCAGGCTCGCTGACTTGGTTGCCACATGTCATCGGTTCCCAATTGCGTAGATTGATGCCCATGCTGTTGATCACTGGATTGTCTGGTCCAGACTTGATTATTTACAGACCGCCACCATATAGCTGGAATATTGCTGAGTGCGGCGTTAAACTAAACTCACTCACTCACTATTGTACGAGACAGGTTGATTGCAACATTACTTTGTGAAAATACATATATCTATGTCCTGATCCAGAAAACGTTCATAGCATTACGACTGATTGTAATTCTATACTTTATCTTGGGATTACGGATGAAGTAGTGCTACAAATTCTTTGATGATGGGGTCCGTGGCTATCGAGTTAGACTCAATAAGATTCATCAGATATTTAGTCTGGTACATCACAAAAACAGGACAAGTCTATCTGATTCATTACTAATCACTGACCGATGGGACAGAACGAATTCTTCTCTGATCAGGAGTGGTGGTACCACAGGTGGGGTCAGGGCGTCCACCATAGATTACCCATGATGCACCTGAATCCTGGGAATGTCGCCGGAATGGTTCATCCTGTACAGTAAAACAAGTCTTCTTGAAATAATAATAATGTGAAATATTTTCAAAATGAAAATATTTAAAGAAGAAACTGTCAAATCATTCATTTAATTTTTTTTAATTTCACAAAACAAAATTTATAAATTTTAATATTAGTTTATATAACATGTTATACTGAAATGATCAAATAGGGCCTGGGGTTACTTGTTTCTCATTAAACCCATAAGAAGAAAAAAACCACACACACAATTTTCTGCAAAACTTACACTATGAAGTAAAGCCAGAATTCAACCAAACATAAATGCATGTAAAAACTCACCAAGGAAAGCTCATCTCCATCAGAATCCTGCAACCAATAGCATGTATGTTATTAATCTCTTCACAGACATTGCATTTCTATCAAGCTTTAGTATTGAATGGCAGTTAATGTCTCTAATTAAAGCGTGTGTCAGTATCACACAGAGATGTATTGCTGGCATACTACGATTTGAAATATTAATCAATACACTTTACACATTGCCCAACTTTACACCAGTTATGAGTCATACTGGATCGGAATTATCAAATTCAGAAACTAGCTCTGTCAATAATCTGTACAATGAGAGTCACCCTTTCCCTGGAGGTGATCCTCAATCTTGTAACAGGGGCTGATGACAATCAAATCATTGACATTATTTAGATTTTTTTTTTTAATTGGTAAAAAAAATATTAAAAAATATCAGAAATTAGCAGCTGATACCACTGATCGATTAAGCTGTCAGCTTATATGTATCACGTTCTGACCACAGCAAAAACAAGCAAAATGGCAACAATGACAAAGTTGTAAAAAATGTGGGGATGAATTAAAATGGGTCCATTTCAGGCTTAAAAACATGATCAGAAAATTGCTGATGTCATCACTGTTCATACACTGTGACTCTCCTGTGAAATATACAGCAGGAACCAAACATTTAAATGTGGCAGGTTTTATAAATTACAGATGAACAACAATGCACATGCAGTGGCCATAAAATTTCCGAATAGGGATTCAAACGACAGATCTGATTCGAAGTTGGACGCCTTGTCCACATGACCAAAGACGTTAACCCTGTCAGCATAAGAATATCTTTTATGGGATGACCCCACGCCCTGCTCAACACATAATATATTGTGGTACACATTGTAATAAAATACTTATCCATTGACCAAAATGGTCACTCAGAATAAACATCTTTACTGCATTACCTGGTAAGCCTGGTTTACAAAAGCAGTGTCCTTTCCTTCACTACTAGTCTGGCTACCGGCCCGGCACCTCAGTTTCTTGAAACATGTGGACCACTTCAGACGGCTGAAAGGTGAGAGAGTGAGTTTTTAGCAACCTACCTGCAAAATCACTGCAGCGGACATGAGAAATGGGCTTCACACATTGCACCCAAGTGGGGAATTGACCCTGGGTCTTTGGCGTGACAAGCGAACACTTTAACCACAAGGGTACCCCACCACCAAGGTGAGTAAGAAGCTGAGTATATTATTTTACTTATATCATAATGAATGAGATTTGAAACCAAAATCATATGTTCCTGGCATGCCTAAGGTATTGGGGGAAAAAAAAGAGAGACAGGTGCACCCACATTCTTTGGTATAGAGTGTTGCTTCTAACATTGATCACTGGATTGCCTAGTCTATTCATGATTTTTATAGGCATCATCAAGCATGAAAACAAGCAAGTAAAACATTTCGTGGGATTGACAACTCAACTTACCCACGTTTGACCATAAAGATGTACCATGCCAGTACTGATATTATGACAAGCAGGATCACTGCCAGAACTATCAGCCCGATCATCCACGACTCAAAGCCATCACAGTTCGGCTTGTTTTCTGGACATGCACAGTAGTATCTGTTGACATCGTTATAGCAGGTATATGGCCAACTGCAAGGGCTGCTGAAGCACTCGTCCACATCCTGCTCGCATCGACTCCCCGTCCAGCCCGGTGCGCATGCACAGGTGTAGTAGCGGTCAAAACTTTCAGCCCTTCGCTGGTCGTTGCATGTGTACAGACTCTCGTTTCTGCCTGCAGTCAGATAACAGTTAATGTTTTTATATTTTAACAGACCTGTGATCTGGGTTATAAGATCTTCATCATTCTGAACTTACATTAGCATGTTCCTCATTCGGAACTTACATAAGCGCATTCAGTTGCTCTGAACTCACATAAACATGTTAGTCATTCTAAATTACATGAGTGTGTTCAGTCGTTCTCAACTAACATAAACATGTTAGTCATTCTAAATTACACGAGTGTGTTCAGTCGTTCTCAACTAACATGAAACCCATGAAGATCTAGGTTAGATCTTCAGTAAACCATGCTTCTTGGCAATTAACGGGTTTTGGGTGGTCAGGTTCGCTGACTTCGTAGACACATGTCATTGTATCCCAATTGCGTAGATTCATGATCATGCTGTTGATCACTGGATTGTCTGGTCCAGACTCGATTATTTACAGACCGCTGCCATATAACTGGAATATTGCTGAGTACAGCATAAAACTAAACTCACTCACTCGCTCACTTGCTGAACAAACATGAACATGAGGTTCTTGAGACGGGTTTACTCCCAAAAGTTAGGCGGCTGATTTTTTTTGCTGGCGCTTTGGTGCCTGACTCATTTGGTGTCATTTTACCTGATGAAGGGGCAAGGATTAGCCCAGAAACGTTGAAGAAAAAGAAGTTGACATCCATAATATTTTGTCTTAAACATGAACATGTTCAGTCGTTCTGAACTTACTTGAACATGTTCCGTCGTTCTGGCAAGGCCTGGCCATGACAGCCAGTCTGACTGTGATGACATCGGAGTAGACTCCCGCCTTATCCTGAGTGTACATCCGGACCTCGTCGTACCCAGTGTAACCAGTGTCTGGGATGTACTGGAATGTTCTGTATATCCAGCTGACTGCAGTGGGGGAGTGAGGCAGAGACAAGTTGGAGCAAAGGATGCCAGTCTGGAAGAAAGTTGTGGCATGGAACATGGGTGGGAAAACAGGAAAAAGGTGGAATGATAGGTGAAATGGTGTTTAAACTTGTGTTCCAGATATTTTCACTAATACAAGTGATATGCCGACATGAGTGTGTTGCTGCTTGTACTTTTCCTTCTGAGATATAACATGGCTATGCTACTGAGACACTAAATCCATATCATATGTTGTTATGCTTCAATTACATCCCTCATTTTGAAAGAGGGAAGCTTAATATAATAAACTCAGGTTATCAAGTGTTCGACTAAATGAGCAATGATCCAAGCTTTGGTGGATGATGTACACCTGTAGCCAAGTCACACATTGCTATCATCCAACCCTCCTTAAACTGCTGAAGTCAGCATCAGGTGCCCAGGATCATTACCCTGGACCTACAACAGGCAGGTCAATATCCTAACCAACCCGTGAAGATCAAGGTTAGAATTGATCTTCAGTAACTCATGCTTGTCGTAAAAGGTGATTGATGGAATTGGGTTGTCAGGCTGGCTGACTTGGTTGACACGTGTCATCGTATCCCAACTGAGTAGATCGATGCTCATGCTGTTGATCACTGGACTGTCTGGTCCAAATTTGTTTATTTACAGACTGCTGCCATATAGCTGGAATATTGCTGAGTGTGGCGTAAAACTAAACTCACTCAATATCCTTACCGTTTCTGCCGAGCAGTTTGGCACCTGTGCTGACTCGTCATCATATGTGAGCGTCCCATTGCCGGGCTGGGTGAAGTACATTGTCAAATTCTCAGCAGGGTCAACGTCATAAGCACCGAACATCCACTCGTAGGTGATGGAGCTGTCGTTGACAAGGTTTTGCTCGATTAGTGTCTGCAAATACAAAGACATACATACAGGGACATGATTCACATAAATCTCAAGGAATGTATTGTGTGAATGCCATCAACAATCCCGGCAAAATTATTTTTACCAACAATACATTGGTTCTACAATATACAGGTTTGAAAAGAATGTGTGATTTGTTTGTGGCTACCGCTGGACTCTGGACACCAGAAACGGGGTTCACACAATGTACCCATGTGGGGAATCGAACCCGGGTCTTTAGCAGACATTTTAACAATTAGGCCCCTTGTTCTGAAATGAAGATAAAAAAATGGTTGGCACAATCTCATGTATTTTGTCGTTAACCATGCCTTGCCCCACATCCACTCACCATGATAGGCGCAGTTGGGTCAGCCAGAATGAGGCTAACTCCTCCACTGAAGGCGAACACGCTGGGAGCATCGTTGTCTGCTGTGACCTGGATGGCGATGATGACAAGGGTGGAGGCGGCGGGGATGTCCACAACATCCACCTCGTAAAGGACGACCGGAACAGTAAAGGTTCCGTAGTAGTTCAAGGCCGGTGTGAAGGTCAAGCTGGAAGGAACATGAAGCTGCATCAGACATGGCGTGAGTGAGTGAGCTAGTTCTTGAGTGAGATATTATTTTTCTATCAGTTACTTTGAAAATATTTCCACGATAAATATATGATACCGTAGCAATTTTTACTCACATTACATCATCTCCTACTCACACCATCACATCCCCTACTCACACCATCACCAGCCCCTACTCACACCATCATCAGCCCCCACTCACACCATCATCAGCCCCCACTCACACCACACCAGCCCCCACTCACACCATCATCAGCCCCCACTCACACCATCATCATCCCCCCACTCACACCATCATCAGCCCCCCCTCACTCACACCTCACACCAGCCCCCTACTCACACCATCATCAGCCCCCTACTCACACCATCATCAGCCCCCCACTCACACCATCACCAGCCCCCTCACTACACACCACCACCATCCCTCACTCACACCATCACCAGCCCCTACTGACACCATCACCAGCCTCCCACTCACACCACCACCAGCCCTACACTCACACCACCACCATCCCTTTTATCACTTCACACCATCACCAGCCCCAACTCACACCACCACCATCCCTCACTCACACCATCACCTACACCACACCATCACCAGCCCCCACTCACACCATCACCAGCCCTAACTTCACACTCACATCCACCACCATCCCCCCACTCACACCACACCAGCCCTAACTCACACCACCACTACCATCTCACTCACACTATCACCAGCCCCTAACTCACACCATCACTCAGCCCCTACTCACACCATCATCAGCCCCCACTTCTCACACCATCACTATCCTCACTCCACCTATCACTCAGCTCCCTACTCACACCATCACCAGCCCTAAATCACACCATCATCAGCCCTCACTCACACCCACCACTTATCCCTACTCAGCACTCACACCATCACTAGCTCTACCACACCATCACCACTCCTTCACACTATCATCAGCCCCACACTCACACCATCACCAGTCCCTCTATCACACCATCACCATCCCTTCACACCATCACACCATCATCAGCCCCCACTCACACCATCACCAGCCCCTCATTCACACCATCACCAGCCCCCACTCACACCATCATCAGCCCCCCACTACACACCATCACAGTCCCCACTCACACCATCACCAGCTCACTCACACCATCACCAGCCTCTACTCACATCCCCTTCCACACCAGCTCACCACTCCACCCCACTCTCACACCATCACCAGCCCCCACTCACACCATCACCAGCCCCCACTCACACCACACCAGCCTTACTCACTCACACCATCACTCCTCACACTCACACTCACCACCAGCCCTAACTCACTCACATCACCTACTCACACCATCACCAGCCTTAACTAACACACACACCATCACCAGCCCCTACTGACACCACACTAGCTCTCATCCTTACCACACACAATCACCAGCCCCTACTCACACCACACCAGCTCCAACTAAAGCACACACCACCATCCCTTACTGTACCTCTCTACACACCAGCTCCTAACACTCACACCACACCAGCCCCTACTAACACCACCACCACACCAGCCCTATCCTTTTTACTTCACACCACACCAGCCCCTACTCACACCACAACCATCCCTACTCACACCATCACCACCAGCCCCTACTACACACCACAACCATCCCAACTCCACACCACCCTACTACACAGCCCCTACTCACACCACCACAAGCCCCAACTCACACTCACACTCAGCCCTTACTAACACCACCACTATCCCTTACTCACACCACACCAGCCCCTACTTCACACCACACACCCTTTCTCTCACACCACACCAGCCCTAGTCACACCACACACACCCCCTAACTCACACCACCACCAGCCCCTACTAACACTACATACCAGCTCCAACTACTACACCATCACACCAGCCCCTACTCACACCCACACCAGCCCTACTCACACCACACACACCACAACCATCCCTTACTACACACACCACACCAGCCCCCTACTTTCACACCACACACCAGCCCCAACTCACACCACACACACCATCCCTACTTCACACCACCACTCACTCTTACTTTACCTACTCACACCACACCAGCCCCTACTAACACCACACAACCATCCCTTACTCACACCACACACCAGCCCCTACTACACCACACCAGCCCTACTACACCACACCACCCCTACTACACACACTACACTATCCCCTACTCACACCACACCAGCCCCTACTCACACCACACCAGCCCCTACTCACACCACACCAGCCCCTACTACCACACCATCCCCTACTAACACCATCACCAGCCCCTACTCACACCACACACCAGCCCCTACTCACACCACACAGCCCCACTCACACCCAGTGCCCCTACTCACACAATCACCAGCCCCTACTCACACCACCACCATCCCTTACTCACACCATACCAGCTCCAACTCACACCACACCAGCCCCAACTCACACCACACCCAGCCCCAACTCACACCACACCAGCCCCTACTGACACAATCACCAGCCCCTACTCACCACCCTCACACACCATCACACCACACCTCACCATCCCTTACTCACACCATACCAGCTCCAACTCACCACCACACATCCCCTACTCACACCACACCACCAGCCCCAACTAACTCACCACACCATCACCAGCCCCTACTCACACCACTCACCAGCCCTACTGACACCTCACCACCAGCTCCCAACTAACACCACCACACCAGCCCCTTACTGGACACTACACACCACCAGCCCCCCTACTAATACCATCACCCCCATCACTCAGCCCCTACTCACACCACACCAGCCCCTACTAACACCACACACCATCCCTTACTCACATCACACCAGCCCCTACTCACACCACACCAGCCCCTACTACACACCAACTCACACTCACACCAGCTCCTACTCACACCACACCAGCCCCTACTAACACCATCACCAGCACCATCACCCTTGCACTCACACCCATCACCAGCCCCTACTAACACCATCACCATCCCTTACTCACACCACACCAGCCCCTACTAACACCATCACCAGCCCCTACTAACACCATCACCAGCCCCAACTCACACCACACCAGCCCCTACTCACACCACACCAGCCCCAACTCACACCACACCAGCCCCTACTCACACCACACCAGCTCCTACTCACACCACCACCAGCCCCTACTCACACCACCACCAGCCCCTACTCACACCATCACCAGCCCCAACTCACACCACACCAGCCCCTACTCACACCACACCAGCCCCAACTCACACCACACCAGCCCCAACTCACACCACACCAGCCCCTACTCACACCACACCAGCTCCTACTCACACCACCACCAGCCCCTACTCACACCACCACCAGCCCCTACTCACAGGCCATTTGGTGTCAGCGTCAGGTCCCTTGTACTTGCTACATCAGATGATGGGTCGATTCTAAACTTGACTATGTCCCCATCAGGATCAACGCCAGACAGCTGGTAAATCAGGGTGCCTTGAAAAGAAGGCAAAACTCATCAATATAATCCAATTATATACATATTTGTTGACAACCAATTAGGCTAACTTTACACAACAAGGTATGCATCACTGAGTCCATCCTCCAAGTGTGAAATTATTACTCCAGACAGTGATCAGTCTACCTTCAAACTTTATTCTCAACAGCCTAAGAAGTTTACATCCCAACTTGCCTTTCAAGGTACGAGAACGTTAACAATCACATTACCACATCCTACTTGGTACCCCTTCATTGCTAGTTGAACAGAGGGATTCATGTTTGCCCCTGTTTTTTACATCAGTGCAGATGAATGCTTATATTTGAACAGTATCTGTGTTCTACAGGTGTTATACATTTTTAATATAAATAAAATGTTTTTAGCAATATTAACCCCCCCAAAATCAGGCATATTGATATTCTAACAATGCTGACAATACAAATTTCTTCTCAAATGTTCATTTTCATTTTGTCATGAAAATCAATGAAGTCAACAGATCAATATTGATTCAATAACTGACAGGTTAATTTTACAGTGTGGCAGCAAAGAACTCCATAAACAGTGTAAATGTAACTTACTGATCGAGATGTGCATAAGGAAATAAAGAGCCTACCAGAATCTTCCTCCATTGAGACAGAGGTTGTGGATGTCAACTGTGGTGGATCATTAGGTATGGATGCACGGACATTGGTCACTACAAAGAGTGTTTCATGACTGAAGAAAGTGTCACTTGGGGTACCGCTTGTTGATTCAGTCGCCCTGGTATTGCAAACCTGAAAAAAGTAAACAAATAGTGAAACCGGCACTGAAGTTCACCTGGGTGTGGGGCGGTGGGGTAGCCTAGTGGTTAAAGCATTTGCTTGTCATGCCGAAGACCCGGGTTCCATTCCCTACATGGGTACAATGTGTGAAGTCTATTTCTGGTATCCCCCGCCGTGAGATTACTAGAATGTTGATAAATTCCGCGTTAAACAAAATCGCTCACTCACTCTTCTGGGTGTGTAACCAACAATTAAAATATCAGTAAAGACATAAACTTGAAAATGTTATTCAAAAACCCTACTGCAACAAATGACATGTGTCAACCAAGTCAGTGAACCTGTCCACCCGATCCTGTTAGTTGCCTCTTACGACAAGCATGGGTTGCTGAAAGCCAATTCTAACCCGGATCTGTACAGGTACAACAACAGTTACCTGGGTAGGGTTGGGTGACAGGTGCTTGGGAACCTGGGTAGCAGATATGGACTCATCCTAGCCCCAGAACACAGCACGCAATTGCGTTCAGTAACATGTGAGATCAGAACAATCGCTTAATCAGCAAGTAATGATTTACCTTGACTGTTATCTGGTTGGTGGTCGAACTGCGGACTTCAGTGTTCAACTCGAACCTGCATGTGGCGTTGCTTTGAAACCATTTCTGCTTGGCTAAAATGAAAACAAGGTAACATTATTGCAGAACACTTATTCAGAAATAATGAAAAACCAGCAGCTTCAGTCACACAGATTTAATAAGGATGTGAATGGGTGTTTAAAATATATCACTGCATGTTAACAGCAATCTGGGGGGACAATGTAATTTACTCATATTGTCATAGCATCCATCACAAAAGCCTAGTGGTTAAAGCATTTGCTTGTCACACCGAAGGCCTGTCTTGATTCTCCACATGGGTACAATGTGTGAAACTTATTTCTGGTGTTCCCCGCTGTGATATTGCTAAAAGCAGAGTAAAACTAACTCAGTCAATCAATTTAACAAAACAACCACAAAAAGCGAATCAGGATTATTAGAGTTCATTATTTTGAACCTGCCCTTGAGATGCTTTTTATTAACATGTTAGAGTTTTGGAATAGAGAACAAACAACAAACCTGGATCCCAGTGCAACAACATGGCGACATCATCCTGGTTGTCTGGGTTGAAGGGGAAGGTCACAGTGAGCGGACCAGGCATTGCAAGACCACCAACACTGGTGACAGAGAAGGAGATGTCGGTGTCACTGTAGTTGACTCTTCGTCTGAGAATCCGGTCCAGGAAGGCAGGGTCAGGCATCGATGTGGCAGGGTTGGTGATGTATGGAACGAACTCTGTCGATGCATCAGACTTGTATTCCTTTTCCAGATCCTGCTTTGTCAGCTGGGTTAAAACAATACTCTGTCCAGGCATCATCCCTGAAAACAAGCAAATGACATTTACTCAGACAGTGCTTGGGACAACTGGTAACCTGGCTAGTCTGATCATTTTTGCATATAAATCAAACAGTTAATGTTATCTTACTCATGGAAATCATAAAAACATGGGCAGTGGGGTACCCTTCTTGTTAAAGCGTTTGCTTGTCACGTCAAAGACCCGGGTTTGATTCCCCATATATGTACAATGTTTGAAGCCCATATTCGGTGTCCCCAATCATGATTGCTGGAACACTGCTAAAGAGCAGTGTAAAACCATACTCACTTACTCACTGCAACCAGAACTGGACTCTTGTGGATAAAGCGTTTGCTTGTCATGCCAAATACGTGGGTTCAATTCCCAACATATCTACAATGTTTGAAGCCCATTTCTGGTGTCCCCAGTCATGATTGCTGGAATAGTGCTAAAGAGCGGCATAAAGCCCAGCTCACTCATTACAACATCCTGAACTGAACTCTAGAGCTTGATCCAATCTCAGACCTTTCAACAAAGGTGCCTCTTAAAGATATAACCATGTGGAATCTACTCACCATCCGGTGTCTGAACAGTGATATCCCCTGTTGCCCGCTTCTTCCGGGTATTTCCAGATCCTCCAATAGAAGCCGTAACAGATGACCCATTTGTCGATGTCACCAACGTTGACTTGTCCGTCTCGACGACCGAGGATCCGAGGAGCTTCCTTGTGCACAACTCTGCCTCGTTACAAAGCTTCATGAAAATAAACATCTCCATACCCGGTGGCATAGTAAAGGCGCTGGCATCTGTGTAGTTCATGGTGTCATTATATTCGGGTCTGTATTCACTCAACTTTCTAATATTGATGTCGTCTATCTTCAAGAAACCGTCCTTGATAGTGACTGTCCCAGACATGTTGTAGCCCACCCACGTGCAGGGGAAGATGTCATCAATGGAGGCCTCAGAACTACCCACACAGAAATCTGTTCACAAAAGATTACAGTAAGACATAGAGATTAATGAAAACAATGTATTTTCTGGGTACTTGGGAGAATGATTAGTACTTTTCTCTGTTGTTTAATATCGCACTCAGTAATATTAAAGTTATTTGATAATAATCAATTATGGACCAGACGATCCAGTGACAGGTATTAAGAGCATCTATACCATCAGGGCACTCTTAGATGCTATCAACCATGTCGTCAAACCTGATCCATTCGATCTTCTCTTATGACCATCACAAACCCGTGAAGATCAGGGTTAGAATTGATCTTCAGTAATCCATGCTTGTCGTAAAAGGCGACTAACAGGATCAAGTTGATTTTTTGACACATGTCATCGTATCCCAATTGCGTAGATCGATGCTCATGCTGTTGATCACTGGATTGTTTGGTCCAGATTCTATTACTTACAGACCGCTGCCATATAGCTGGAATATTGCTGCGTTAAACCAATCGATCCATCAGTCATTACACGCTACGTTATATATGTATCTCATTATTAACACCACTCTACTTTTACAGCTACACATAGAGGTTGAGGATTGTCTGTGTCAGCAGCTCTAACTTCATTAGTAATCTGATAGCGTGGAATGGTATGACAGAAAAACAATGCTAAATACAAGACTGGACACAGTATCCGACTCACCATATCGCCTCACAGATTCATCCGGACTGACGGTCCATGACGCGCTGACAGAGTTCTGGTCCTGGGTTTTCAAAGAGTTGGGTGGCACGACTGTGTCACCCAGGGACTCAGCGCCCTCTATTGTCATGTTGACATCTTCAGCAGGTGGAGGCTCAAGAAGAACTGTCACACCTTCAGGGAACATAACATGATCATTGAAACACATTCTGAGGAGATTTTTGTGTTGTGTGAGACAGTATTAAGGACATTTAATCACCATTTGTCAATGTGATCTGGGACAACACATGAGATGAAGCTCATACATTTACCACTTTAGCCATGGTGCTAACAAGCCTAGAAACATTAACAAGGTGACCCTGGACTCAAACCCACAATCACAGAATTGTGGTATGCCAAGGTGCCACAACCTCGAATTCCTTCAGGCAGTAAGTGAGGGACTTAGTATGGTTTTATGCCTCTTTTAGCATTATTCCAGCTACACCATGGCAGGGAACACCAAGAAGAGTTTCATACATGTAACCAATGTTAGGAATGGATCTTAGGTCTTCTGTGTGATTAATGAACACTCTAACCACTAGGCTACCTCATGCCCCCCCTTAAAATACTGAACACTGGAACAACTCTACCCCCATTTAGTTTCTGACTTGGAATTTGACTGAATGGGCAGTGGGGTAGCCTAGTGGTAAAAATGTTGACTCATCATTGCTGAAGACCCAGGTTTGATTCCCACATGGGTGCAATGTCTTAAGCCCATTTCTGGTGTCCCTTTTGTGATATTGATGAAATATTGCTACAAAAGCAGTGCAAAACCCAACTCACTCACTCACTCAACTTAAGGTTTCTACTGAGATCAGGCCAGATACTGCAACCGTCAACCCAAAACCCACAAAGTACTGCAAAGTAGCCACCTGATTGTCATTAGACAGCTCTCATTATAAACATGGGTAACTTGGGTCTTATTCTGTTCCTAGTACCTGTGGTAATCTATGTCTATACACATCTACTGTACTAAAAAAGAAAATATTATTACCCCTTGTGTCTATGTAATTTGTCTTCAGTCCACCTCCGTTTGTACAGTTGATAGAGATGTAGTATGTTGTGTTATGTTCCAGGGTGAGACCACTCTTGATGGCACCAGGATTTTCCCCACTAGAGGTCGCTTCCATGATGTCAGTTCCGCCTGGTGTGGTTCCAATAGACCATTGGTAATCCTAGAAAAATACAGCAGAGGAACTGTGAATGAAGTATCCACTAAAAGACCCTCTACCATTTGTTTCAGGTGATTTCTTAAAGGTTCCATCTTTGAGAGACACTTTTCAAAGATGATACATTTTCTGATGACTGATCATTACAATTACATTTCTTGATTCTTAATGAAGTATCCACTAAAAGACCCTCTACCATTTGTTTCAGGTGATTTCTTAAAGGTTCCATCTTTGAGAGACACTTTTCAAAGATGATACATTTTCTGATGACTGATCATTACAATTACATTTCTTGATCCCCTACTTTAGGTGGAGAGTATGTGTTAATCTAACCATAAACATAAGAGATTTAATGCTACAAGTTTATTGCTCAAAGATAACTACTGTAAATGTTGGTCACAACACTCCATATGATAAACAAAGTACAATACCAGGTACAATACCAAGTACCATACCAGATACAATAGCAAGTACAAAACCAGGTGAAATACCAAGTACAATACCAGGTAAAATACCAAGTACAATCACCAAGTATCATACCAGGTAGAAAGTGCGGAATTATTCACATGTCCTGATTTTAACCCCATTACAATTATTTGGGGAAATATAATATAAAGTGAGGATCAGATGGGAAAAACTTACCACGACTTCACTCGTATTGTCACTACACTTCCACACAGCTTTGATTGTGTCATTTGACCCTTGGTACCTCACAGGGGTGAACTCGCCCTGAGATACGTCAAAGTATAAGAATACATCCTCCTCAAAGACCGGCGGCGTGGTGTCAACATAGAAACCATCCGATGAGGCAATGGCAGATGCCCCAGAACCTAACACTGCCTTCACTGCAACAAGAGGATGTCAGAATTCAAAGAAAGGGTATTTGGAAAAATAGACAGTACATAACTGCTAAAATATCCTTAGGCCAGACCAAATTTATTTCTTGTTTTACAGATTTTTGTTGTCAGAAAACCTTGAGGCAGGAGGAAAAAATAAATAAAACAAAAATCACCAGTCAGAGTAATATTCCTTATAAATGCTAAAAGTATTTTACTTCTGGCAAGTTATGGAGTGCATATGGGGCAAAAAACAATCTAAATACATTTTCTTGCACATTTACATTTTTAGCCAATAAAAATATTAAAATTATATTTTTTGAGCGGGGAAAATTAATTTTTATATTTTTTCTTATTTTTGAAAAAACACGACCGGCGGGCGGGTGCGTAAAACAAGAAATACAATTGGTCTGGCCTAAGCAAGACAAGAAACAGTTGTTATGCATATCAAAAATTAAAAAAAATCCATTGGGTCATGCAAAACTAGTCTTTCATAATAAGAGGGATGTGTGGATGGGTGGTGGCAACAAGACTGGGTGGTGTTGGGACAGTAGGATGGGGTCATATTTTACGGACAGCATTTCAGAACTAGGTAAAACTGACAACTCCTTGACAATTGAAGTACAATGCATCTCTTACCTGTTAGGTAGTGAATGACTGGTTTGAACTCATTATCAATAAGGGATGTTTCTGTGAGAGTGAGGTTGGTGAGGGAGATGATCACTTGGCTGGTGGTGGAGCTGTCACAGACGTTGTCACAGGTGTACACGTCACATGGCTTCAGACATGGGATGCAGGGAGTGTGTACCTAAATTCATGAAATATCATGCAATATGCAAGAGATAAGACAAATGGATCATTCTTATTGAGTAAACTACTGTTATCATGAACTCAAAGGGACCACTAAGTTTAGTTCAAATAACCAGAGTTTGTTACACCCATTTCCACTTAAACATACAGCAAGCAGTCTGAACAAAAGAAAGTTTGTATAAAAATTGTACTTTATTTAACAGCACAAAGTGTATTTTCAAGATGTCTACAATGACAATTATTTAGTTGACCCTTTGCTACAATGCAACATTATGAGGTGTAGTGTTTTGCTTGTTGATTACATCTGCACTCAGCAATATTCCAGCTATATGACATCAGTCTGTGAATAATGAAGTCTGGACCAGACAATCAGGTGATGAACAGCATGATAATCGATCTGCTCAGTTGGTAGTGACCTCATTAATGATGGAGATGTCATAGCATGCACGTTTGATATAAAACATGTTTAACATGCTCAAGCTATAATATTCAATTAAGGGATCAGATAGAAATCAACATAATCCCTACATATTGTTTATTCATAATAATCAGCTGGTGGAGGGGTAGCCTTGTGGTTAAAGCTGTACTTGCTCATTTCTGCGGTTTCCTGCTATGATATTGCTGTAATATTGCTAAAAGTGGTGTAAAAACTAAACTCACTCACACACTCATAATAATAATAATAATAATAACCCATATTAATTAACAATCAGGGCTTAAAAGTTTGTGTTACAACGTATTTCAAATCTTACCGGTTGAAAGTCCACCATGTTTGATAACCCAGTGGCAGATCCTATAGCAGCCTCATATCGAATGATGGCATTATTGCCTCCCTTGAAAGGGTCACCATAGCGACACAGCTTGTTTTTCTCCGGCGGCATGACGAGATCTCGGAAAGAAGCCTCTGTGCTCCACACTTTAATCTTTCCCTCCGCATCTCTGCCGGTTTCGGGAAGGTAATTCTTGTGGTTCCATACGCCCATGTAGAGTTTAGTTTGGGGGGAAAGATGGGGGATGCCACATTGTTCCGATATTAACTCCCCATCCATGTGGACTGTCATGCACCATGTAAGCTGTTGAATATAGATACAGTAGTGAGTCAGTTTTTATGTAAATACTCTCTGTGGTTGTTACAGCCAGGTTGCCATTGTACCAAACAATCTTTGTGCAATGACTTTCGGATGTCAAGTGTATGGGATTTAGGATCACGTTAACACTAAGTACACTTTGTGCAATGGTGCCCTGACATGGAAGGTAAGTCTAAACCTTACTACGTATGTGGTGAAACTGGTCCAAAAGTGTTTGTTTGTTAATTACCACCGCAATATTCCAGCTAAACGGTGGCGGTCGGTAAATAATTGAGTCATAATCAACAGCGTGAGCATTGATCTATGCAATTGGGATACAATGCCATGTGTCAACCATGTCGGCGAGCATGTCCACCCGACCCAATAGTCGCCTCTTACGACAAGCATGGGTAACTGAAGATCAATTCTAACACGGATTTTCACGGGTCCTGGTACAGAGGCTGACAAATCGTGATCATGATGGAGGAGAATATGAGACAGATTCAAGATCAGGAACAATGATTTCTTCTACATCCAGGTGAAAGCCTTTCTGTCACTCAGTCAACATGGCATGGCATGTCAGCTTAAAGCTTCACGAGTGAGGAAGCCCAAAGTGATGCAGTCTCAGCTTTGGTGAAACTCAAATGCACAGGTATGGTTCTGACAAACCAACTATCATAACCAAAGCAAATCTGGTATCTGAACCAATCGATCCAATTCTTAAATTATCTAACCATTTAAACTTGGCAACACAATTGATGCAGAGGTACTCTGAAAGAGGTAGAAGGAGTTCTTTATATATTTTTTTAAAGTTTCAGATCTGTCAATTTGTCTGTATTATTTTCTAAAAATCTGAGTGGCACTGCGGAACAAACCTTCCCAACTGTGACTGCTCAATGGTCAGTGCCAACTGAGTCCCGCAATCAACTTTATTGTGAGTGAAGAATTGACAAAGCTTACCTCAGAGTCCCGAGCTTCTGGTCTCTGTATGAAGAAGTTGATGCTGTAGGCATGGTATGAGGCCGATGGGTCTATATTGAGATCTCGCACATCCACCATTGGTATATTCAAAAGATCAGCATAGCTGCACCATGCAACTAGTCTTCCTGGTTTATCTCCACCTTTGGGGACAGAACAGAGAATAAAACACTGAAGACGCATCACATTTATATCAATCACACACACACTGAAGATACTGATTTCTTCTCTGAGTTTTTGTTGTTTGATGTAGGTTATAATTCACATTTATGTAAGCTTAATGTTCTTGTAAATATCATTCTTACATAATGGTATCACTTTCAGTTCAATTTGAAGGAGGCAGGTGACTTTTAAGATAGCATGTTTGATATATCGATTGAACATTGGGAACATCATGTCCTCATCAACACATGAATTGGTTGTTTGATTTTTAACATCACACTCAGCAATTTTCCAGCAGCCTGTAAACAATTGAGCCTGAACCATACAAACCACTGATTGATTTTATGTGCAAACCCCCAAGCTATTTGGGGAATAATGCCACATTGAGTCTGGACCAGACAATCTACTGATCAACGACCCGTGAAGATCCGGGGTAGAATAGGTCTTCAGCAACCCATGCTTGCCACAAAAGGCGACTATGCTTGTCATAAGAGGCGACTAACAGGATCGGGTGGTCAGGCTCGCTGACTTGGTTGACACATCATTCGTTCCCAATTGCGCAGATCGATGCTCATGCTGTTGATCACTGGATTGTCTGGTCCAGACTCGATTATTTACAGACCGCCGCCATATAGCTGGAATATTGCTGAATGCGGCGTAAAACTAAACTCACTCACTCACTCTACTGATCAACAGTATGAGTAACGATCTACACAACTGAAACATCGAAACAAGTATCAAAAAGTCTCACTCACAAAATAAGAGATGTTGTTATCCATAATGTTTGTCAATATTGTTATTGACTCACCAGCAAATATCTGAAGCCCACAGGAACTTCTTGGCTCCCTCTTTATTTGAGCTACTTCAGCGCCATCTGTGATGGAGTCTGTCTTCCTTAAGGCTTCCTTCTCCTCCTTCGTCAACTTGACCACTTCATACTCTACAGCAGGGTCGTCACCAACGATGGATCGTTTTGACAGGCTCCTGTTGATTTCTTTCACTTTTTTGTACACGGTACAGTTGCACTTGCAGCTCTGGTTGAGAAAAACAGACATATGATAATCAATTAATATTCCTTAAAAAAACATTATAAGATAAGATAAACCAAACAACTTGACACCCTTTAAAGTTAAGACTGATCAACAATAACACAATGTTGGTGGTGTATTTGGAGCAGATAATGGCCAGTGATGTTTGTAAGGCAACATTTTATTCACAACTGATCCAATGTAGATTAGTGAAAGGACCAAAATTCTAACTGGATCTTCAAAGGAGGTGGGGTAGCCTAGTGGTTAAGGCATTTGCTCATCACTCTGAAGACCTGGGTTCGATTCCCCACATGGTGGGTTCTGATGGCGATAACACGCAGTTCTCCTACTTTCTAATTCCATAAATTGGACTACCCTTCACTACCCAAATTTTACAACTTAAGTTTGAATGATTCCATTCCAACTACTGCTCTTGTTATCACGAAGTTGTCTTACAGTTGGAATTGGGTCGACAAAGCAGCAGGCGCAGTTGCTGTCCTCCCATGGTGGCACAGGGGTGTAGTCGTAGTCAATGATGTAGTCTTCAGGCCCGTCCCAGAACAGAACGCTGGTCACAACCTTGCCGTCACCTTTTGCCGACTTGATAGAAAACTGCAAGAAATGTCACTTTCGTTATTATCACATCCCTCACAGATATAAACTTATTATATGCAGGTACTGTGTAGGAAACTCTCAGTGAAGGAGCAAAGGCATTTGTTTCCACTGTATTTTTATCCAACACATTAAAATCTTGAAACACCCCACCATTGCTATTATTTAACAGGAAGGCACCAGTGGCGTAGTATGGAAGGCATCGCCATTCTGCGAACAGAGGTGCACCCTGTTAGTGTTGAAGAATTCTACAACCTACAATCTGCATCACCATGAATTTTCCTATGATGTTAGCTTCAACATTTCAACATGTACATTAATCTTAACAAGACGTATCTAAAATAAAGGCTGAAAAATTGTACCATCTGAATATCAGAAACTGAATTGAGTTATGCACCTCATACTCTCCTCCATTGACGAGGTCAGCATCTCTAAAGTAGGTTCCAGACATCATGGCATCTTTCTTGGTGTCTCTGGTAAGTTTAATGTCCATGGAGTCGCCACTGGTAGTGCGTTGGACATAGGCAGCGCTGTAGGTTAAGCTCAAACTGGTGTTATGGCTGTCGAAGTTCCGGTTCGATTCGAAGAATTTCCATCCTGCATCATTGAATTTGATTGGTCGGACTGGACAGGCAGACGTGTCAGGCACTGGATGGTGCAGGAATGTTCCTGGAAAACAGTTAATGTAGGTTCAAGTACTGCTGATTTGTTTCAACGATGCATTAATACAGTCTTCATGAGTCAAGAAGAGAGCTGAGTGTAATCTGGAGATCAAGTTTGCCAGCATTCACATCATGGAGGTTCGTGAGAAAATAGTTCATGTTGTTCTCCTCTATTTTCCATTTCAAATGCTATGAACTGGACTAAATTCTTGAGAACAACTGGTATTATGGTATTATTGTTGACCCAGTGTAATATTGCAACTTGATAGTGACGTCTTCTGTGATTGTATGTGTATTGTTCTTTAATGCTGCACTCAGCAATATTCCAGCTATGAAAGTGGCCGTTCAGTATTTATGGCTAGTGGGGGTGATGATGATTTTGAGGGGTTCACCCATTTTGTTCATGGGAGGTGGGTGGGGGGGAAGGGTTCATCAATTTTGTACACATGCACTGGGTGTGTGTGTGTGTGTGTGTGTATGGTGTTTCAGCAATTTTGTACTTTTAAATATTAGAAAATTATGCATATGGGGGTGTGGGGGTGTGTGTGACTTACTTTGTACATACATTTTAGGGGGGTCATTCACATTGTACATGCTTCTCTATAAAAATCATCATCGCCCCCACTAGCCATAAATTATGAACGGTCCCTAATAGTCTGCACCTAAAAATCTAGTGATTGGTATTGTATAGGTTACTGGGTTCTATTCCAACATGGAATCACCATGATAGGGCTGAGCTAGGATGGTGCATAAATGGCTCAAGCTTTAAGTGGAGAAATATTTTGGGCCTGATGATATGCATGCTCAGCTCACTGTCCCTGTTATTTTCAAAACTGATTTTAACATATTTTTTAAAATATAAACACCACTTCTCTGTTAAAACCATCCTGCTCGATCTTATGTATGGTGACATAAAACATACATTCTTTTACCTTGATGTGTATTCAACTGACCTTTAACCTCACTAGAAGTTCCGATCCAGCTGATATCCTTTGTGAAGTCCACTCCATCCACGATTCTCCCTGGGGTGGGGGCGGAGTTGTCGTACAGAGCTGGAGGGGAGTCAGTTATACTCCTCAGTCCTGCGTTGTTCTCAGTCATCAGTCGGACTATGTATGGGGTGTCCCTCTGTTTAACAAACAACAGAAGGCAGGCTACAGGACAGAAATATAATACCTAACATGAGTACTATTCCATTCTTGTAAATAAAAATTGTTATGGTGATGTGATGTGATGGTGATCATGGTGTGGATGATTTTCCATTCATTGGACATAATGGGGCAAGGTTGACTGATTATGTAACATGCACTCCAGAGCACTTTCAATACTGTGAGTGAGTGAGTGAGTTAGGTTTTGCACCACTTTTAGCAATAATCCAGCAACATCACGTTCGGGGCACCAGAAATAAACTTTGCAAATATTTGCACCCATGAAGGGAATCAACCCTGATCTTCATTGTGATGAGTGAACACTTTAACCTCTTGGCTACCCCACCACCCCTGCGCTGCAGAAATGTCATGGTCATAATCATGTAAGTGAGTGAGTGAGTCTGGTTTTATGCCGCATTTAGCAATATTCCAGCAACATCACGGCAGGGATACCAGAAATGGGCTTCAGAAATTGTACCCATGAAGGAAATCGAGTCCGGGTCTTCATCGTGATGCATGAACACTTTAACCACAAGGCTACCCCACCGCCCCCATAATCATGTAAGAATCACCACTGACCTCCATGTTGATATCTATGAATTTGTAGGAGTTGTACTCTGCTTCTATCTCAATGCTTGGCACCACCACCTCCTCCACTGCGCCATCTTGACAGGTCGCACGCCTCAGCAAGGACACGTGGTAGCATCGCAGCCCAGACTCCTCATCTCTGTAGTCCTTCCAGTGGGCTTGGAGACTTCGGCTGCTGGCGGCGTAACTGGCCACCTAAAATACAAGTGAGTGAGTGAGTTCGCTGCTTTTAGCAATATTCATGCAATATCAAGTTGAACAATTGAAAAGAAACCATTTTGATGGAGGTCATAGGTTATAAAGCAAAATATAATTTTTATGATAAAATTGATATTGTATACTTATCCTGACTCATGATTTGAAGGGAGATAGCATATAGCATGAGTCAGGATAAGAAAACATGTTTCAGTTGAAACACGTGAAATAACAAACTTAACTCAATTCCATGTATCACCGTCTAATATAACATACTGTAGTTAAAATAATCAGTTCTTGAGAATAATATCTTGATGTTTACCAATTATATAACTTTACTTAGCAATCCTGCTTACCAGATCATAGTAGGGCCCTGTTCTGATCTTGCCTTGTGTTGGTGGTGTGATGTCCACCCTGAATCTGTGGTACGTCATGTTGCACTCACCGGCCTTGTCAGCACCTGGAGCGCATTTCAGTTATTCCATACAAGGATTGCAGAAATATAAATGTCAATTACACAAAAATATTGAAGCACGTTTGATGCAGCAGTCGTTTTTAAAGTGTGGGTTTAAAAAAATAATTGTAGAAAAAAATGGAACAATATTTTACACAAGTGAGACTTACCAATGACCCATGCGTAATATTCGCCATTCTGTGCCAGAGTCAAATTGTCAAATTTCTTGTAGGTATCCGTGCCCACATTCTGGATGTCGATAACATTAAACAAAGACGACCTTGTCTCATCAGTCATAGATCCGCGCTCCGTCTGCAACAAATCACAAAAGTTATCATAACAAATTGTTCTATATGAAAATGAAATATTACATATTGAGTTCCTTTAGTTGTTGACTTATGTGAAGTGAGTGAGTGAGTAAGTTGTGTCCAATGCTGCTTTGAACATTATTCCAATTATATCACAAGTCAGCCTGATGTGTGAAGAAAGCCCCAGGTGATGTGTTACACATTTACCATGGCCACTTGTGAAAACCATGATTTTGGTGCCAACAAACCTGGAATAATGATAATAATAATAATAGTGTATATCAATAATGTCCACATATCCACATTCGTAAGCATGCTCTTGGCACTGACACATTATTACCCCCGATAACCCAAGCTGCCTGTGAGGCTCTAGAAGGTTATGGTCACATGACTTATCCCACCAGGTACCCATTTTCTGCTGGGTGAACAGAGGCAATTTTGAACAAACTCACAAGCCTAAGGTGAGACCACATGTACATTGCATCACATGTGCTTCATTGTAGGGAGGACTGAAGTCCAGGAAACCCTCAGGAGTCAAGCTGCCAAACACGGTCACCCATTGAAGGACTCTCAGCGCCTAACGTTGCTTAACTTCAACTGACTTGTGACCTGGGGCGCGTTGTTCAGCAAAAGTTTGCAAGCTTCGCTGCGCTACGCTGCCTGCTTTCCCGTGCAACGAACTGCTGTGTGAGCGCTTCATTCAATATGGCGTCGTCCAATATAAACACATCACCGATACTAACCACACTTTTGGCACACGAAGCTGCAGAAGATATTCCATGCAATGATTTTGAATTATATGCTCAACATTAAAAACTTGTCCCTATTGGTCACAGAAGAGCAGACAAGTTTTCTCTGTTACCTTGCAGAATGACATGCCGTGACGCCATTTTGAATGTCGCTCGCTTACGCAGTGAAGCACCTCTCTCAGTCGCTGCACGCCGAAGCGCTGCGGCGCTGCGATGTATGCAGCGAGGCGTTGTTCAGCCAATAGAAGCGCAGCGCTGCACAGCGTATCGGCTAAACAACGCGTCCCTGAGCTCTACCAGGTGAATCATGGTGAATCAAACCAACAATCATTGGTTGCAAATGTGCCCAAGGGAGGCAACTCTGCACCTCATATTGAGGCACCTAAGACTACTGGGCCCCCTGTGTCCCAGCTAAAGATTTGAACAAAATTTGCCGAGAAACATACAATGCAAAGTTCAGTTCCCTTAGTGACTGAGTGAATGTTATCAAATCACAAATCAACACTGTTCAGTATGCCTCTAGATTAGAAATCAACCCTAGACCAGAGGCCATATAATAGAGGGACCCCAACAGTTCATCATTAACCATCATCACCATCTTATATGATCTCTGCCTAGAACAAGAACAGATCAGAGATCCAAGCTGATTTACATCAGTTAGTTCTTTTCACACCCAAAGGGAGTTGGGGAACTTACTCTTCCTATCGGACTGTTAACAGGATTAGCTGGTAAAACTAGATGCACCAAAAAGGTGCCTAAGCTTATAATTGACACTGTGATTTTTGCACTCAGGATGCTAATTTGATTGAGTGTATAATTATTGTTATCATTATATGTTACAGATGTTCAGTTATTACAATAGTTAACCTCTCATGTCAAGGCCAATAACCTCTTTTGAGGAGTACATACGATGCTGAATATATACTACTCACACTTTGCTAAGGATCAAATCAGGAATTCAACAGAAAACTATGATGTGGGGTCAAGTTTATTTAAATATCTAAGCTTATTGTAAGCATGGATCCTTGGTTTCAGTATGTCACTGCATCTTTTGGATCCCATACCTGCTATTGACAGGTGTTGTGTACTTGTCAATGACTCATTCCATGATTTGCAAAATGGTTGATTGGTGCCAAGAAAACCATTTTTAAGGTTACTCATGTATCAAGTGCATAAGGTTAGATTAAAGTGGCTGTTTGCTTATAGACGGGTTACCATATTATTATTTATCCAGTTTTAAATGGATACAATTTCAAATTCTAAATCAATGTTTAAGTAAATTTGGGAATTTTTGTGATCCTTAGCAAAGTGTCAGTAGTATAAATACATAAATTATCAGAAATTTCGAACTTTGACGACATTGCAAACCGAGAGATTTATTGTGATTGAATGGTGATTTCTTACACTATTGTTTTACTAAATACATGTGACAGTCACTATCAGATAGATTTATCGTGATTGAACGGTGATTTCTCACACGATTGTTTTACTAAATACATGTGCCAGAGCCACTATCAGATAGATTTATTGTGATTGAACGGTGATTTCTCACACGATTGTTTTACTAAATACATGTGACAGAGCTGCTATCACCACTCACAAATTGTCCACACTTGTATTCCATGGCGTTGGTGTGGTTGGACAAAGCCACGTAGTACATCATCATTCCGATCTTGGATTCGAACCCGTCCCATGGTATCTCCAGCATTGTGTTGATATTAACATAGTTCTTCATTTCTATAGTCCCAGCTGAAGAAGAAACAAGGAAACAGCTGTCAGTCAAGTCAATACTATCACATCTGGATGCCCCCGTCTCACAACACATGTGTTAGTGAGCGAGTTGGTTTACAATGTGTGAAGCCCATTTCTGGTGTCCCCCGCCGTGATGTTGCTGGAATATTGCTAAAAGCGTCGTAAAAACAAACTCAGTCAGTCAGTCAGTGGTTTACTCTGACCCAGTATCTTGGTTGGTTTGGTTGGGTTGTTGTTTAACATCGCACTCAGCATTATTTCAGCTATATGACTGTAAATGATCTGCGTAAGAATTGATCTTCGGTAACCCATGCTTGTCAGAAGAGGAGACTACCAGATTGGGTAGGCTCACTGACTTGGTTGACACATGCCATCATATCCCAATTGCATAGATCAATGCTCATGCTGTTGATCACTTGATTGTCTTGTCCAGACTGGATTATTTACAGACCTCTGCCATATAGCTTGAATATTGCAGAGTGCGGCGTAAAACTAAACTCACTGTTATTTCACATCAAAGCTACCACTACTTACCTGTAACTCCTCCATCGAACCCAACTGAGAAGCCATTAGAAGTGACCTCTGCCTTTGACCCAGAACTACTGTGTGCTCGGACAGTGAAGTAATAGAAGGCAGTCACTGGAGTAAGGTCAAGATCAAAGAAGGTCACAGTCTTGTTGAGTCCCACGTTTGTAAAGGGCACAATGTTGTCACGTGTTTTGGGGAAGCGGCGGTCGGTTCCTACCGCAACCTCATAGTAAACCACTTCCTGGCTTGATGACTTTCCTGCACTGCCCTGAGGAACTACATTGTCTGAAACATAGCACGACAGCAAACAATGAGCACAACATGGTTGTACAAAGGGTATTGTTGGGGTTGTTTAGCATACCATAACACAACATATTCCATGCTCACATACACCACACATTTGATGATACTCAATTTTACACTAAAAAACTAATTGACAGTTAAACATAAGTAATATTCCACATTTCAAGGGATATCATTGTATCCCAATTGCATACATCAATGCTCATTGCTGGATTGTCTAGTCCAGACTCAAAAATTTACAGACTGCCACCATATATAGAATATATAGATATATACTCTGTTTGTCCAAAACTGGTTGTTTTTTTCTCAAAATCTACTTTACATAAGCCATTACTCTGAACTGATGCGCCTGGCTAATTGTGACAAATGGTGTCTATTCCTGCTTTAATTGTGATGTTTACAGCTTATTAACCCTCTGCATACCTGCAATGATGGTGCCCACAGTGGTGTCGCTGCCAAAGTTATCCCAGTTGGCGCTGATCTTTGTCTTGGTTCTGAAGAACTCGAGGTCAAAGCCGACCACATCGCCATCATTGACCTGCCCTGGGAGAAGGGGGTCCTCCTCGATAGTGATACCATTTGACCTGAGTGTGTAGGTGAAGTTCAGGGCGTTGGTCACTCTCAGGAGCTGGTAGTATCTCTCCTTGTTCTTCATCTCCATTTCATCATTGGTACCATAGGTGCGACCTGGGAACATTTCGTCGTTCAGATTGACATATGGACTCTAATAACCCAGGAGTTTAATTTCCATTATAACATATCTAGATTAACATTCCTGAGATGACAAGTTTCTAAATAAAAAATATATTATTTGAAAAATACTAGTTATTAATGATTATTTGTATATTGTGTATTTCCCAGGGAGTTGAGAGTGTAAAATACATTGAACGCTGATCTACTGACCAGGGATTTATTAGCAATGCAGTGCTTTTAGCCTTTGGAGTTATGTGCTATACAAGCAGATCATCATCATCATCATCATCATCATCAATCTTTCTATTATCACATGGCATATCACAGCTTATTCCACACCAGAATCTTAACCCATATCCCATATTGTCTTGATATAATATCAACAAAGCATTAACACGAGAAATAACTGTCAAGCCCAATTTGATGCAAATAATTTCTCATACTTTTACCATTTCATATGTTAGGGTGAATCAAAACTAAATTGGACTCATCTCACCATAAATACTATCTCTGCAGAGCCCTTCATATCTTGACTTGACAAAGCAATAACAAGCTTTACAAATATCAATGCGGAACAATACAAGAAACCCTTCCTCCTTCTCAGAAAATCTGTTATATAACTGAAGCGAGATAACAGAATCAGTATCCATTTTTCCAGAATCTTGTTAATTCGGAAAAATTTTCAGACAGTCACTGTCTGGATTAGAGGGTCTCACTGTATAATGTCCACCTACCTTCTGTATCCACAAACGCCTGGACGATATGACCATCAGCCCTCTGTATCGCCCACTCGTACTTCCTCACTGGACAAGGGTCACCAGACACGTCCCATTGGGCACTAATACTGGACAGACTGGCCTGGAAGTCACTGTCAATTGAAAAATGGCATGATTCTTTGACTAATGATTGACTAACCAAGTTATTGATTCTGGGTTCAATAAACCTAATGACTTAATTTGCTCATTCCTGATTGGGTAGGATGGACTGATGTCAATGTTTTTGCTGTATATGATATCACTGAGTCTGTTTGGGGTTTCTTTTTTCAATGTTATTATTGTTGATGTATTTATGTATTTAAAAAAATAAATATGTTTTTATGTTAATTGACGCATATATGTATAGTTTATATGTCCATAGCCGTCCGTGAATAGACCCGTGAAGATCTGGGTTAGAATTGATCTTCAGTAACCCATGTTTGTCTAAGAGGTGACAAATGGGATTGGGTGGTCAGGCTCGCTGACTTGGTTGACACTGTCATCGTTTCCCAATTGCACAGATCTATGCTCATGCTGTTGATCACTGGATTGTCTGGTCCAGACTCGATTATTTACAGACCGCCGCCATATAGCTGGACTGACTGACTGAGTTTAGGTTTACGCCGCTTTTAGCAATATTCCAGCAATATCACGCCGGGGGACACCAGAAATGGGCTTCACACATTGTGCCCATGTTGGGAACCGAACCCGGGTCTTCGGCGTGACGAGCCAACACTTTAACCACTAGGTTACCCCACCGACCCCGTATAGCTGGAACATTGCTGAGTGCGGAATAACTAAACTCACTCACATCTATAATTGCTGTGTCCACTAATATTAGTAAATATGTCTAGACAAATTAAATGAAGTAATGTGAAAGAATCAAGTGATCTGAAACTTGTTTTTAGTAGTATATGATGAAAATACTAACACAAGCTCTCACATAGTTCCAACCATATCTCCAGTACCACTTGGTTTGTACTTACAGATCACCATTGCTGGTTCCACCATCTACAACGCCCACATGAGTGATGGGCTCCTGCCCTTGACTGAGGTATGACATGTATATACCATTGGAAGTTGACACTGTGCTGAGGCCGGCGCCGTTGGTGGCTTTCACAGTCACAAATATCTGCAACATAAACAGAAGAATTAGTCTGTCTCACAGTCCCTGAACCATAATATTTTCCATTCTGCCAAGCTCTTTCTGTAATGCTAGAGCTAAACGAAGCAAGACTAGATTTCCGCAGGTTCTGGGTCTAGATCCACAAAATGCTAATGCCATACTTTATCATGTGAAATGATCACAAAAATTAAATTTGAACATTGTACTTATGTCATGAATTGAAATCAAGTGAGTGACCCTTGCACAATGTAAACCTAATTTCAGTTGCTGATATCAGAGACCAGATAGAGTCTTTTCAAAAACGTTTTAGTAAACTCCTGACAAGACAACTTAACATTGTGAAGGAATAGTGTGGGCAAAGAAATCAGGAGTGCAATTCAATTTCTTTTAAAAACTGAACGAGACTCCTTGTGTAAGATAACATTTGGAAGACTTAACACTCTGCTTACCTGTCTTTGTCCTTTCAGTGCCAGTCCTGTGACTGACATATATCTCTTCGTGATGTCGACAACTTCAAAGAAGGGTCTCAACTGGCCACCTCCAGGTGTGTTACCAACAGCAATCTCATACCTGAATATACAAACACTAGTTTTACCAAATCAAACATATATATAATTTAAGTTTTGTTTTGGGGGCAAAATGGTAACTATCCAGAATTGTCTCCCTTGTCATCTTTCTTTTCTTGGATTTCTTTTGTCTTGGGAGTTCCAGCATCATGAATCATTATCATCAAAACGATACATATACATATGGCAAAGTGGTCCTGTTTGGACTTAATTGGATGATAAGCTGATACACTCTTCATAATCTTAACAACATTACCTGACAATCCCTGTCTCTTCATCAGTGAAGTCTGCCCAGGCAACAAGAACTGTTGACAAGGACTCTTGACAGGTGGCGTCAATTCTCATGCAGTCTGTAAAAGAAGGATTAAGTGTTGGAGGATCCCAGGAGTGTTTAATTGTTGAAGTTAGCCGTTAAACCCTAAGTTCCGTGTGACACATCATCATTTTTCAACATGGGAAATTATAAAGAAGTTCTGTCTTTGCCAAGTGGCGTTTTAACAACATGTTCAGTTTGATAATGCAGAGTTAAAGACAGTAAAGCCAAAGTTGAACAAGAATCAAATCCAATCAAACCTATATTTTTATGCATTTGTAGTGAACTGTGAAAATTATATGCTCAGAAAAGAGGGTTTTGGACTCCCATGGTTTCAGTGTAACACACATAAAATGTCTTTATAGTTTTCCTGTATTCATACCAACGATCCTCACATACCTTCCCCTGAGTCACAACTGTAAGGATTCATTCTTTCAGTCAAGATGGGATCTGTGACGTTGATGATGTAGGCTGACCCAAGCTCTACCACTGTCCCCTGTGTTGGAGGTGTGTTGTCAACGTTGATGCCGTTAGAGATGGCAGACGCAGTCATCCCAACAGTGTTTTTGGCTGTAACCTTGGCATAGTACGTCTGACCATGGGTTGCCTTTCGTGACAGACCTTTAGGAAACACAAAATTATTGTGATAAAACTTTCATTATTATTAGTACAGTCACTATGATTTTAAAGCGTTCTTAAACATGTGAATGATGTTATTTCTATGTACCGTAGGTCAGATACTTGTTCACGTGGCCGGACAGCTTGACAGGTGCGAGGACATCTTCGAGACCTTCATGGGATCCCACAGTGAAGGTGAACTCCTGTACCTCACTCTGTGCATCATAGAAACCTTCCCATGTGCATTCTAGGGCAGACAGTGGCTGAAAACAAAACACATTCATGAAGAAGATGGCCCTTGTGCATCCCCATGCATGCAAGCACACACCTACACACACACACGAGTCATGATATGGCTGAAATATTGCCGATGCAACTTAAAATCTTAACTCACTCACTACACACACGTGTGGAATACCATAAATTAACTACAATTTTGGCATAAACCTTGATACTGGAATTTTTTTGTACAAAGATATTTACAATTGTGCCAGTGTTTTTTAAAATCAACTTTTACACCATGGCTTAGGCCATAACATAGTAATTAATAGATTGTCATTGCTTCTCTAATATGAAACACCCAAAATCCCATCATTACTGTATGTAAGTCCTTACAGGCAAATACAATCAATATACATGTGTTGTCTTGCTTCCTATACATTAAGAGTGAGTGAGTGAGTTTAGCTTTACGACGCATTTTGCAATATTCCAGTAATATCATGGCGGGGGACACCAGAAATAGGCTTCACACATTGTACCCATGTGGGGAGTCGAGCCCGGGTCTTTGGCGTGACAAGCAAATGCTTGAACCACTAGGCTACCTGACCACCACCCTGTGCATCAAGAAATGTACCTAATTACCCAGCATTAAATATTCACACAATATTTATCAAGGATTACTGTTCAGTGACGCTTTCAACAGTGTTTTGAAGCTTATTTGTAAATTCTTTACACCAAATTTCATTTGCAAAATAATATATTTTGAACTCAGGAATAAGTCAAATTAACAAGAACAAAATAGGGCATGAGAAAGAAAAATATCATGTGAGGCACACCTGTATGAAACCTGGACACTTCAGCACACCCTCTGTTGGTGGAGTGGTATCAATCACCAATGAAGGGGAGATAATACTAGATGACAGCCCAAGCTCATTCTCGGCAATCACAGTCACGATGTTGGATTTGCCTGAGTCAAAGAGAAAAGAAGGAATTGTTTCATTGTAAATTAATAATACTAACAACTCAGATAACTGTTACTGATACGCTGCACTCAGCAATATTCCAGCTATATGGCGGCGATCTCTAAATAATCAAGTCTGAACCAGACAATCCAGTGATCAACAGCATGGGCATCTATCTACTCAATTGGGATACGTAGACATGTGGTCACCTGATCCTGTAGTCTAGATCCTAGTTGCCTCTTACGACAAACATGGGTTCCTGAAGATCAATTCTAACCTGGATCTTCGTATAATGAGGTGAACATCATTCACACTAATCAATCTACTGTCTATCAAATCAATACTCCTGGCTGCACTTACCAATCGAAACAATAGGTGGTGGAAAATCGAAGAGGCCAGAGAATGAGTTTTAGGACACTGAGCAGAGTTCCTCCCAAAGCAATACAAGAGTCAAAATGTCCACAACAGAACTAGCCAGTGCTAACCTTTGGCATTGGGACTGACCCCTGTGGGCAGCGCCCCATCCCCAGATGGTAGAAGGTCCACCTCTGTCCTGGCCTGGACATCTGCACCATGTGGGTAGGTCCCCACAGAGAAATACATCTTCTTGACTGGACTCTCCGTGTCCTCTACTCTCCATGATGTGGTCATGGAATCTACCTCTGTCTGGTAGAGCAGGGTGCTTGGCGTCAGCATGGACTTGTTGCTCTCGGAACCAAAACTTGGTGAAGAAGAACAGTGTTTATGCAAATATATATGATACTATTATATTTTTAGGTGCTTCTGATACTAATATTTACATTGTAAAGCTGATAATAATTATTATTCCTGGTTTGTTGGAGTGAGTGAGTAAGGTTCAACTCTTCCATTCCAGCAATATCAAGGCAGAGGACACCCAAATGAGGTTCACACATCGTAGCCAAGTGGGGAACTGAACTCTTCAGTTGCTGAGTTAACACTTTGACCACACCTCACTACCCGGGGTTGTTGGCCAATTATGTAGATTCTTTTAAGCGTCTTCTGTCAGTGAGTGTGAGTTGCCCTTTCATTTCACCAATGCATCCTGGTGGCTCATTTTTCACATGTGAGAACACCTTTTGAAGATTAACAGACATCGGTTTCCATCAGTCATAACAAACCATATTTTTATCAACACTTAATCTAACCTACTCATGGTTTTATTTTGGTTTATAAGTTTTTCTTGAAGATTTATCAACACTTAAACATAATCTACTCATTGTTTAAAATAATGTAATTTTTTAAGTAAAATTGATATTTTTATAATTATCCTGACTCATGATCTTTGCTTATCTCCCTTTCCCTTGCGAATGGTAGTGGAACACTTGAATCCCTTGAAGTTCCCGATTGATATAAAAATACACTCACCCACGAGTTTGCCCTTTTCCCAGCGCAAACAGCCAGGTGACCTGCCTTACTTGTCACTCTCTCCCTTATAAATTACTTTTGAAGATAAAGTGCAGTGGAAACTTTGACCAACATACCTTTCAAGGTTAATAACTGGGGGAGTCTGATCAACAACAAATCCATCTGATGTTGACTCGAGGATGTTCCCGGCATTTGTGATGCCTCTGATGGTGGTGTAGTAGCTGATGCTGGGGACAAGGGGCAGCACGGCCTGGCCGAACCCGTAACTCAGAGAACCTGGAACAGGAAGGGATGATGTGGTAAGTATCCCATCTGTGGAGGCAACTTGGCTGTGTCATCTGAATATCAGCTGTTTCATGACAACCGCTAATTGCCATGGGCTTTTGAGTAAGTTTGGTTAGAACAGTATTTCAGATCACGATCTGCCATCTCGCATTTGGTAGATGCAAGTCTTACCAATTTTGGTGAGCATAAGTTTGCTGAAAACTCAAGTTCATAATCTGGGCATATGTGGGATTTGAACCAACAGGAATCAGACATGTGGGACTCAGATGATGTTAAACATATACTATGTACTGCTTGTGAATATTTATCCATTTCTTATGGACTCTGCTTTTAATCCAGATGATTGGGAAATGCGTTTGGGGAGGATATTTTGATAAGTAAGGAAAAAAATAGACTTGACAAATGGGATTGGTTGGTCAGACTTGCCGACTTGGTTGATGCATGTCAGGTCAGTTCATTCCAATTCTGTAGATCGATACTAATGATATCAATTTTGTTTAATGTGTTTGTTGTTTAATGGCCCACTCAGCAATATTCCATCTATATGACTGTGGTCTGTAGATAATCCAATCTGGACCAGACATCCAGTTATTCACGATACCAATCACTTTACTGTCTTGCGTGTAATGTGGGTGGGGTAGCCTAGTGGTTAAAGGCGTCCCTGCTTGCGTCACGCTAAGACATGGGTTCAATTCCACACATGAGTACAATGTGTGAAGTGGAATTTCTGGTAAACCCTGATATGCTTGAATATTGCTAAAAGCGGTGTAAACCAAACTCGGTGTAAAACTCACTCACTTGTATGCAACCCCTTATTTACATACTGATGTCACAAAGACAGAATATTGCTGAGCATGGGGACAATCAATAAACAAACAAACTGGGTTGAAAATCCTTGTCTGCTGCAGTTGAATGTTACATGAATTACCAGGGACGTTTGACTGTTTCTCCTCATGAACAAGACCAGCCTTGATAAAGGGTTGTACTTCCTCGCCACCAGGTGTTGTCCCTACAGCCCAGTCGTAATATGTCACGCCATGCTCTTGACTCTCAAAACCTGCAAACTGTACAGTCATAACTCCCGCGTCCTTCTGGTAGTCGATGTCAACACCAATACTTTGTGATGCTGTCTCTGTGGAGTCAGCACCATCAATGACAACACCTGTAACAAAAAATATGTCATAACATGTTTCGAGTAAAGTTCTGTAAACAAAAAATGGGCATTTGGTACAAAACAAAAAGTTGTCACTCATCACTCTTCTGTGAAACGTATCCCTGTGATGCGTAAAACACAACACAGTTCAGATCTATTCCATATAACAAACTTCTTTGAGTGGCATTTTTAGAAGCTGGGAAGTACATTAGACAAACTTTATGGAAAACAGCTTCTTTATTTTGTGAGTGTCAGATTCTTGTCCCGTTGTCATTGGTTGCACTCTTGAAATAAAGAAGTTGCTATCCATTAAGTTTGTCTATGTTGCAAATGTTACTAGTGTCAACTTGCTGAATCAACATCTAAGCTTTGGACAATCGACTTTTCATGTGCTTGTGATGCATGCAGACTGAGCTCACCTTTTTGCTAACACTTGATACATTTGCTATTTATAAGTGATCTATAAATCCATTTATGATATAGTTAGAATCATACAATGGAGATTTCTTGTACAAATGTTTTCATGTCACTTTTCAATTTGAAAATGAATGTGCAATATCATAATACATATCCATATATCCTGTACCTGGCTTATCTTCATCAACTACCCGAATAGGATTGGAGGTGATGACCTCACTGGTCAGCCCAGCACCATTGGTGGCCTTGACAGTGACATAGTACAGAGGGGTCATTTTCTCAGGGTCGGTCAGGGTCAAGGTCAGACCATTTATATACTTGTCCTTCTCTGCACCAACATCCATCCAGTTCAGCACATCAGTTCCACCTGTAAATAAAGTACACTGATAATCCGAGAAATTGAATGTATTTTTAAGAATCTTTTTCAATATTGTAAGAGGAGACTGACGTGATCGGGTGGTAAGGCTCGCTGACTTGGTTGAGACATGTCATTGTATACTAAAGATCGATGCTCATGTTGTTGATCACTGGATTGTCTGATTCAGACATTATTATTTACAAATCACCACCATGTATATGGAAGATTGTGTTAAACAAAGAAAAACTTTTTCAATATGTATTTTAATTTATGTGATAATAAACAAAATATCTGGTGTGCTCCTTTTGTGCAATTAAGCTATGTGGAATTGAAATGACATGCACAATGGTTGAACAAACGATCTATACTTCAAAATATTTGACAGAATATTATAGAAGCTATAACCTGAAAAGTGAGAGTTAGTTTTCCTCTGAATCACCTGGTTTGTTTTAGAACCTATATGCTGTTTCCACTAAAATCGTGCAGGGCTCCAGATAATATTTCAACATCAGGAGTACGTACTCCTTATTGTTCAATATAGGAGTACTGGAAAAACTAAAGAGTACATTTAGAATACTGAATGGAATTTAATGGCGTATCAGTAATCTTGTGTTTTGTTTGATATATGCACCACAGCATTGCTAGTCTTGTGTAAATAGGTCAATAAACAATAAAACAATACTTTTTCATATACGTACGTCTTAAATGACTCTAACACCGTACACCATTGCTGTGGTGCGTATCTGCTACGTTTTCTAATTTATTTCCTACCGTATCGTGCATACTTTTTATCCGTACATATGCCAATACGGCCCTTATCTGGAGCCCTGTCATGACTATTTGTTTTATATCGGGGAAAATGGGATGTATCCTCTCACACAGCAATGTATTTCCCTTCAAGGCAGGATACATAGTGTTTTATAGACATCATGTGAACCAATCAGATCTCAGCAATCTGACATGGAGGTGAGATAATTTAGTTTAACTGGACATGACGCAGGTGACAGACTGACCTTCAGTAGTTCCTACAGCAATAGAGTATGAGCTGATGCCACTTTCATGATCGGTGGCATACCACGTGGCCATTATACCACTGTTGTCAGACTGGATGACGTATCCATTGATCAACTCCTCAGTGCTGCCGGAGAAGATGCCAACATACACCCACTTCATCTGCAACCATAATGAAAGAACAGGTAACAATTGCAGCGCTACATACACACCTTTCCTTCATTATAATGATAAACAAAGATGTATGCTGGTTTGGATTTCATTCATTCTGTGGACCGATGCCCTTGTAGTGCATGCTGAGGTTTGTGTCAGGCTGCTCTAGCCAGTGATTGATGGAGTGACCATGTCTCGTGGGTGAGTGAGTGAGTGAGTGAGTATAGTTTTACGCTGCTTTTAGCAATATTCTAGCAATATCACAGCAGGGGACACCAGAAATGGGCTTCGCACATTGTGTCTATGTGAGGAATCCAACCCAGGTCAACGGTGTGACAAGTCAACCCTTTAACCACTAGGCTACCCCACCGCCCCCTACCCTACATGGAGCATCATGGAATCAAAGTGACTTCTGTTAGCACTTTGAAGTTTTCAGAAGCCAGCAACAGTGTGAAGCCAGTAAGAACCAATAAAAGGATGAAAATAATCAGGGACACAACTTTGTACAGCAAACCGTGTTGAAGTAGATAGGTGTCATTGTTCATTTTTGTTTCTTGTGCAATATGTTCACGTTTTTTTCAGCTGAACTCTTAACTTGCCTGTGCATGCGTTTATGACATGTGCCCTTGTGTGCTCACCTTTTTGCAAATACCATGTATGATTAATATCTGACAGTGTATTCATAACACACGATATACACACGAAACTGTTTTGTCATGTTTATTTACCTAGGTTGCAGTTCCATGATTTGTGTCAGATCAAGTTTGGGCAGTATACTCACCTCAGGTTTCGAGTTGTCCAGAAGGACGCCATTGGTGTCATATGTTGCCACAGCTCCAGCCCTGTTGACGGCCCCTACTCTGATGCTGTAGAGAGCTCCAGGCTTCATGTCAAGTCCCGTGTGACTCACGCTGGTGCTGAGTGGATCAGTGATGGTGTCCCACCCCGTTGCTGAAGGGGCAGTAAAGGGTATTATTCAAATGTAACAGATTTTTTCAGACATACAAAACCTTCACCTTTTTTTTATCTTTAAACACAGGTTAGTACGGGTGTCCTGTCAGAAATACACAGCATTGTTTGTTTGTTTGTTGTTTAATGCCACATTCAGCAATATTCCAGCTATATGGAGGCAGTCTGAAAATAATTGAGCCTGGACCAGACAATCCAGTGATCAACAATATGACTGACTGACTGAGTTTGGTTTTACGCCGCTTTTAGCAATATTCCAGCAACATCACGGCAGGGGACACCAGAAATGGGCTTCACACATTGTACCCATGTGGGGATTCGAACCCGGTCTCTTGGCGCGGACGAGCCAACGCTTTAACCACTAGGCTACCCCACCGCCCCATCAACAATATGAGCATCACTGCTTTGTGTAAGAGGTGACAAATAGGGTTAGGTGGTCAGGCTTGGTGACATGCCTGTCATCATACCTTAAAGGGGAGGGTAATTGCACACAATATCAACCACTGATTTTAGTGGACCAACGCAACCTTGAATTATTTATCACTTATTTATTTATCAAAATTTGAAAAAATCATATCATGATCAAAATATAATTGATTATTTATGTGCAATCACTTTACCCATAAACTATTTTTATAATGAACAAGCTTAAAACAAACTGACTGAATAACAAATATCATTTTCATCCCAGGCTCTTGCTTACATTTTAGTAAGAAAGAATATAACTTTAAAAAAAAAGAATTAACAGTACCTTTGATATTGTTATAACCGCAGTTTACTGACTGCATTGATAGATTTGGTATTACACACTTACCTGGGTGGATTTGATGCTTGTTTCCCTGGTATCTTTGATACACTTGATATTTGAAGTGGTCAATACCAGATTCATCATCATAAAATCGGAAGTTGGCCACAACGGTGGTAGTGGAGAACTGGAATTCAGAAAATATTATTAGCTGATTTAACACCACTGTTATGAGTTACACATTAACAACACAGTGTTTTACACCTGTACCAGTCCCATGGATTCTGGGTAATTGGTACCAAGCAACCTCCATATGTGGAAGTTGTAAGAGTTGACAAAATGGATCGTCTGAACACATAATAACTTGATGCTCATTGTGTGTCAATGTATGGTTTGTTTGTTTGTTGTTTAACGCCGCACTCAGCAAACATTCCAGCTATATGGCAACAGTCTGTAAATAATCAAATCTGGACCAGACACTCCAGTGATCAACATCATTTGCATTGATCTCTGCAAATGAGATACAATCAGCTAGCCTGACCACCCAATCCCATTAGTCATCTCTTACGACAAGCATGGGTTGCTGAAGACCAATTCTAACCTGGATTTCCCCCTATAGTCATTGTGGGATGTTGCCCATATTATCGACCACTGGTCCAGTCCAGATTTTCCCTCTAACAGACCACTGTCATAGAGCTTGAATATTTCTGAGTGTGCCATTAAGGATAAAACAATCAAAAGAAGCCCTGAAGACATCCTCTCACCTGGAAATCTGCATCCTTCCCTGCTTCTGATCCGTCTCCAAGGAATGCCATCCTTGGCGGTGTAAGGTCCACGACAAAGCCATCAGTGGAGTCGTCGATGCTGCCAAGGGCATTGTTGACAGCCCGCAACTTTGTCTTGATGACATCACGATGACTCAGATGGAAGTTGTGCCACTCGACCTCACTCATGTCCTTTGAGAGTGTTCTCCAGCTCCTCAAGATCTCGAAGGCGTCAGACAGGTTCCTGGAGGAGAGTCAAGGTCAAAGAGACACCCATTAAGATTTAAACATTAAATCATACAATATATTTCCATGCTGCAAAATGTTCGAACCAAAATGTTTCCCCAAAATAATTGTTCACTGGACATGGTGGATGTCTTGAATGTTTTGTTGTGTTCAAGAAAAGAACCCCAGAAATGGGCTCCACACATTGTACCAATGTGGGGGGAATCGAACCCGGGTCTTTCGGCATGATGATTGAACACTTGAACCACTAGGCTACCCCACCGCCCCAAATGTCGATCAAGTAATCAACACAAACCTTGCCCTGAGTACTTCCACGGCATATTCTCTGATGCTAGACTCTGGGTCGGAGTAGCCCCTCCATTGAGTAGCCACTGTCGCCACGTGTTGGCTGTATGCTGTGTCGGTGAAGTTCGCACGTCGTCCATCCACCACCTCTCCAGCCACTGGAGGGGTCAGGTCAACAATCACTGAAAGGGAACAGGTAGTGAGTGGTTTGTCTGCTTAACTCATCCAGGTACTTCAGGTCATGTTCCAGTCATGGCATGGCAGTGATCATCTTGTTCCAAATGAGTGAGTGAGTGAGTTTAGTTTTACACCGCACTCAGCAATATTCCAGCTATATGGCAGTGGTCTGTAAATAATTGAGTCCCGACCAGACAATCCACTGATCAACAGCATGAGCATCGATCTGCGCAATTGGGAACCGATGGCATATGTCAACTAAGTCAGCGAGCCTGACCACCCGATCACGTTAGTGATCTTATGACAAGCATGGGTTGGTGAAGGTACATTCTAACCCGGACCTTCACGGGTTGTTCCAAATGATTGAGTAAGTGAGTTTAGTTTTATGCTGCTTTAAGCAATATTCCAGCAATATCATGGTGAGGGACACCAGAAATGGGCTTCACACATTGTACCCATGTGGGGAACTGAACCCGGGGGAATGGAAGTGACAAGTGACACATTAACCACTGGGCTACCCCACTGCCCCTTGTTCCAATGAAGCTATTCGAGAAACTGATAATTGTCCATTATTTTGTGCTGGGGATAAATTATTACCCAGAATTTCCATGGGGAGAAACTGTTACCCAGAATTCTGTTGAGGGGGAATTATTACCCAGAATTCCGGTGAAGAGGAATCATTACCCTGAATTCCCATGGGGAGGAATTATTACCCTGAATTCCCATGTTGAGAAATTATTACCCTACAGCCTACTTTGAGTGGCATTTTTAGAAGTTGGAAGTCAAATCCTACAGCCTAATCTCATATAATCTATCACATTGCACCAATAACTGATCTTACTGTAAAATTATTTTACACAAGAATAGAGTTCATTTAGCAACTTACCACCATCTGATGTTGATGTCACATTCAATTGCTTATGTCCGGCATTGAAGGCTGTCACACTGAAGGCGTATCGCTTGCCGTGTTCCAACAGCTGGTCAGTGGGCATGTCCAGGCAGGTCTCATGGATCTTGTGGTCAACATCGATAGGCTGGGAAATGGCGATACCACTATCGTTCAAGGCAATCACCTCGTAGTGGGATATGCCAGATTCGGGGTCGTAGAAGTTGAACCAGTTTGCACAGATCTGATGAAATACAAATTTGTGATTACCATAAATGGGCTTCACACACTGTATACAAGTGGGGAATTGAACCCGGACCTTTGGCATGAAGAGCGAACGCCTTAACCACTAGGCTACCCCACCACCCTCAACCCTTGTGTGAAAATACCAGGACATATTATCTCTACCTTGTCTGCATCCTTTGTGAAGTTGAGGTCGTGTTTATACACAGGGCCATCATAGACAGTGCCAGCAACAGGGGGTGTCGCGTCGATGATGATCGGATGATCGGCCACGCCCACTCGCATCAGATCAACTGTAAGACAACATGTTCAGGGCTGATGAAGACAAGTTTCATTTTATCCCTGAAAATAATTTGCTGGTCAGTATGAAACTATTTTGGGGCAAAATGTATTCCCAGACCCTAGACAAACATCTGGGCTATTTTGTATACAGAAAAAAAAAAGTTCCCAAATTATATTCATAAAATAGAGTGAAAAGGAGCCCAGAACTTCCTTCATTTACAGAAACTGTGGTAATCTAGACTTGCCACATATGTTAGACCTTTCATAGTCTGTATGACAGACTAAGCGTACCATAACAAGAAGATTTACTCTATTTTGATTCAAGATTTCTCTTTGTATATTAGGGAAATCTGTAAACCATGTAGACTGTGTATGACAAATGATGGCATACATTTTCTTTAAATTTTCATATCTGCATCGCTGAACTGTTGTTGCATGTTCTTGCAATTGTTGACTAATATTGTAAACACAAGAATATAGTTGTTTACCATGGTTAATTGCTCGGACTTTGACCCACACAGGGATTCCTCCCGGAATCTGGTATGTCCTCTTTATACCGTGATCGCTGTGGTTGGACCTCTGCCATTCAAGATGGTAGCAGTCACGAGTTGTCTGACCTAGACAAAGGTCAACCTCCCGAATGTCTGATTCAGGATCACTGTAAATAGATTCATATGTTAACTATGTGTCTGCTTATGGGCTGGTGATATATCTGATTACCAGCATGGTGCTCTTAAAAGTGAGTGAACATGGTTTTACGTTGCTTTCAACAATATTTCAGCAACATCACAGGATACCAGAAATGGGCTTTATACATTGTACACATGTGGGTAATTGAACCTGGGTCTTTAGCATAACAAGCAAATGTTTTAACCTCAAGTTATCCCACCGACCCTGCTCTTAAAAGAAGTGCAGTTGAACACTGCTGTGTTGACCTTGAAAGCCCCTAAGAAAAAGCTGACTCGCACCACATCAAAAGTCAACACAATGGTGTTCAAGTGTTGACATGACACATGTCAATAAGAATATTCCGTCATTCCCAGCACCAAACAGATGGTGTTCTGGTCACAATATACACCTGACTGTATCCGTGTTTGTTTTATTAGCAATCAGGATTTGACTTTGTGAAACATTTCTTTGAAATATTTTAATTCAGGATCATACTTTTGGTCCACTATTGACAGAGATCTGGATTCAAATTCAGATTTTAGAGTATTCAGAGTATTGTGGATGCAGTAAAACACATGAAAGACACAGGTTTTTCAAGATGTTGTCATAGAACCATGAAACGTACCTTGCGTTGTATTTCGCTGTAATGATGTAGGTGTCCTCATCATATTCTACATCAAATACCTCGTGCACAAATGGCTGTGTGTTGTCGATGCTTAGTGGTGTGGTGTGACAGATCGTTGTCACAAGTGGACCTCCGTAATCCACATTGTTCAGGGCTCGCAGTGTCACATAATATTTCCCATCTGCAACATGATGTTGTTGTGATAGACAATCGTGGGGGAGTTAAAACAATCAAACAGTGTTAAATTGCAGTGTTATTCATCATCAAACAGAGTTGTGTTTGTACTAAACTGGAGGACAGTGATGGGTTGGTTACTATAGGTAGACTGGGAGTGAAGACTGAAGTTCCTAAAGCAGCCAGAATAATCAAGTGTATTCCAATGAAGCATCTTTCAGAAAGTTCCAGGACTGAAACTTCTGAAAGCTTTTCGAATATAAGTCATATTAAATGAAAACCAGCAGTTGTGCTTGAACCTATTACAGAAGCTTGACCACTGCTGGAGTAGGATGGATATTATTATCACTGTCCTCACTAATATTGACATTTTACTTTTTACGGCCATTGCATTTGCTCTGCCATTGTGAATCCTGTGTACTGATTTGTAAAATTATCGGTAGTTACTTTAGATTACAATTTTTATTTGTTCTTTTATGGATAGACTTTTGGGCACAAAAGTGTGTGTAATAAGAAAGAAGAGTAAATTTATGACTTTATAACAAGATCACACATTTTCATTTAATTTATCTGGAGTGAGTAAGCATGGTTTTATGCCACCTTTAGCAATATTTCAACAAAATCACATCAGGGGCACCAGAAATGGACTGCACACATCGTTCCCATGTGGGGAATCGAACCCGGGTTTATCGAGTGAATAATTTACCTGGAAGAGGGTTCAATGCTTCAGGTAGAGTTGTGATGACTCCACTGTGTGTCCACTCAGACCGGTCAAACAGGTGCTTGTGAGGGTCATGATGGGGGTGGACGAGCTCCTCACAGATCTGTCTCCCCACAGTCCAGGAGTATCCAAGGATGCCAGATTCTTTGTCCATGATGCCGTCCCAGTTTGCTAGAACAATGCAGATAAGGTTATTCTTTCCTTTTGACATCCACGGTTAACCAGTGTGTTACATCTCTATACTATTATCAAAAATACCCATGTCACTTGATTCACTTGAGCGACTTTTGAAATGATGTCACCATTTCTGTTTGTTTTCACCATTTTATGTTAATATCAAAATGAAGAAATCATAGAAAACAATGAATTGCAGAATAGAAAAGTAGTACAATTGACAAACAGGATGTCTCTCTTGGTGGAAATGAGCAAATTCAAACTGCAGTAGTATGTTCTGTTCAACCTGATTTAGAGAAATGTCCATACTAAGTAACTTTAATTATTACTATGTTAATTATGCTAATGCACAAATTTAAATTAAGATTGTTCCAACACCAAAGGTTCAGATATATCATTTGATACCTCTTTCTTCAGATATTAAGCAACTTGACAAGTCAACATTTCAGCTTTCAAAGAAATAACTGACAGAGTTTGTTGCTATCAGTGTATCATTGATATCAGGTCAAGGGTACATGGATGTTTACATACCAGCCACGTATCGGTTGGCTCTGGTATAGAGCAGATCTGTCAATGGTTCGTCGCCATTAAAGAGGGTCATTGAGCCAGGGCCATCGTGAAGAGTTCTGAAAATAATGAAGATACTTTGTGAATAATGCTCAGAAGATACTGACACAGACAAGGGGCGCAACTCTGCACAGTCACTTGGTCCTTAGTACCTCAGTTCAGGGGTCGAGTTATCAACTTCTCTCCCTTTATGTCTCCCAACAACATGGATCACTGTTCATGCACTAAGTCACAGGTTTTCCTGATGATTTCCCTCAGTTAGTTACTTACTGGCTGCCATGATAAAGATTGACTGCTGACATTTGTGGCTTTAAACATTATTAACTCTCACCTTTACACTGTAGTGTTTTGTTCATATGAAAGAAAATAACTTTCACAATGGGCTTACCATATTTTCTTGAGTAAAGTGTTCATGCACATTTTTCATAAGTATATTTACTCATCAAAAATGTAATTTTTAGAGTAAAATTGATATTTTATACTTATCCTGACTCATGACATATTTTGTTGATGTGATATTATTTAATGCTTGTTTGTTTGTTACCTGTGGTTCTTGACATCGCCGTCAATTCCTCTGCATCTCTCCTCCCAGTCAGGGCGGTCGTCAGGGACAATGTTTCTACAGGTGGTCACCTCCAGCATGTCCACAGTGACATTTGCAACAGGGCCTGCAAGTATACACAGTAATAAGCCCACAAGGTGAATGTAGAACACTTTACCTTAGCCACTTTCACAGTTTTAGTGTGGAGGAGAGGTGAAGTGAAGTGAAATGAAATGGGGATATATACATTATTCTAACCTGGACCTTCAATGGGTAGAATTGAAAGGAAATGGGGATATATACATGATTATTACACCTATATGATGTGAGGGCCATGCATGTATGAGGCTGCTGTAACAAGTTCAAACAAACATTGGTTTTTTACTGCTATCCCACAGAAACCACTGAAAGGTTAACATGGAAGAGGGGTGGTGGGGTAGCTTAGTGGTTAAAGCATTGACTTGTAACACCAAAGACCTGGGTTTGATTCTCCACATGAATGTGTGAAGCCCATTTCCCCGCTGTGAAATTGCTGTAATATTGCTAAAATCAGCGTAAAACCAAACTCAGTCACTCACTCACCCCACTCAGACACAGTATTCTTGCAATAATTCTTTGTTTTAATATTAATTAAAAAATCCTCAATCATGTCCTGCGTATTGGCTGGTGTTGGATTAAGATCAGCAGTTGCTTAAGGAGAATTAGTTTTGAAGTGCCTTGGCCACGTGGTGATGTATCAATAAACAATTGTATGTGTGCTTAATGGAGCATATCACCTCTAGAAACCAAGAACAAACTGAAACAACCTATTACACTATACCTGGTTCAGGTGGGGTGAGATCCACCACAATGCCTTTACTGTGTAAGATGTTCTCGTACATGAGGGAGTTGATGATGTGGAGGTTGAAGTAGTATATAGCCTGGTGACGCAGTGACAGGTCCTTGTAAACAAACTCATAGGCAAGCCCAACGGCCAGGCGCTCATAGTGGGTGTACCGTCCAGACTGCAACACAAAGAATGAAGGTCCCATAAAATATCCTGTGAATTGGAATAAAAGATCTTCTGGTCTTCTGGTCATCTTGTCCACATGATCAAACACAAGCGGACAATGTGAGGATTCCACGCCCTGCTTCCCAAAAAAACCTAGAGATTGAGTGCAAAAGGTATTAAACAGTCTGAATTAATATCATGCATTTTGCAAATATTTTCGTTTGCACAGATAGCAAAATTCCTTACCTCACCATTGTTTGACTCTGAATGTACATCTTTAAGTGTGTCAACATTGTAATGTGTGATCTACTGCACCTAGACTGGCTGAAAATATATATGTGTGGCTTGCAAATAATGAAACTGCCTATCTAAAACTGCCACTCACGCTTGATATCTTGTAGTCGTGTCCTTCAATGGCTTCCAGCAGTTCACACTCGCCACTCACACCATAGTCATAGTTGAAGCTGAGACACTTGGTGTTCGGATATTTCATGCATTCCTTGGCACATTTGCCTGCATGGTTCATTTGGGTGAAGGTTGCAATGACTGGCCCTGTCAACCGGCCTTCCTTCAGACCCGTGAAGTGACCCAGAGCAACATGACCGACTGGGTCGCTGAAGCTGAAATATAAATTACATGAAAAATACACAAACATCAGAATGTGTCCCAGTTTAACATAGACACCCCACTCAGGCACAGTATGATGGCCGAGTAGACCAGACCTTGCTGTTTGCCCATAATGCAGAGTGCCAGAAAGGAGAATGTACCACCTCTGTGTGTGTGTGTGTGCATGTGTGTGTGATGCGTGCACGCACGCGCGCGAGCACGTTTGAATGACCTTGTACACATTTGCACTGATGCTTATTTCATGCTAACCCACTGAGCTTCAACAGCTAGCCATGGATACCCCTATGGTACAAATGACCTTTGTTCTGTCCCCTTAATCCTGAAACCAGTCAGGGTGACAACAAGTACCATTTCTCTTTTGAATAACATGGCCAGAGGAAAAAAAAACTGACCACCTTCTCTCTGGGCAAATGCTGTTGACTTCCAGTGACCTAGGTGATAGTCCAGTGATATTTGAACTGTGATAACATTTCAGAAGGAAATTAAGAGAAAAAACTTCCAAGGCGCTGTTGTACAAAACTACATCAGCATTAAGAGTACTGTAAGTCTGTGTTAAAGTATGGGAGATTCGGTCCTGTTTGATGCGTTGATTATATCAAGTGTTTGCGATGTAACATGAGTTTCAAAATTAGGCCAGACCAATTTTATTACTTGTTTTACCGATTTTTGTCCTCAGAAAACCTAAAGGCAGGAGGGCAAAAAAAAATATATATAAAAATAAATCACTAGTCAAAGTAATATTCCTTCTAAATACTAAAAGTATTTTACTTTTGGCAATTTATGAAGTGTATATGGGGCAAATAAATCTACAATAATTTTCTTGTAAGTTTACATTTTTGGCCAATGCACACATTAGGATTTATTCTTTGAGCGGGAAAATTAATTTGGATTTTTTTCCTTATTTTTGAATATATACGACTGGCGGATCCGTAAAACAAGAAATAAAATTGGTCTGGCCTTATGTACTTTTTTAGGGTACAAAATAGATGCACAAAATGTTAAGGCCAGCAAAACAATAAAGATTTACCCATTTTCTGGTTTACCTACCATCATAGGCTCTGTTGTTCCTAGTCTTAAGATCGATGGCGTTGAAAGCAATGATTTCATCTCCAAAGATGCCTCTGCCCAAACCGACTCCGACATTAGACACTACGATATCCGAGTCTTCGTAAACCACAACAGATGCACGAAGTTCTGATGGACTGCTGGTAGATTTGAAGTCTGCTGTCAGCCGACAACCCGGAAGTGTCACATCATATGTCAGAATATTGCATGTGACCTCTGACCTTTCACCCGCGCTGTTCTCACCAAAAACGGTGAAATAGATTGGGACTCCATGTTTCGAGAATCTCTGGGGAATACAAAATATACTCGGTATGACAACATTAGCATTACTTTGTAGCATTTCAAAATCAGTTTACACAAATTCCAAACTGGCACAATTCCACTGTGCAACCTGTCACAGTTATCAGTTCATGATCAAAGGACAATTGACACACGATGCAGGTTATAGCATCTCAATTTCAAACAAAAAATTTCGACAAAGTGATTTAACACTTTTAAGCCCAATAACTGCCTTCCATTAAGCACAATTTGACCAAATGTATTGTCAATCCAATAATCTCACTTCACCTGTGTAATAATAGTAGAAGGTCCCCCCAAGTCCAGCCTTCCTGAGCACATCGCTCAGACCAGGTTTGGTTCCAGCGTCCAGGAAGAGTTCCACCTGACTTCTGTCATCTTGGGCCTGCACAGCTATCTCTATAGCAGGCTGAGTGTAGTCTCTCTCCGGGAGCTGTCGCACGGAACACTGGGTAGTGGTCGCTGCTCGCTTTGAGCGGGAGTTTCCCTGGAACATGTCAAGGGATTATGATTATGTTATACAACAATCAATAATTCATTATATCCAGAAAAACATGTATATAAATTGCCAGCAATTGATACTTTATTGTAGCATACATGTATAAATAATCTTCCTCGACCTCCCTCTAGATGACCAATGGCACAATGTTTTACTTACAGTTCTGTCTTCATATTGCAGGAACTGAGGTGGTGATTCATCCTTCTCTTTCTTCCCCACTTCTATCATCCTCTTTCTGATTGTAGGCGTGGCATATCTCCATAGCTTCTTGGAGAACAAGGTCTTCTTGATTCGGCCAATGAATGGAATCTTAATTTCCAAGGTAACCAAAGCTCTGAGAACCAGCTCAATTGGAGTGAGTTCCAGGTCCATGTTGAGGCTGAAAGAACAGAATCATATACTGTACATTGTTTGACAGAATAATTCTAATACTTTTGTCAGTTTAGGAGTGAGTGAGTTAGTTTAGTTTTACGCTGCTTTTAGAAATATTACAGCAATATCACGATGGGGTACACCAGAAATGGGCTTCACACATTGTGCCCATGTGGGGAATCAAACCCAGATCTTCAGTGTGACAAGCTAACCACTAGGCTACCCTACCGCCCCATCAGTTTAGGAATCATCCAGTAATGTAAAACTCTTTACAAAAGATTTGGATTATTATCCAAGCATATGATTTGTATAACTGTATAACGGACAATGACATTCTAGGTCTGAGTCACAATAACAAAGATTTTCAGTACCTTAATCTATTTGAGCTTGGCTCCTTTGACTGCCAGCAAGCAAAAATAAACCATTAACTGTACCATATTTTCTTGAGTATAATTTGCAGACCCCTCCAGGGGATTCAGTATTTTACAAAATGTTTTTGTTTTGATTATTAAACAAAAACAACATTTTATCCCACGTTATCCGAAATTCCAACAATGATAAACACATCACATAAAATATCTCTAGAGTCATGGCATGCATCATGCCCATTCTTCTGCACAGCTGCATTTTTTTTTTTGCAACAATGTAAACTGTAATGAGGAAAGTATGGTATGCCGAACAAGCAATTCACTCACGCTAGATCCAGTGGGAACTTAGAGAAGCCAATCTCAGCAGTGGATGGAAAGGCAACAGTCATGATGTACCCGTCCAGCCGCAGTTTACCGTACAGGATGGCGCCTATTCCAAGCTCACCATACACGTGAGCATTAGCGTAGGGAATAACTGTACCAAATGCTGTCATCCCCAGAATCCTGGCACCAACAACGATATCCATTCCATAGGAAGCCCCGGCACCCCATCCTGGAAATAACATACATGCTTATCATTGAATGTCTGTTAATTTTCTGCTAGTGAGTGGTTGAGTTTAGTTTAACACCACCCTCAGCAATATTTCAGCTATATGTCTGTAAATAATCGAGTCTGGACCAGACAATCCAGTGATCAACAGCATGAGCACTGATCTCTGCAATTGGGATACAATAAGATACAATAAGCAGGCAGACAAACCGACAGACGCACACACGCCTCACACATGTGCAAAAGTGTCACTACATCCACTACATCAGTCACAAGGGATTTACAGGATGCAAATTCCTGTGTCCTATATGCATAAAAATTGACAATGGACGCAACAAAATCTATTAGCGAGTCCACAGGGACTCAGAAAAAGTCCAAATACTTTTTTGTAAAAATTCCAGTCAAGTGACAAAGTTATCACTGAGTTATAGTTATTATTTGCAATTTAATTACTGTAACAATGTGATGATCATGATTCACAATACAATAACAGTATTAATAATAATAATATTTAAGTGTCTGCCCCCCACCTCTGAAAATTAAGAGTATGAATCCCAGGGACCCTTAAATACAGGACTCCATGTAAATCCCTGACCTCTATTGTATTCTGCAGGCCCAACCGGCAGACAGATGGACAGACGCGCAGACGCCTCACACATGTGCAAAAATGTCAATATGTCCACTCTATCAGTCACTTCATGTCACCTAAACCATGTTATTCAATAGATCAAAATTGACATCGTCTGTTGATGGTAACTTTAGTTCTGCAGTGCATCAGGTAAAATAGAATACAAGTGATTTTCCTATGATTTACTGACTACATAAATCATATACCATACATAACTTACCAAATGTCATCGGTATTAAACCACCCACTAAGAAGAATTGTTCATATTCAAAAAATATGACACTGATCCTGGGGAAACCGAAGCTGCCCTGAAGGGTCAGATCAAAGGACTTGAAGGCTTCACCCGCTTCTCCATTAATAATTGCGTTCAGGATTTCTGAATACTGAAAGAAAACAATGTTCTTAGTGACTGTTCATAATTTATGGCTGGAGGGGTGATGATGATTTTTATGGAGAAGCATGTACAATATGAATGACCCCCTTAAGATTTATGCACAAAGTAAGTGACCCCCCTCATGTCACGAACAAATTCAATGACACCACCTGTAGTACATGTGCATGAAATTGATGACCCCTCTACATTCCCAGAACAAAATGGGTGACCTCCCTTAAAATCATCATTACCCCGGAAGCAATATATTAAGAACGGTCCCTTAATAATAAAGAAACACACGACTGAACAAACAAACAAATAGGCTGATGAAGGCTGGCTGTGGCTTCAGACAATATTCACTGAATGAAAGGGTGCAAATATCCTGTCCAACTGATGGCACACATCACAAACACATGCAAAGACAAGTAAATTGTTCAGCTTTCTTGTTCAACCAAATGGAGTTAAAAACTGAATTCATTTCCAATATGAGCGAAAACGATTTACACCAACAAAATCACCAGCTCATTGTTTGAAAGAATTTAGAAATATAAGCAAGTAGCTGGCATATATAATGATTAGTTTTACATACATAAAGCTACATATTCGATATCTCGTTACATTGGTTATACTACATTGGACTGATTAGATTAGCAATAGATTATTACTGTAAATTCTTACCAGTGCTAGAGCCAGGTCTCTGAGTTTTCTAGTCAGCTGAAGAGCCTGTTCGGGGTCAATATTCTTCGTATCAAACATGGCGATGACCTGACCAATGGTCATGTTGGCCAGTTTAGCCCCTAGTAGCTTGACCCCTGTCCCAGTAAGACCTTTCCCTACTGTGAAGGCCTGTCCTACTCTTCCTGCTATGTCCTTGGCATCACCAAGAATCTGCATTATCTTCTCACCTGTAATACAACATTAGTCTAATTAAGACATTAACTTTTACCTTGTTTACCTTGTTGAATGAAATAAAACACCCTGATATTGTCAGGCAAAACATGTTAGGCTTAAACCAAAATATGTAAATGAGTGGTGGAATAAAGGAGTTTTGTTTTACGCTGCACTCAGCAATGTTCCAGCTGTATGGTCACAGTCTGTAAATAATCAAATCTGGACCAGACAATCCAGTGATCAACAGCATGAGCATCGATCTGCACAATAGGGAACCGATGATAAGCCAGCGAGCCTGACCACCTGATCCTGTTAGTTGCCTCTTAAGACAAGCATGGGTTGCTGAAAATCAATTCTAACCTGGACCTTCACGGGTTACATGTAAAGGAACAAACCATTGTTCAGATCATGCAGGCTACCCATATGTCATGGCTGGCTCCTCAGTGTTTTGGCGAGAGGAATTATCAAGGTTACATTTTTGGACATGCCAGTAAAATCAAAATTGGCATTCTGTGAACAGTGAACCAAGGGTCTTAGTTTTAGAGTTGGTGTGTTCTACCAGATGACTTGTTGTCAATATGTTGTTACACCAAAGGTCACTTTACTGCATGATGAAGATGTCTGTGACAACTACCTCCTTCCATATTGACAGTGACATCGCCGTTGGCCACCTCCCCAGAGTAAAGGATTGTGCCTGGGTTAGCTGGACCCATTTCATTCAGCGCAGTCTTTGTGTTGGTGGCAGCACCATCTGTGTCTTGGAATTGGAGGTTCATAGAGGTGTCTGCTTCCTGTAGGTCAAGACATTAGTAGAGTGTCATATAAAGTTGAGATCTATCTTGCTGGTCAATAAACATTGCTCTTTTTCGAAAAAAAATAAAATTTCTACTGATTTAATCTCATGATAACAGTTCTCAAATGAGTGTTACAAATAATGAGAAATGATAAACTTCTAACTACGTCATGTAGTATATTATGCTGATTTAGCAATATTTCAGGCACACGATGGTGGAGACACCAGACATGGGCTTTATGCATTGCATCCAGAAAGGGAAGTGAGTGCATTTAGTTTCACGCCGCTCTTTGCAATATTCAAGCAATATCACAGCAGATAGACACCCAAAAGTGGCTTCACACATGGTACCCATGTACAGCAAATGCTTTAACCACTTAAGGCTACCCCACTGCCCCTTTAATACACACACACATTATGATGATGATGGACATTACCTCAAGTTTCTGTAGCTCATCGAAGAGGGCGTACAGCTCCTCATTGGTGGCATTCCTGTCCAAGGCTTTGTTGAGAAGCTCCCGGGGATCACGGGTATCAGCTCTGCAGAAGCAAGGAAAGTTATAATTCAAGTTTTATTTCAGTGAAGACAATAGATTCATAGTTCAAGTATAGATGATAGTTGAATATATAGAAGACATGGCCTTGTTGTATGGATCAATAATTTAGTTGCTGCATATTGTCGTCTTGATTCTGCTTTGAAGAGCTGACAACCCATTCAAAACCTTGACTATATTCATGTCAGCTGTGTTCTTCGGATCATCATAATATAACAATCTTAATGAATGCTTTATATTGTTGTTTGATTGTAAAACTGTGACGATATATTGTAGTATCGATAATGACCTTAACCTTGACCTTAAAATTGTTAATTTTCATTAGATATTGGCGGTTATGTAAACATTTCTTGCTATTAAAATATGATTTTTTTAAAGAAAATAACTAAAGCAAGCATATTGTGATATTGTGATACGTATCCTATCATGAAATTTCTGTATCGTCACACGTCTATTTGATTGTATAAAAGCTGCATTCAGCAATCCTAACAAAAATGTAAAGTAAACAAAGTGAGACAGTAAACAAAGTGGCAAAGTGAGTGAGTGAGTTTTCACGCCGCTTTTAGCCATATTCCAGCAATATCACGGCAGGGCATACCGGAAATGGGCTTCGCACATTGTACCTATGTGGGGAATCGAACCCGGGTCTTCGGCGTGACGAGCGAACGCCTTAACCACTAGGCTACCCCATTGCCCCACAAGTGGCAAAGGTGTGAAGCTGGTAAGGAGTGTGATATAATAGCGATATCTTAACATTAACATCTGATATGAGTTGACAGTTCAGCGGCTCACAATGTTGATATGCTCTGATCACTGGAAGTATTTTGTTACCAGATAAAAATCAATCTGCAACTTACATAGTAATCACATCTCTCCTTCTCCTGCTAAGGGGTGCACAGGATGGTATCTGGAATGTCACCTTGTCCATTAGCGTGTAGTAATAGCAAGTGTCGGTCAAGTCGTAACCATTAAGGGCGCAGAGCTTGATGTTGAGGGACAGCTGGTAAGACGATGGCGTCTTGCTGACCATGTAGCTGATCTCGATGGCATTGCCAACTGGCTCTGTGAAGTTCTTGTCTGAGGGGAAAGTGAGTATGCTGAGTAAGCAAGTTATGTTTGGATGACATAATTATGGTACAGTACATATGGATTTCAGTTCCTTCACAGTGTAATATTTCAGTACAGAGTAAGTGAGTGACGAGTGGGTATGGCAATATCATGGTGGGGGACACTAGAAATGGGCTTCACACATTGTATCCATGTAGGGAATCAACCAGGCCTTTGGCGTGATGAGTCAACGCTTTAACCACCAGGCTACCCCACCTTACAGAAGGAACCTCTGAAGTGATGAGGTCTCTTGTGAAAAACATGAGCATGACTACAGGGCCCGACACACCATTATCAAATGTGGTAAACAATCCAAAAAATATGAGGAAGGCCCACTAATACCCCGACCGTGACTTCTAACTTCAGCTGTACAACAGTTATTAATGATCATTCTTGACAAAAGTACAAGATCTGTATCATGAACAAAGAAGCCACTACCCAAATCTGAAAACAATCCATTAAATTACTGTAAAGTTATTTGTTGAACAAATTTGAATTGGGGAGTTTTCCAGAGTTCAAAAGAGATAATTTGTGATAAGTCTCGACAAATTAGCAATATAATATGCAAACCAAATTCAGGATCAGTGGATCCCGAAACAACTAAGTTCCACAACTCTGCACAGTAAATTGCAGAATGTAGACATGGCTATTCAAACTAAGGTGATAATGGTGGACTGAAACGTTCCCTTACCATATGTAATAGCAGCGAGGTTCTTGGTGTACTGTTTATTCTCTATATGGTAGCGAAGCTGGTCATTGCAGTGGTCGGCCATGATGCCAGCTGAGATGGAGTAGATGCCGAGGTACTTGAGGTCGATGTCCTTGCAACAAGTCACACCCATGCAGTTGTCTGTCAGCTGGCAGACGTTGGCAAGGGAAGCAGGAAGGTTCACACTGCAGCCTGTGAGAGTGAGAGGGAATGTTAGATTTAACACTAGTTAAGTAACTTACATATCATTGTCTGCAGCCTGTAAAAGAAACATATGTCACTGTTCAAAATAAGCACACCCTGGATCTTGCCTCATTGTGACTGGGGGGATGTTACTTTTCAACAGGGGTTTAAAATAACGTACCGTGGGGTCGGCTTGTGTACGTTTTACATCCAACTGCCAGATGTCTTGTGGTGTGGGGTCGGCTTGTGTACGTTTTACATCCAACTGCCAGATGTCTTGTGGTGTGAGTTGGCCGCGAGTTGGGTCGCGGGGGTCGGCTTATGTGCAAAACATACCATTTTGACACTGATTTCAAGGATCAAGTTAGGGGGTCGGCTTATCTATGGGGTCGGCTTATCTAATATACGGTATATACTATTTCCAGAATCAAGATGCTCAGAAAACTGATTCCTGCTTAAAAATACCAGCCTTGATATTGGCACTTATGACATTTCAATTCTGATGCCCTTTTACAGTAGCGCTGACACCCTATGTGGTTGAGTGCATACAGCCTCAGCAAGTTGAGTGGAAGATAGTAATTTCACATTCCCTTCCAGAAGATGTTGAAGATGCCAATTGTTGCTACCTTGCACAGTGCTAGGCATTAAGTGGATACAACTAGGACTGGCCAATACAGAGTTATTATTAACATGTCCGAGTGTTGCATTGATATCAAAACTGCCGCATGGTATGTCAGTGGCCTAGCACTGTGAAACATGTATACTGAGCCTGGGAAAATACAGGCGGCCACACACACACATGCATGTATGCAGCAACATGTGAAACCACATTTCACCACCACCATCACCGCAACAGTTGAATGATCACCTCTTAATTTGGTCAACATGGTAACCTTGATGTCAGTATTGTTGAAATAGATGTGTCTTTAGTCAGGATTCAAAGGTGGTTCCGTAACACAGTAGCAGAGTGCTGAACAGATCTGACACCCAAGGCCTCCACGGAGGAACTTTTCAGCTGATCAAACACTTCCTTGTAAACAAGCAACATTAAAATAGTCATAAAAGGTGACACTCACCTGAAGGTGCGGCTGGTTGGGTGCACGGTTCAGACTTCCAGAAGTCGAATGACACACCTGTAAGAAGATGTCCATCAATTTCATATCTCTGTTTGATGAGTCAGTAATAAATAGTTTTTAGCAAAATCCAGGTAACATGTTCAAGTATGTTTAGAAATGCTATAATAAAGCATCTTAATAATTATTATAAAGTACAATTATTTTGTTAAAACATGTAAAACAGATTTCAAACTCCTTAGAAGTAAGGCAGTACAAAACATGTAATTTTTGCCAATTCGAGACTATTCTTTTCTGTAGCTCAAGGCCAACCAATCAGCAAATTTGAAATTCTCTTCCGTCATAGCTTACCTTTGAATGGGACAGGCAGACTCGGGTTACATGGAGAGTAGACTATCTCTGACTGGGAGAAGACTGGCACCTCCAGTATACATGAGTTGTCTTCCAAACACACCTTGATGCTCAAGTCAACCACCAGCTTCTTGGAGGCAGCAACATGGTCGATCTTGTAGCTAAAATACAAGCAATATGTAGCAGTGAACCATTCTACCTCAAGAGTGCCATAATACTGAGGAAACTGATGATTACACATATTCAAATTCACATTGAAGACTGTTACAACAGATAACCTATTCATCAAATTTTGGTCAGAAACTATCACATAGAACATTTTTGTAAAACTGACAATACAGAACCTTCCATGAGCTGTCACTATTGACAATAGTGATTCAAAGACATTATATTCCATGTGTTAACTCCATTTTGAAGACTTATGCTTTTGGCTTGCTATGCGAGTCTACATAACATATTTAACTGCCCATCTCAAATTAGAATTACACTGTACTCACCTAATTCTTGTCATTGATCCAAGAATAAAGTCCCCTGCTACACCTGAAGTATTACATTGACCGTGACACAACACTGAAGTAATGCTTTAAAGCATTAAATCATAATAGTCCTAGCTTCGTTTAAAAAATGCATTTTTTTCTAAAAGAAAATATCAATCAAATCTATGTGTAAAAATATACATTTACAATTTAATACAATCACATTTTATTTGTATTTTTAAATAGATTTTATGCACAAGCACAAATCAACACAAACACCTTGCAATCAGTGCATTTACATCTAATTAATGTTCATATGTCTTCATCTATATGATACTAATCAGCTCACCCCATGTGTACTGCAACAATGACAACTTGTAGGACAGTTTCTCAATGCTCATCGTAATCTCGAGAGCACAGACATCCACATCAAACTTGGCCTGGATGGTTCTCTTGATTAGAGGGATATTCACACAGCAGTCTAGTGCTGAACAACTGGCTGCTAGGTGGCACTTCACAGAGTTCGGCAGGGCGGGGACTGTCAGGCTGCTGCATGCTGGGTAAACAATGAGACAACGATTAAGGATTTTAACTAATTACTATGGTATAAATGGCTTGAGATGTTTATATCATGTTGTTAGCGAGTGTGGTTCCATTCTGCTTTTACCAATATTCAGCATTATCATGGTGCTGATACCAGAAATAGGTTGGCATCACACAGACCATCTATGTGAGGAATAAAACCCTGACTTTCAGTAAGACAGGGAAGTGCTTTAACCTTTTGGCCAGCTCACCATCCCATCATGCCGACAAGTGTTTAACAGTTCACAATTTATCTTTATTTAAAATATTGAGAAAGATCTACCCATCACTCGCATTTGGCATGTGATCTTAAAATAATTTGAATCCTCATCCCATGTTAAGCATGAACCTTTCATCTGGTCCCTTTCAGCAGTGTAGCCATTTCTTTGTTTCAGATGTTGGTCCATCCATACGTTTTAGTGTCTCCATGATAATGTGGACAATCAAAAAGATGAAGGCAATTCCATATTGTTCAGAGAGTCATTTTTTATAGCAATATTTATAAATATCATGGTGGCGGACACCTACTGTACCTATCTGGGGAATTGAACCCAGGTTGTTGGTGTGATGAGCAAACCCTTTAACCACTAGGCTACCACACTGCCCCCGAATCTTACCCTTGTTCCAGTTGTTGATGTTGAATGGAAAGTATGGACTGGCGGCCTGGTCACAAGCTGAAGGCAGGAAGTACTGGGACACGCCAAGGTCATCCAGGAGCTGAGACACCAAGCTGTCGGTCAGCGACGATACAGCGGATGACAGGCCCTTACCAACAGACCACGACGACAAAGAAAAATCTGGAACCAATGAACGTTAATTACTGATCATGAAGCATGAGTTACGCTAGGGAAAGTTTTCATCACTTGAAACTTGTGGCTGTTGTTTGTTGTTTGTTGTTTAATGCGGCACCCAGCAATTTTCCAGCTATATGACATTAATCAGTAAATAATCGAGTTTGGACCAGACAATCCAGTGATCAACATAATTAACATCGACCTACACAAATGGGATATGAAGACATGTGTCAAACAAGTTGGCAAGCTTGACCAACTGATCCTGTTAGTCACCACTTACAAGCATGGGTTGGAGTACTTTCTTTTTATCGGGAAGCATTTATTCTATGCATCCCAAGACAATTGCATCCCAAAGGCTAAGTCGGTCCTGGATTTGAATCCAGGTCCTTGATTTGCCAGCATCATACCCACTGTCACATGTTTCACCAATCCAAAATGAAAAAGAAAAGTTTCAGCTTTACTTCCTTCAAACATTTGAAATCCTGTCATATGCATTCTTGCTCAAACATTAACAAAAACAAGTTTGTCAACTCACTCCTCGCCTGCATCATCCCCTTCCAGTCACACAGAGGTTGTGGAACTTTAGCCTTGTTCAACAGCTGCTGTGTGAACAGGCAGTCGCTCTCCTTCAGACAGACACTGGCCGTAGCAGACACCTCCAGTTTCCGCTCAGCAGGCAGTTTGTTGATTGTGTAGCTGGATGAAAGAATAATTCCTTGAGTGAGTGAGTGAGTGAGTGAGTGAGTGAGTGAGTGAGTGAGTGAGTGAGGCTTTATGCTGCTTTTAGCAATATTCCAGCAATAAAATGACGGGGAATACCAGAAATGGGCTTCACACATTGTATCCATGTGGGAAACTAACCCGGATCTTCGGTGTGACGAGTGAATGCTTTTACCACGTGGCTGCACCACTACCCATAATTCCTTGTGTCAGTCAGAGGGTATCTCTATGGCATTATAAACAAGGGACTTTTGAAAATAACAAGAGTGATCAGATTACATATCATCTTGATCTGCTGCAATTCAAAAATGGTGCTATGCGATATATCTCCTATTTTTTTCCCCAGTTGGTATAGGATTCCATCCATTCAGTGAAGAAAAGAAAAGCTGTTCTGTGGTTTTAAAATCCCATAACATTCAAAGGCACCACTTTACTACTATTCTGTATAGCAAGTTACATCTAGAAATATGACATGTTTCTTGAGTTCTCTGGAAATTGAATACTGACAGAGATAGACGGACAGATGGATGGATGGACATGAGGATTGCTTTGTCCTTTTTACCAACATGTGTAAAATAATTATGAAGTAAATATGTGAACATGTGTCACCAACTCACTCAATTCTAAAGACTCCCTTGATGTAAAAGTGATCTGGGGTTCCTGGAAGAAAATAAAGAATATTGTGAATACAACAAAATAAAATAACATCAACATATGTTTCTTTCAAATATTTTTTCTTCCAGATATTAAGAAATGATTAACAAAATCTGTGAATGAAATCTTTCAAACTATTACATCTAGCATCTGACTGGTAGTTAACTAGAGCTGAATGAAATATTTTGATTACATGGTCAATGAAAGATATAGAGAGGATTATTTTACAGAATTTGTCACATAATCACCTGTACTGAGAGAGTATCACTGGCCTAATATACTACTCACACTTTTCTAAGGATAAAAAAATTCACAACTTTACTTAAATGTAGATTTATAATTTGAAATTGTATCCATTTCAAACTGGATAAATAATGATATGGTAACCCCTCTTTAGGCAATCACTTTAATCTAACCTTATGCACCTGATAAAAGAACCATAAAAATGGTTTTCATGGCACCAGTCAGCCATTTTGCAATTCATGGAACGAGTCGAGTCACTGACAATAGCAGGTATGGGTTCCACACAACACCTAAGTCATAGTTTTCCAAATTTGAATCCATGATTTTTCTGATCCATGATTTGATCCTTAGCAAAGTGTGAATAGTATACAATATAAGACCCATTATAGAAAATCGATCCTGTGTTCAGCCCTAATCATAGGACTGCCAACAATTCACCTCTGAAAGATTCTTACCCCAGGTGTAGTCGAACAACATGCGTTTGTAGACAAAGTCCTCCACGCCCACTGTCAGTTGATAGGTGCACATGTCCACTGTCAGGAAGATGTTGAAAGAGCGTGACAGGAAGTCGATGTCGATGCAGCAGTTGATGGCAGTACAGATGTCAGTCACATGACAGACTACAGAGTTCAGAAAAGCAGGGAGATAGGAATCCAACCCCTGAATTGGACACTCTGTAATAAGAACAACATACCTGGAAACTATTTACATATAAACTATTTACATATAAACTATTTACATATATACATGCATACCTGGACTCAATAAGGGGGCGAGTGCACTTCAGCTTGTGAATGATGCTAATGTTCATGTCTTGAAAACCAAAGCAATTAAATCACATGGAGATATTTTTACATAAATATCAATAAATTCACTGATTTTAGACAAATCCTGCAAACTGTTTCCCTGAGATCAAGTGGTAGAATTTTGAATATTAAGTGTAACCTCCCATTTCCGGAATCAGCTGTATCAGAGGTTGACGATGCATGAAGAATCAAGGGAGTAAATTGTAACCTTGTTTTAGGCTTAGTCTAAAGTCATGTAAGATGTCAAGAACTTATGATAGTTCTACATTTAAGTCATAAATTATGATTCTTCTTCATCGATTTCATGAACTTATGATAGTTCTTTTTTAAGTTCTACTGGAATCCATTGATTAATATTGAACAGTAACATAGACAAGCCTACCATTATTCCACCCCTTGACAGCTGGGACATACATGCTGGAGTCTGAGTCACACTGCGGAGACCTGAGATATGCCCCGACACCAAGCTGCTCCAGCAGCTGAGATGAGATGGCAGACGACAACTTGGATGCTCCGGTTGCCTTGAGATCTTTCAGGAAGTTTTCCAGGGAGAAATCTGTGGATGAATGTGACTCTATCAAACACATATAACTGAAGTAACAGCAATACTACATTTTTGGAGGCAAATGTTCCTTTTCAGACAACTGCTGCTATATCAGAAAGTTCTTCCAAAGTGGCCTAAGGAATCTTACAGTCACCAGGCTTTGGTTCATATCATTCATGCAGGAAGTACATGCAATACCTTCAAAGTCAACAAACTTTGAAAAGAGTATGACACATAATCTGGGGTGCAATCACTTAAGATCAACAATTTCTGGTGTATGTAGTGTCTGTGTGAATTTGATATCTTATCAGTCAGGATGTTGGCAATGTTGATTATTTCATATCATTGTTTAAGCAGAGACTTTCGGATAATCTTAAACAATGTTGGTCCACTTCAATTCAAAATTCTAATAAGTGTTTTTATTACTCCCAATTTAAGACATTTTTAAATGTGGAAAGGTATTTAAATTCTGATATCCTTTACATCTCACATCTGCACTCTCTAAATTTAGATGTGGTAATTTTAATTTAGCTGTTGAAACTGGAAGATACAATAAAGTTAATTACAATGAGAGATTATGTTTATTTTGTAAATTGGACGACAAAAATGTTATTGAAGATGAATTCCATGTACTCTTTAAGTGTGAACGCTTTTCTGATTTAAGGTTAAGATATATTCAGAAATATTTGACTGATTTTGATCCAAATGCCAATTTTATTAACATTATGAAAACACATAATGATTGTATCATAAGAGATGTCAGTATTTTTCTGTATCATGTACTTCAGCGCACTAGAAATGTTCCTCTTATACAGCATGTGCACTAAACTATCTATATCATATGCAAATGACTGTATGATGGGCCTGTGGCCTTTTACTGAATAAACTTGTCAGTCCATCTGTCTGTCTGAATATCTAATGATCAAGCTCCAATGTTGAAACATCAATATCAACAGATAGAACCCAGAAACATAACTAGGAACAAGTGAATTAATGCTGTTTAACACTGCAGTCAACAATTTTCAAACTTCATCACAGCACATTGTAAATAATCAAGTCTGAAGATGATACACAAAGATACAACCACCAACCCTGACCAGAGTAAATAGGTAAGTCTGAACAACCCCAAACAGTGACAAAGGCACACACCATATCCACCAGACACACCAGTTCTTGTATGACTGATTAATTATACCCATTCCTGGACAATTCTGAAACTGTCTGACCCACCTTTCAGGGCTACAGTACTGTCCCAGTCACACAGAAGCTTGGGGATCTTGACGTCCTTCAACACAGGGAAGGACAGCAGACATGAGTCTTCCTCAAAACACACACTGACATTCAGGTTGATGAGGAACTTCTTCTCCCCGAACAGCTCGTCTATCATGAAGCTGGTGGAAGAAGGTAGAGATGACACAATTATGACAATTTGTTTTGAATGTATAGTGAGATAAGATCTGAGCTTTGAATGATAAGCATTGGGATTTGAGCTTGAATAGTAACCAATGGCATTTGAGCTTGAAATAGTAACCAATGGGATTTGAGCTTGAAATAGTAACCAATGGCATTTGTGCTTGAAATAGTAACCAATGGGATTTGAGCTTGAATAGTAACCAACAGGATCTGAGCTTGAAATAGTAACCAATGGGATTTGAGCTTGAAATAGTAACAAATGGGATTAGAGCTTGAATAGTAACCAATGGGATTAGAGCTTGAATAGTAACCAATGGGATTTGAGCTCAAATGGATCAAAGGAAAACTGATCAAATGTATGAGTAAGGACTGGTCAATTCTCTGTGTGTGTGCATGTGTATCTTGCACCACTTGGTTATTTAATCATCCGACATGTTAGCTGTGCCTTCTGTTAAGTCACATTCTAAACTGTTATGTGCATCGCCTACTTTTATTAAAATTCTGGTAGTCAGCCTCTGAGCTGCATCACTCCACTGCAACTTCATCAAGGTAAAGGGACAAATAACAGCCAAAGCTGACAAAACTAACCCATTCGGGAACTATACTCATTTCAATGACACATGATATTATTCGTTGGTTAAACTATTCAGGGAGGCCCAAATGGTTGCATTGTGTGGTTCCTTAAATGCAATCAATATTAACAATAGTAAATGATTTTAAATTTATTAAAAATATGCAAAAAAATAGAATAGATATACTCACTCAGCATGTATGACTCCTTTCAAAGTGAAGTGTTCAACCTGGCCTGAAAGTATTGAAGAGTAAAACATCACATTCATCCATGTCACAACCACAACGAAGCAACAGTGTTAGTAAGTGCAATTCTACTTCAGGATCAGGGAATTCCACAAAAATTGATAAGCTGCTCCATTCTCCATTCTCACTTTATCAGGTCAAGAATTTTGTAGAAAGTGGAAAATGTCTAAAATCTGCATCACCTCCAGCTCTGCTCTGACTTACCCCATCTGTAAGTGAAGAGGGTCCTTGTAAATACCAGCTTCTCAATGCCCATGGTGAACGTGTAGGTACAGGGATCAATGCCGATCTTGACATTGAAGGATCTCCGATGAAGCCGATAAACATACAACACTCTACAGTGCCACATGGGTCGGACAGATGACAGGTCACCCCCGACGGCAGAGACGGCAGCGTCAAACTGGCAGGACAGTCTGTGATAATGATAATAATGATAATAACAAAGACACTTATATGGCGCTGAACTCCATATCGCAGAGGGCATGCTCAAAGAGCAAGGAAAAAATGGATGACCAATTGTCAGTGATTATTAAAGAAATGGGTCTTTAGGTCATATTTAAATGAAGTCAAGGAAGAGGCACATCTGAGGTGAAGTTGAAGAGAGTTCCACAGCACAGGAGCAGAGTGCTTGAAGGATCTGGCACCAAATGTTTTCAATGTGTAGGGAGGCACAGAAAGCAGGATGTATGGTCAAAACAAACTTAGGCATGGTGTCTTTTCCAGGACTAGCAAACAAACACTAATTAAAGGGATGAAACCCTTTCCATAATCATTCTGAATGAGTCACATTTTACACTGCTCTTATTCCAGCTGTATCTTGTTGAGGGACACCAGAAATGGGCTTCACACAATCAGGAATGCATTCATCTTTTCACAAAACTGGGCCGATTGGCTCACATCTGTTTGAACACATGCCAACATGTTTGACAATTTGTTTCAAGTTTATGACCTCATCATCTTAGCACTACATGATTCAATACCATAATTGTTCAATCAGAAAAATTATTATAAACAGTTTCATTAGAACCAATAGCATTCAGATTAACAGTGTTTTACTTAATCCATTGTTCCAGCTACTAACCAGTCTTGTATCCAATTATCACAATAATGTGTACAAAAACATCAGTTTATGTGAGGTTACTTCACCAAGTAGTGTAATTGCCAACAACAGGGTTTTCCCTCAAAATATGGGAGTCCTGGGGACACCTAATTGGTAGTTTTAAGGGTTCTTGCAGGCAATACGAGGGTCCTGTGAAGTAATGGTTTAGAGAATTGTATGTTTTAATAATTTTCTAGAGCCTGGAATGAATCATTGATCATGTGGACTGATGGATGAAATGATGCATGTTACTGCTCTGTAAGAAACAACCAAACACTTAGCAGAGTCAGAGATATGTACAGTGAATAATATTGTGCATCCCTGTGAAAATAGTGATTTCTTTTCTGCGTTGACACTCTAATTTGTGCATGGACGCACATTTGCACATCCCGTAAAAGCCTGCAACAAGTCTCCTCACCCTTCTTCCATCCTCCAACAGCTCCAGCATATGGTGCTGCATCTGCCTGACACTGAGGATCCTTCAGGTACTGTGTGATCTGCAGTTCATCCAGGAGCTTGGACAGAAGGACGCCGGTCACCTGTGAACCCACTGCAGAACCACTCTCTGCCAACCATGTCTTCAGGGAAAAGCCTTAAGACAAAAGGAACAGGAAGTTGGTCCATACTGATACTGATATTCAAAATACAACACAGTTGGTTGGCCCAAACTCATATTGATATTACAAATTGCAAACCATATTTCCAACCCCAAAGTGTAATGTTTATCAATGTACAAAACCAAAACTGTATCCATAAAATCTTGCTTTTCCTATGTACCCAGAATAACATATAAAGGCACAATTGATTGTTAAACCAACATGAAACCTGTGGGAATTTGTGGTCTGAACCTAGTTCCCCAGCTGCGCATTACCAAAACACAACAGGTGCTTGATAATGTACTGTGTAGACAGATGTTCATGATATCAATCCCCGGGTTCCTGATTCAGGCTCAATTACGTACAAGCCTCCACCATAGATATGTAGTGGGGACAACGATAAGTGCAGCCTGACACAACAAACAAACAAACAAACAAACAACTCATGCCACAGTTAACAACAGTGCTTACCTTTCAGAGACAGCTTGTCCTCCCAGTTGCAGAGAATCTTGGGGAATTTAGCCTCGGTAATGATGGGAACAGACAACAGACATGTGGACTCTGCCTCAAAGCACAGGGACACATTCAGACTAACCAGGAACTTCCGCTCCCCTTTTAAGTCATCAATTTTAAATCTGAAAAACATCAAGCATTGATATACAATGAGAAGCGAAAATATACAGTGAATGAGCTAGGTTTCAACATTGTTTTGATTTCAGTTATATCAGGATGGGATAGTTTAATGTTGTAGTAAAGCCGAAAGTGAAACAGGACTTTAGATGTTTATTGTTTTGTTGAAATCCAAAGCTATGATTATGATGCTGACTAAGAGATAATGAGGATCAGGGACCCAGGATCAAAGGATCCTGTACGTGTGAGGGAAGAAATGCTTGAGCCATTTGTGTGCTAGAAAAGTGTATACTTTTCATGATATGAACTGAACTGTTTCATATACATAATGAGCAGTATGACAATTTTTTAATTTGGATACGTACAGAAGGAGAACTGGAAGATTGTGAACATCCATTGTGATACTGCTTCTCTGTGTCTTTGATGATGACACAAAAGTGATATCATTTAATATTCTGGTTTGTTAACGTGTATCTAATTTGCTAAAAAACAACAGGAAATTCAAACACTTACTCAATTCGAACCACTCCATTTAAGTTAAATTGCTCCCATTCACCTGAAACAAAGAAGAACAATCAACATATGTCCACAAAATTGAGACAAAATTGTCTGGAATTCCCAACTGATGAGTAAGGATTCTTCCAGATGAATGTATTCTGTGCCCTAAACACAGTCCTGTAGGCAGGGTCCAGACTTCTGAGGTATTGGTTCTTACGGTCAGACCAATTCTATTTCTTGTTTTACAGATCCGCCGGTCGTATTGTTTCAAGAATAAAAAAAAAAAAGTATTTTTCCCGCTCCCCTAAAGAAATCCTAATGTTTTCATTGGCCAAAAATGTAAAGTTGGAAGAAATTTTTTTAGATGTTTTTTTGCCCCATATACCCTTCATAAAAAGCCAAAGTAAAATACTTTTAGTATTTAAAAGGAATATTACTTTGACTGGTGAGTTTTTGTAAAAAAAAATTCCCTCCTGCCTTTAGGTCTTCAGAGGACAAAAATCTGTCAAACAAGAAATGAAATTGGTCTGGCCTAAATAACATGTAATAGTGTAATTGCCAAATATCACTAATGTTCATTGACCAATCACTATAATTCTCACCACATTTATGCCAAATGGAATCTGTTCGGGAAGATAATATTGACATTTTACATTTGAAGAGGAATGGGTATGGCCTAATCCCTCTCATGTGGGTCAGTGTCTATTTCAAAATGCCCAATCAGCAATCTTGCAGATTTCCCCTAATTTATGTTTTTGATGTTTATTACATAATTTCTGGGAGATTATTGCAAGAATTAACAAGAATTTCTCACATAATTACATTCCCCACATATTGGCTCGCAACATATAGCTCTAGAAATCTGTTTTACAACCTATGTGACATACATACCCCACTTGTAGTTAAAGAGTGCTGTCTTGAAGACCAGATTCTCTATGCCGACTGTGAGAACATAGTCACACGTGTTCAGTAGTATCTTGGCGTTGAAGGACATCCCTAAGCTGGCAGCAGTCACACAACAGTCAAGCCCAGTGCAGTAGTCCGGGATATGGCAGGACAGGGAGTTGGGCAGACTTGGGAGGGCCAGGTTCCGGGGACAAGCTGAAGAAGTTGTAGGATTAGATATGTAAGCTGGTTTACCACTATCGTCAAGGACAAGGTATGATACTTTTGTCCTTACAAAATGTTAGATCTTATGACTATATTTTCACTTTGTGTTTAAGACACTATTGATAACAAATGAGTGTAAAGCCAGACATGAAAGACAAACATGTTCATAAATCTGCTGAAGCCTAAAAATTGAAGAGTGGAAAAAAAAAGAAAAAAAAAGAAAAGCATTTTCAACTTATATTCTGCTGACAAGAAATAGTAAATAACCTTGCATACTTTTGTTATCAATATCAATAAATTATCAAAAAATACATTAAACTTAAGTAAACAACTCTTCCCCATACTCTCTTCACCTACCTGTATTCCACCCGTTGCTATCTGCCTTGTATATTCCAACCTGTCTGTTACACATGGGCTCAAGCAGGTACTGAGAGATACCCAGCGCCTCAGCCAGCTGGGACCTCAACAGGGAGGTCAGTGACCCTGGGCCAATATTCTGCTGACTCAGCCAGTTGCCAAGAGAGAAACCTAGAGAGGCATCACAGATTAATTTTAACATTAAGAGATTAATATATTATGGATATTTTTATCATAATACAGTGAGACCCTTATACTGCACTCTTGCCACTATTTTTAACAGATATGAAGATGAGGTAGCTTGACCAGAAAATCCAGTGATCAACTGCATGAACATTGATCTACGCAATTACCATTTTAATGATTTGTCAATCAAGTCGATGAGTCTGACCACCCGATCATGTTAGTAACCACTTTCGACAAGCATGGGTTACTGAAGAAAGATTCTACCCCGGATCTTCATGGGTCAGATCTGAGCAAGGTAATGAGTACAGTATAGGGCATTGGTGAGTCTCACCTTCATGTGTGGTGAAATGAGGTTTAACTTCACCTTCAAGAATATTTCACTTATAAAACGATATGCCTGCAGGCGAGTGAGGGCTAATATTACCCACTATTAATGGTAGGGGTGGGTATTGCAGAGAATTTTCATATTGCGATATATTGCGATGCGAAAGCATGTATTGCTATATGTATTGCAATATATTGCATAAAGTATTTTTAAACAAAAACTACTTATAATCGAGTTACTTCTTGATTTATAGAGCTAAAACACAACAAAATCACTAGGCTTGATTAAGCTTTAATAACAACTTTTAATCATGATAAAATAAAAATGTGAATAATATTTGGCACAAATGATACAAGGACATATCCGAACATTTCCGAGTGTTAAGAAGTTTTCCGAATGCAAGTCAAAATACGGTTTTCAATCAGCGTATCGCAATACATATCGTTTTCATGTCTGAACCGGTAAATACCGGTAAACCGTTTATATTGTGCAGCCCTAATTAATGGTGGTTTCATAGTACTTGCCCACTCTATACCATGCCACTGTGATATGACAACATGGATACCTTACTCAGACACAGAATACTGACTCTGCCACAGTCCTTGTTTTACCCCTGTAACATGCAAGGTAACAACAAGTACCATCCTATAACATCTCTTGAAACAGACAGGGGAGAGAACCACTGACCTTCCACTCCCCAGATGTTCTATCAATGAGACCACACAGAACGTCTTACCTTTAAGTGCTTTAGTTGAGTTCCAGTCACACAGTGGGTTGGGGAACCTGGCCTGGATCACTACAGGTACAGTGACCACGCAGGCCTTGTCTGCCTCAAAACAAGCGCTGATGTTCAGACTGACCAGGAACTGTTTCTCCCCCTCCAGGTTATCTATAGTGAAACTGTGCAGAGAAGAGGGAGTGAGAATAGTCTTAGGCACTTAGTCTCGTAATATTACAGGGGGGACACAAGGAATGGGTTGCTTTGTACCCACATGGGGAAAGGAACCCAAACCTTTGGTGTGAAGTGCAAAAGTTCTTACCATTAGGCTACCACTCTAAAGATTAAAATAAGTGAGTGTTATTTTCACAGCATGAGAGTATAATGTATCAGGAATGGCCAATAAGATGCATATAATCTAAATGATACAAGATCCCATGAAACAAATGACAAGTTATAGTCAAATCAAGATCTGAACCGATCAAATCTGGAATTCAGAGGCAAATCATTGGGGTTTCATCTGCTAAACTGGTATTTATGTACCCAAAACAATACCAAAGCTTGGAATAAGTATATCATAATAATGTTTATCATGTGGTATTCAAGACACAATTCCAACACTACAACTCAATACTCAGTTGTGACTTCATCAACGTCACCATCATTATGATGCATACGCCAAGGAATGTTTACATGTAAACAACGGGAAATAGCTCCATAAAAATGATTCAATAATCCAGAAATGTGTTAATCCCCAGTTAGGTACAGATGTTTTAAAGTGTCAGGACAATTTGAGTGATATAACAGGATTTGTAAATACTGAAAGGTTTACAAACGTAAAACCTGTATATGTTTTCTTTCATGGTTAGAAATGTTCCACTCACTCAGCCCTGAAGACACCCTTGAGGTTGAAGCTGTCAGGCGTTCCCCAACTGTATTTAAATAACATCTTCCGGAACTCCAGCTTCTCTATACCCAGAGTGAGGCTCATTCTGCACATGTCAAGGTCGACCTTGAAGTTGATGTTCTTGCTGATGAGGGGTACGTCGAGACAGCAGTCGATAGCAGTGCAGTGTTCAGGTACACTGCAGGACAGGGAGTTGGGCAGGGTGGGGAACGTTATGTCCAGGGGGCATGCTGAAAAGAACATCAGAGACATGGATTTTTGCAACATTTCTCTCAGTAAGATGTGTCAATCATAAGGAATTATTCAGCTAACACCCTGTAGCATTTGCTGCAGGTTCTCTATAATGCTGTGACATACCTGAGTTCCAGCCTGTCGGCCCTCGGGTTGCTAGGCTGCACGGTGTGTCTTGGAGATATGAGGCAAGTCCAAGTGTGTCCATTAGTTTGTCCACCAGCAGGTCACTCAGCCTGTCCGACAGCTGTGCTCCTTGTGTCGATACGAACTCCGTCAAGGAGAAATCTGGGGATTGAGTGTCACAGTTCTAATTTACTGGTTGTGAAGATGTTTTTCTGCCATGGATATGTCTATCAAACTGTGAATATGCCTAAATGGCACCTATAACTGCCACAATTTCCTCTGCTTATCACATGTAAGGAAACATCTGTCACACAGAGTGAGTGAATGAGTTTGGTTTTACGCCGCTTTTAGCAATATTCCAGCAATATCATGTTGAGGGACACCAGAAATGGGCTTCACACATTGTACCCATGTGGGCAATCAAACCCTGGCCTTCGGCGTGTTCCAAGGTAGGTGTTGATACTTTGTACTAACTACAATAAGACAAAAAAGTCCAAATGTTTTACCTTTGAGCTGTTTTGTGGCTTCCCAGTCACAGAAGGGTTTAGGCACCAACATATCTACAAAGATGGGCAGCTTGAACTGGCATTCTGCCCCTGCGGTAAGGCACACCTTCAGCTGGAGGTTGACCAGGAACTTCTTCTCCCCCGGCAGATTCTGTATGCTGAACTCAGCCTTGAACACTCCGCCTATGTCGATCTCCTCAGTTTTACCTGGGAAAACCATCATCTCAAATCAACAAAAGGAACAACATCAATGGAAATTAATGATAACAAAGGTTCATAAAACACCTGATGTTCTGTCTTTGATGGCATGTAGAAGCTGGATGAACAAGAAGACAGGTGACTACTCCATTAGAGCAAAAGGGAGGTAACTCATGGGTGAGTGTATTTTTACATCCGCTTCGGGAACTTTAAGTGTTCCACTACCATTCGAAAAGGAAAGGGAGATAAGCAAAAGATCACGAGTCAAGATAAGTAAAAATTATATTCATATTAACATGCCACAATCAACAAACCATTATAATTTTTTAAATTTTATTTTTTGTTATAGGATATTTATATAATGTACATATCCACGCAACTAGTACATACTCAAGGCGCTGGTATTTGTTCGCTTGATACTTTGACTTTATCAGGTAATAAAGGACACATTGACATTTCATCACCCTCAATTGACCTCACTTTGCTATCCTAGTCTGCCCCCTTGCATGAGTACTGTTAATTTAAGTCATGACAACATCATTTTATATTTGTTTTGAGCCTTAGATTAATAGTTGGTAAGTAATACATCTGGTAACTAAAAAAAGAAGTATAATTGTCTACCCCATGTACATTGTGATAAAGAACAGTTTTGACCTGAACTATTGCAGTCCAGGTGGAAATAACTTTAAAATTGCTAGTGTACTCCGGTACAGTGGCACATGTGAAATCACTTGCCCTGATAATTTTTTTCGTTTTTTCAACGTTTTCTTGTTGATTTTTTAAATAAACAACATAATTAACATTGGAATATCAACTGGACACCGGTACAGTGTGATATACAAATTTGCTTGCCCGACAGAAAAAAACACTGGACTTGGGCATCGGGCAATGGGTTATTTCCACCCCTGCAGTTAAAGCATGAGAACACTTGTGAGCTGTATTTGTTGGCACGTACCCCAATCATACTCAAACAGAGTATGGCTGAACTCCAATTTCTCAATCCCGACACTCATGTAGAAGTTACAGGAATCAATGAAGAGATGTGCGTTGAAATTACGTCTGATCTGCGGCACTTTGGCACAGCAAGAGATCCCCGTGCAGAAGTCACTGATGTAGCAGACGACATTTGAGGGCAGAGCAGGGAGGGTCATGTTCTCAGGACAATCTGGCAGGATGAAGAAGAAAATCACAACTGATGCTGCTGCTACTGTTGCATCCACACATGAGCAAAACTGGTTCAAGTCTTGATTACTATTCTTTAGTGTACACTTATCAGTAAGATGAAGAATAAATACAGTTATGTTTGAAATGAAATCTTAGAACATCAATGGGTCATAAAACAAATTGTTTGATCAGCATTCTAGAAGTAGGTGAGTCAATAATGAAGCATGTGACTTTATGGATAACAGCTTCTTGTTTATTGCATAGAGCGATGTTTCGGTGTAGATTCTTACACCATTAACAGGCAGTTGTTATCCATAAAGTCGTATGCGTTACTACTGGTAATAAAACAACATGACATTGTCAATGAAGGTTACAAATCACGTAAGTTACTCCAGAAATGAAGACTGATTTCTTGCTTGGACAGTTTTGTTATCTCTTTGTTAAAAGAAATTTATGATCTACTACTTTAAGGCATGGTTCATAAAACATGGACTTTTTGAGATGGTCTCCATAATTGGCCATGCTTTTGAAGATACCAATAACCTTTACACATAAACCCCAAAAATTCTTAGCATTTGTAGTGCTCATGGGGCTTGGGAAATATTTCAAAGTAGTAAGTTTTCAAGTCATCCTATGTATATACCGTTCTTCCAGCCTTGGATGGCTCCCTTGTATGGAGTGACGTAGGTCTCACACTGGTCATCCAGGAGGAACTTGTCTATACCCAGCTGCTCCAGCAGCACGGCAGACAGCGCAGCAGTTATCTCCCCTCCTCTTTCCTTCAGCCAGTTGTTCAGGGAGAAATCTAAACATGAGAATGGAATTAAGTTCATGCAACCAAAAAGTATGAATACACAATCTCTTAAGTTTCATCCATGGGAATGTGTCAATTTACACTTGACAAAGGGAACACAAAGCATGCGATCTAGACTACCAGTTGTAAGACTTCAATTTTGTGGAAGCTACAGTGGCTGAGCGGGTTAGATAAATGACTTTGTTTGATTAGATTGCTGACTATTAGGTGCTTGACGCAGATGGGAAACAACCCATCAAGTACCATAAAGTACTCAAGAGAACTAGAATTTGAGAAAGTGTAATCCCAAATATAACACATGTTCGACAAAAAGTAGTGAATATATATATTGTTTAACATCACACAAGGCATTTTTCCAGCTTTTAATATCAAGACAGCTGAAAATAATTTACACTGGATTAGACATTTCAAATTATTCTTCAATCCGCTGAATTTGATCTGATGACACGCCATCAGTCCCAGTGCCTCATAAAACAATTATTTCACATGACTTGTAGAAAAGGTATATGGTACTAAGAGGCAACTCACACCCTAACTTCATGGTGAACAGATAAAATAAGATACTGAGACTTTTGAAAAGGCATTGAGAGAACCATGGGTAAACAAAATAGACAAAAAAGCTTTAACATAATTCATACTGAACAGAATTTTTATATTGCAAACATTTTTCTTATTTAACATAACATAGTTATACCTGGTATTTTGAATCCCTGTATTGGAGCGCAGCCAGGCATTGGGAGCTGTGATTGGTCAAATATCTTCAGGTCCAGCTCACAGTCCCCACCCTGTAGACACAGACTCACGGTCAAGTCCACGATAAACATCTGCTGGGAAAGTATACGCTCGATCTTGAAACTGGGGAGAGAAAAAAGTCAGTATTTAACATAATGTGCCAATGGTGCTCTGTAATAGCGGTAAACTATCACATCAGTGAGTGAGTAAAAGTGTGGTTATGTCCAGTCACCTCAAGCAATAATCCAGCTATACCAGACAAAATAATGATCTCTTCACGAGTAGAGAATTTGAATGACAGCTTGACTAAATATTTATATATTTATATATTCTTCAAATGAGGTTCCCCCACCGTGATGTTGCTGCAATATTGTGCCAAAACTAGTCAGTGTCTTCTGTGTGCCACTATTGTCTCTTACCTAAAAGCTGAACATCAGCAAATGAACCCAAATATTTGTATTCTAATTTTTTTTTATTACCGTAAATGAATAAAAATGAAACCTAATCTGAAAAGTACTCACTTCATTTTTAAAACTGGAACTCCATCTATCGTAACCTCTGTCTCTGTCCCTGTTAAAAAGCAAGCATGGTTTAAATTTGATTTAAATTTCAAAATTTTAAAATAAGAATTTATTCACAAAGATGTGACAAAAGCCAATATAGTGTAGTGTAACATACAAGTCAACATTCATTTCAGCTGATCACACAATGCAGAGAAACAATTGTTACATCTTTTTCAGCCAATTATAATGTTCTGATACAATAAATTCCTTGGCTGGTTTCCACTGAAACCATGAATAAAATACCATGAAAATGAAGACATATACATGTATACCATCTATATGTATGACGGATAAGATACAGCATAAGTGGAATGTTCAAAGTGAAAATGATAAATATATGACACAATATATAATGTCAGTCCACATTATTCAAAGATACATACCCCATTTGTAATCCAGTATATTAAGCCTAAAGCTGAACTTTTTGATAGACCCCTCTATGTAGAAGTTGCACAGATCTATGGTGAAGGCGGTGTGGAGGGAGAGGTCGAGGAGGTTGCTGTGCATGCAGCAGTCGATGCCAAGACATTTGTCGTTGATGTAACAGTTGGCAGGAATGGTCAACTTCGTAATCCAGTAGGCTGAATCTATGTAGAAGTTGCACAGCTGTTGACCAGTGGGCAGTCTGAGAGACAATACAACACTTGGAGTAATTTTGTTCGGTCAAATTGCCCTTGAAGACACTTTGCAGATGAGTCCAGTATTCTTTGAGTGAGTGGGGGAGTATGGTTTTACGCTGCTTTAAGCAATATTCCAGCAATATCTCGTCGGGGTACAATAGAAATGGGCTTCACACATTGTACCCATGTGGGGAATCATTTTTGAACCATCACTTAAAACAATTAGAGTACAAAATATCAGAATGTCAATATCTACAAGAACATTGTTCTTCTTGCTCCTAATTTGTTTGAATGCTGAATAATGTTGAGCATTTTTTATTGTGCAAAAATATTAGTAGACTATTTTTTACTATTGTTACATGTTTAAGTGAGTGGGGGTTTATGATACATTTAGTTATGGTATTTCCATACCAGTTATCTCACACAAAGGGAGACTAAGAAGGGCGTTTTGCTGGACATGGACATCAAAACTAGTTTCAGAAATTCTTTTCTGAGAGAGAAAAAATGTTGAAAAGTCAAATTCTGTGGTACCAGCAGTGAACACTGACATGGATGCCTAAACAAATAAAGTGGTACACCTCGAGAGGGGATTGGAATCCGCAGCCACTACATCCATATGGGAGTGAGTGAGTGAGTTTAGTTTTACGTCGCACTCAGCAATATTCCAGCTATATGACGGTCGGTCTGTAAATAATCGAGTCTGGACCAGACAATCCAGTGATAAAAATGCGCAATTAGGAACCGATGACATGTGTCAACCAAGTCAGCGAGCCTGACAACCCCATCCCATTAGTCGTCTCTTATGACAAGCATGGGTTACTGAAGATCAATATTCTAACTCGGACCTTCACGAGTCAGGTATGCATATGGGAAACAGATATGTGATGAAGGGATGTTTTGGCCACTTAACAAAACGATTTCATACATGTTTTAAAGTGAAATTTAACATTGGATGTAGCCTACCATTCTTCCAGTTATCAGCATCTGCAGGCTGGTACTTGAGACTGGATCGGTCACAAGGAGGGTCCAGCATCTTATCTTTAATCCCCAGCTGCTCCAGAAGGAGGTTCACAGCAGCCTTGGCCAGACCTTGACCTAGATCTTGACCTTTGGCTTTGGCCCAGTCAGAGAGACTAAAATCTAAAATGAAATGACTGACTGAGTTTGGTTTTACGCCGCTTTTAGCAATATTCCAGCAACATCACGGCGGGGGACACCACAAATGGGCTTCACACATTGTACCCATGTGGGGATTCGAACCCGGGTCTTCGGCGTGACGAGCCAACGCTTTAACCATTAGGCTACCCCATGTCCTGTCAATGAAGTCACATAGTAGGCTTAATAATGGTACTTGATAAATTGAAATCTAGTTAAAAAACAACATAGCAACTGCCATAGAGGATATGCAAGATTTGCACAGCATCCATTTATGCAATTGGGACAGGATGACAAAGTGTCAACCAAGTCAGCAAGCCTGACCATCCAATCCTGTTAGTAGCTTCTTACGACAAGCATAGGTTACTGAAGATCAATTCTAGAGCGGATCTTCATAGGTCCAAACTGAAAGGAACCACTGATTCAGTTTCATAATAAATGTAGTTCATTATATGGATTTCGACTAAAACATATACAGGTAGTGGTCAGGAATGAAAACAAGTTAGTCCGCCACTTTGTCAGAAGCGTGTTTGCTATAAACATTGTTTCCTGTTATTTGAGACTGGATGAACAAATGATATCATGTTGTTAAGAAGTGATGGTACATTCAAAAGTGAATGAAAGGTTTGCTTGAATACTTTGTTGAAAATCAATACTTACTTCTCAGGTTGACCTTTGCGTCAAGGTCACAAATGAGCTGTGGAACTTCAGTACCAGTCATAACCGGAAGATCTATCATACAGTTGTCATTTTCAAAGCAAACTTGAACCTTCAAATCCAGGATGAACATCTTATCTTGTTTCTTCAGACCAAAACTGTAGAATAGAAAACAGATACAATTGTCTTCTATAAAAGTTATATTCCATCCAGCATATTTCAATTTCAGCCTACTTGACTTGAACGTCTCCAAGTCCATTTGGACTTGCAACCATACCTCTCTCAGTCAGTAAAGACCAAATTAATTACTGAATTGAATAATGTTACAAAAGCTGTTCCCATCTGAAATGTTTATTTTTTATTTAAGAATTTTAATAATAATATGAATTATATTTTAACTCACTCGATAATAAATACATCTGCAATAGTGACCCCTGTTGAGACTCCTGAAAATATATATTGAAACATCAGATTATTATCTATATAACACCTGTCTTGTCATCCTTCTGTGCTAAACATGCAAGTGGTAATTTAAAAACAAAATACATTGGAAGGACATTTTAATATGTATAATATTTTAAATATTATAGTAGGGTAGCCAGTCATACTATAAATGACACAGACAAACGAATATTCATTGAAAAACAGCAAAGTTCAACAGAAATATATTCAGCATTCATACATCTTTAGTGAGTATGATATTGCACCGCCTTTAGCAATATTCCAGCAATATCACGGTGGGGGACACCAGAAATGAGCTTCATACATTGTACCCATGTTGGAATTGAACCCGGGTCTTTGATGCAATGAGCATACACTTTAACCATTAGGCCACCCCATTGCATCTCATACGTCTTAAAGGAACACCTGGTGTCATCACTGATTTTCAGTAATCCATTTATATAATATCCATAAATATTTTGCATTTTACGCCAACTGGTATTTATTTCAGTAAATAATCACTACTGATCATTCTCTGGTTCTGAAGTTGTACATTTGTATGGTTAAACCACTGTTTGTGATAATGTTCATGATGTATTGAGATGTACCTGTGTTAAGGTTGACATTATCGCCCAGCATGTTGAAGGTGAAGTTTTTCTTCTCTACAGCCGCAAATATGAAGTAGTCACACATGTCGACATTAAGGATGGCGTTGAAGGACATTTGAAGAAAGGGGACATCAAAACAGCAGTCGATTTTGGTGCACGAGGCCGATAGATGGCAGTGCAATCCTTGAGGCAGTTTCGGGAGCTTCCGGATGCTCTTTGGACATTCTGGAAACAAAGTTGGTAATGAGTGACTGAGTGTGAATGAGTGAGTGAGTGTGTGAATGAGTGAGTATGTGAGTAAAGAATCTGAATTGTCTCATTTCGTGATTGACATCATGCACAATGACCCATGTCATCAGGAATGATGACGGGAAAAGTCTAATGATGTGGCAAGGACATCCTGTTCAGAAACATGTTTATTGCCACCAAAAAGACCTACTGAAGAACAAATCAGCCAAAAATGTTCAGCATTCTTCCATTTATCCACACTGGGGATTTAAAGTTCTAGAATCTCTACATTAAACATCTCCCCCCAAAACAACTCACCATTCCTCCATCCATCCACACTCGGGGTGTAGGGATCCCTCTGGACATCACACCTCTCCTCCTTCAAGTACTCAGCGATGCCAAACTTGTCCAGCAGCAGCCTTGCAGCAGACTGAGATAGAGCCTGGGCAGCATCCAGACCCAGTTCCTTTGTCCACTCTGACAGCGAGAAATCTGGAAGCAATGGAAATGAGGTAATGGTTCTTCTGTAAAGAGATACACAGACACCCAAAAATCTGAGAAACTTTGTTTGTGGCATCATCAAATGAAATATTGTGTGCTTGATTCCAGCAAGTCAAAACACATTTGTAAAAGGCCAATGGAGCATGAATAAAAACTGTCATGAAATTGATATCATACCTAATAAACCCAAAATAAAACAACAAAAATCAAAAGAAAGAAGAAAATACATACATTTGAAAAGAATATTGAGACATTATTATTGAGTAATAATACAAAATGCTGCATCACAAGCAGCCTACAAACAATCTATATATGCAAAAAAATTGAATCAGAAATGCATATCCTTTTCAACATAACTCTTGTTTTGGGGATGTATAACTGACTGAAGGGAGTTGTAGAATAAAAATGAGATCAAATGAAAATTAATAAAACATGTTCGATCACCTAAATGTAACCACTTAATGACTGAAACTCACTCTGTTTTGAGAACTCCACCAAAGCCTTGGCATCACATGCAGGTATCTTCTCCCCCTTCATCAGCTGTAGACCTCCGTCTGGGAAACAGAAGCCCTCGTCGTCTATCGGGATACACGTGGTCACGCTCAGGTCAATGATAAAACCCTGGCTGTACTTAGAAACGGAGAAGCTGAAAGAGACGTTGAAAATCACAGACTTGTCCACTAAACAATAATTATGTCAGATTACGAGTTCAATTTTCAGGGGGCTGTGCGATAGCCCAGTGGTTAAAGCATTCACTTGTCACGGTGAAGGCATAGGTTTGATCCTCCACATAAGTACAATATGTAAAGCCCATTTCAAGTGTCCCAATTCATGATACTGCTGGAGCATTGCTTGAAGCAGCAAAAAACCCATCTCACTCACTCATTTTTAAGCCAGCCATGTGTGTCTTGACGGAGAATGTAAATCTGACACACGTTGTAGACTGCCACAGTAGTGAACCATAGGTATGGTGATAACAATAGAAGTCAAAAGAGCCATTCCATATTCATGCCAAAAACAAAATCTATTGTATGATTCTGACTATTAAAATAACATTGATGTTAAAATAAAATGTTTGAAAGATCCACAGTTGATAATTGCACAAATGTTGATAAATTGTTTTGAAGTTTAAGGAATTTCTGGTGACATGACATGTATTATTATATTATACTCGTTCATTTTTCAATCAATAAAAATGGTTTGTGGAGTATAAACTTCACCTTATGACAGACCCTTGTATGAACAAGCTAAAGAAGTGATATGATTTGAACTTGCATGGATGAAAGCATTCATACTCCAGTCGACCTATACACTGTGAAAAGTTACTTCTTTAATACCCTGAATAGGCTAATAGCATCTCCTGATGGGTTGACCATTGTGATATATGAGTGATAGAGAACCCTGGGAGGTAACTCTTTGTCATAGGTGAAGGACATCATGTGCGTGAACCTATGTCCGACTGAGCGAAACAGTCAGCCATCTTGCCCTTCACAGCTTGGCAATGTAACTAAAACCTCAATAAATATATGATCCTATATAATGGCTTGTGATACCACGGAGACAACAACCATGTTATCTGAAGTATATTGAACAATTATTAATGTCATCTACCTTATGATGATAGGGGATGGGTCTCCTTCTCCAATTTCCAGAGCTGTTACACTGCCTGAAAAAATGAAAACAGGTTATAGGTTCCGTGATAACATCCGAACAGCAGACGAATCGTAGACACGAATGAATGTCAGCTTAACCTCACTAACACTTTGTGTGAGTCCTCAAAGCAATATTAAACAATTACCAACCAAGACAATAAGGCCAGACCAATTTTATTTCTTGTTTTACGGATCCGCCAGTCGTATTTTTGCAAGAATAAGAAAACATTTTTATAAAATTTTCCTAGCTCCAAAAATAAAATCCTTATGTTTTTATTGGCAAAGAATGTAAAGGTACAAAAAAGATTTTATTGATTATTTTTGCCCCATATACACATTATAACTTGCCAAAAATAAAATACTTTTAGTATGCAAAAGAAATATTACTTTGACTGGTGATTTATATTTTTTTCCCTCCTGCCTTTAGGTTTTCTGAGGACAAAAATCCGTAAAACAAAAAATAAAATTGGTCTGGCCTAAGCAATCAATGCAGAGAATCATTTCATTCAAAACATTATAACTTATCAACTTCTTTTCCACACATGACAAATATGAGCAGTTATATTAACATATAATCAATAAGTTCTTTGAGTGAAGAACTTTATCTTCCGAATCGGTAAAGAACAAATAATAGAACAGTATTTCAGCCCATTACACAGTTCCAAAACATACATGATCATTGTGGAGCATATACTTTTATGTATGCTTCCTACCCATTCAACTTTTTAAAGTCAAGAGATATAAAACATTAACAAAGTATGACAGAAATCACATATGGGGCTTTCAAAATACAACTATTCACAACATTTCTTTGTGAACTTATTTCTTGGATTTTCCATTCACAAAATATTGAACTAATACCAAACAATTTCACATGATCCTTAGCGGATATATTTGTGAAGATTCTTTAATATCATCAATATCTAATTCTGCAAGTCCAATAATATGACATGTACATCTTACCCCAGTTATATTCCAGAAGCGTTTCTTTATGATAATACGACCCAAATCCAACCTCCACTGTAAAATTACATGGCTCGAACTTGAGGAAGAAAGGGATGCTCTTGAGAAGAGGCTGGTCAAACAGAGGTATGTTAAAGACGAAGTCCACACAGCACTGGACACCAAAGCAGTTCTCTGGCAGACCACAGGTGACCTTGTCCTGGAAGCTTGAGGGCAGATAGTTGGTGATGTTGGGGAGCTGCCAGGGGCAGTCTGGAATGTAATGAGTTTTACTGGATGTATAATCCAATGATTATTGTAACAGAACACAGCAAATAAGGCATACATAATTTTCCCTTTGTTGCGTCTGTAGAGCCTATCGGATAATTGCGTGGAAGAACAGAAGTTTTACGAGGTTAAAGGTATCACATGGTATAATCATCAATAAAATTGGAGAGTTTAAAAAAACACAACAATTCTTTTTCTTCATGATGCACATTTACCTGCTGGTGATGATCCCAGTGAACAAGGGCCATTAGTAAATACGGTCTGAAAGGGAACAAAATAATTAACATTATGGAAATCATGTAATTGAAAGATTGTTTGGTTGTTTGTTTGTTTGTTGTCTAACGCTGCACTCAGTTACAGGGTAGCAGCCTACAAATAATCAAGTCTGGACCAGACAATCCAGTGATCAACAGCACAAGCATTGATCTATGCAATTAGGATATGATGTCATGTGTCAACCAATCAACCTGATGCCTTTAGTCGCCTCTTACGACAAGCATTGGCTGCTGAAGACCAATTCTAACCCGCCTTTGTAAAAACATGTAATTAAATTTTACTCCATGCATGCCAGTACTTTCAATTTTAAAACCAAGTTTCTGCTATAATGCTTTAAAGAAACAAAATAACTATCACATCTGCAATACTTTATGTTTACAGTAACTCTTAAACCTTGCACAAAGAAAACTTCTTAATATTGAACTTCAATGTTAAAAAGGATTTCAAAGTGGGTTTTCTGAAACAAGTGACAAGGACAAAGTGTATAAGAAAAGAATAAACCTAAAAGGAACAACAGGTTGTAATATCATTACATGAATAACAGGCAATACAGAAGTATAGCCCTGAAAACTTAATACAAGATACCTTCCCTGCTTCTTCCATCTTGTGGGGTAGCCCAGTGGTTAAAGCGTTGGCTTGTCACGCCAAACACCCAGATTCGATCCCCCACATGGGTAAAATATGTGAAGCCCTTTTCTTGTGTCCCCTGCCGTGATATTGCAGTAATATTGCTAAAAGCGGCGCAAAACCATACTCACTCACTCACTCTTCCATGGTTAGACATGATACAGTTCATAACTACACCATTATGAGATCATATGTTGAAATGATATTTTCTTACATCAAGTTTAAGTTTTTTGAAGATAACGTCTACCACTTCGCCAATAAGTTTTCCTCCCATCTGTTTGGCCAGGTCCTTGATGGAACCGGTTCCTGGAAATAAATGTTCAACATTGGTAAAAGAGGTGTAATAGGGTTTATTGCAATCATAACAGGTTAACAGTCATATGACCATCTTATCCCACTACGGTTTATTGCAATCATAACAGGTTAACAGTCATATGACCATCTTATCCCACTAGGTACCCAATCACTGCTGGGTGAACAGAGGCAATTTTCAACAAACTCACGTGCCTAAGCTGAGACCAAATGTGCTTCGTTGTGGGCCAGGATAGAAATTTCATACCTGGTAGAGAAAAGTTTTCATTGCACAGAGGAATAGGGACATCAAAGTTCTCCAAGAAGGTGGAGTCGAGGATGGGTTCAGACCCAATACCCAGCTTCAGACCCATGGTGACTATAAAGACCTTCCTCGTCTCGTCACGGTCTATTGTGTACTTGATGATCACTTCGTCAGATAACTTCAGCTCAGAAGGAGTACCTGTGGACAAAAATAACACAGTGAGTGAGTAAGTGAGTTTGGTTTGAGGCAGCTTTTAACAATATTTTAGCAATACCACAGAGGGGGACATCAGGGAACAGACTACACAATGTACCTGGCCCATGTCACTGGCATGACAAACGAATGCTTTAACCACCAGGAAATCCCAGAAAATCACATTGAAAGGCAAGACTCTGACTTTTTGGTGTTCCATGCTTCTCATTTAATAGAGGTGTGATGATACAGAAATTTCACGATACATATTGCGTTTTCTTGGAATGATGCGATACGATTCCATTCGATGCATATCACGATATGCTATCTTTAGTTATTTTCGTTCAAATTGTATATTTTGATAGCAAGTAACAGTGTAAATCTTGACATAACCGCCAATTTCTGGTGAAAAATTAATAAGTTTAAGGTCAATTGATACATATCATGATACGAAAAAACGTATTGATATATTTGTCGTCAGATAAAGTATCATGATTATAGATACTACGATATATTGTCACAGCTTTGTCATTTAAACGCATGATTGTATTCATAACACATATACCAGTACTGCAAGAGATGACGATGTATCAGCTCTTTCAGTATAATGTTACCCTTTTAGTTCACAATCTGCATGGAAGGTACATGGCACCTCTTCTTGTTCACGGAACCTCTTTCTTAAAATGGTATCTCAGGGTTTTGTATGCAAAAATGTAGAGAATGGACCAGAAACACAACTGCACCCACAACACATCCATGACTTTGCTAATTGTTTGGTTGTCTACATGTCATCCATCAGTCAACACAATCAATGATTCATTCCAGGCTCTACAGGAATTATCAACATACACTTCTCTACACTGTTACTTCACAGGACCCTAATATTGTCATCAATGACCTTTAAAGCTGATAATTAGGGGTCCCGGAACCTCCATGTTTGTGAGTCAACTTAAAACCCTGATATATCTGTCCAACAGAGTACCTCTTTCATAAAATGGTATCTCTTTCAATACACGGTACCTCTTTCATAAAATGGTATTTCTTTCAATACATTGTGCCTCTTTCATAAAATGGTATCTCTTTTAATACACTGTACCTCTTTCATAAAACGGTATTTCTTTTAATACACTGTACCTCTTTCATAAAATGGTATCTCTTTCAATACACGGTACCTCTTTCATCAAAGGGTATTTCTTTCAATACACAGAGCCTCTTTCATCAAAGGGTAGTTCATTCATAAAACAGCATCTTGGCTCAGGGGTGACCACAAATATACCTTTGTATCAGGCACCTCACATGTTAGCTGCAGGTTTACGCACTCCCCTTTACCAAAATCATCAACCCACTTCTGTAACCAGAGTTTACCAATGTGTGGTTCCTTTCAACAATTATGCTATGTTACTTTGACCACAGGGTCTCAAATATCTGTTAAGCATAGAGGATATTTTAGAAATTGAATCTGGGCTCTTGGTGTGGCCAAACGAAATACAAATAAGGTGAAATTGGTAGTAACCACCTGGCTAAGATTGTAAATGCATTAAAACAATGGTGGCTATGATGATCAACTACTGCAATATTATGACATGAATTATGATGACACAGATAAAGTCAGTAAAGTATTAGAAATCTATAACATATCAAGATTCTGATATATATCCGAATCCTAATTCATCCCAATTTGTATTACGCCTAAAGACAAGGGAAAAAAGTATCTACCTTTGCATCAACATCAAAACATCTTTATTAATACTTGTACATCTCCAAATTAAGACAAATGATCATAAAGAAATATAGGACTTACCCCAAGCATAGCCAAAGAGTATAACCTCGTGGGTGCAGGTCTCAAAGTTGAGCAGGAGAGTGAATCTACAGGGGTCCAGCTCAATATAGGCTCTGAATGCCTTGTTGAAGCCAATAGCCTTGATCTCGGCGTCCACACATACGTCAACCCGGAGACAATTGGAAGAAATTGACATGTAGATGATCTTGTCCAGCTTTGAACTTCTTATGGCTGGTAAGGTCAGTGTCTTTCCAAGGACAGTACACACTGGAACAGTTGGGAGTATCATCCATTATTTATTGTGTGTTGTGTGTTTATGTTTAAACTGAAGTGATTGCATTTCTGACAAGCAAATGCTTTAACCACTAGGCTACCCCCATCTCAAACAACAACGGTCAAAAACTAAGCATGTATATGAAGTGTTACATTTTTACAGATTTTACCTTGGTAGTACACAGTACAGTACAAATAGTTTCATTGTACACAAGTACAGTGTTTCCTTTGTCACTCACTGTAACATCATGCATCTGTTTTATTTTATTTATACTTTACATACTTTTATCAGCATCCCTGAGCCTCTGTTCCAGCTGAGTCTTGGTTCCAGATATGGCGAGCCCCCTCTCCTGGAGGGTCTGCTTCAGAAGGTCCTGGGTGAAGGTCTCTGGGCGATGGCAGGGGGCAGACTTGCCTGGGGCCTGGGGATTGGGGACGTGTCTTTTACAGTAACATCCACATCTTGAGATAAACTCAACTCCACATACAATACACGCAGTATTTGGCATCTTTAAATTTCTCTTATTTGCGTAAAAGAATACTTGATGAAAACATTTCATAGTTTGTTAGTTAGCAAATACTCTTCATTGCTGAGCTTCATTTACAGTTTTAATGTGCCTTGGCAAATAGTAGCTTTGTTAGTTGTTAATTACATTTATTCTTTGTACAAAAGGTTGTGTTTTAAGAAATAAAAACACAAAAAGTTGATCATGAGTTGACCTGAAATTTGTCTGTGTCATATCTAATCCTGTAATGGTAGTCCTTTCAACATATGATGTAATATCTTCATGTGTACTGAAATTTACCTGACAATTATTCACCCAGTAAACTTTAAAAAAAATCACCTACTGACATTTGTTGTGTGCACATAATTGCAAAAAAACCCAACCCATCAAACAACAGACACACAATCAGTTTTCTTTCAAATAACAGATGTTTCAAACAAGTGTGACATGACCATGACGTTCTGACTTACAGTTTTCGATATACATGGGACAAGGGCCAGTACTTCCTCTATGCCCTTGTTGATGGTGTCCTTGACCAGCTGGGACCCCTTCTCCCTGATCCGCTTTTTAATGGCTTCCTTGTCAAATAGGGCCTTGTAGTCAACTGGAATGGATAAGATTGAAAATTTGTCAGTAGTCCAGTGACTTACTATATAGAACAAACTTTTTGGATAACAACCTCTTTTATTCGTGAGTGTCTTTGAGTGGTATTTTAGAAGTTGGGAAGTACAAGAAGTTGTTATCCATAAAGTTTGTTCTATATCGTACTTCGCAACTTCTAAAATGCCACTCAAAGAAGTCAGTGACTTACTTCCCGAACATTTATCTTCATCATTGCATACCATGACATGCATCAGGTCAGCAACCTGACCCTCTGATCCTTTATGACAAGCATGGGTTGATTAAACTGGATCATCATTAAGTCAACCTCTGATATGACATAGCACAAGGAATCCTGAATATAATTCTACCATTAACAAATTGGTTATTCACTAAATTATCATCTGTCTCATGTATTACTACTTTTGTAGACTCAAAAGGTTTATTATAATTATGAACTATTAAAATCTTTTTGATATTCAGAATTGAGAGTAAGCACTTACTCTTGGGCCAACGCATTGTGCCGTCATCGAGGCAGATGGGCAGAGGTGTGGGTGCCTCATCGAGGATGTTGAAGAATGCGATGCAGTTCTCAGCATCGTCCTGGGCGCAGAAACCTGCTCCCAACGTGATCAGTGACACGAACTCATCCTTCTCAAGTCTGACTCTGCAATCACAAAGTCACGACCAATAACATCAATGAGGCTGTCTGATAACATCAACTGATCTAGTGTGATAAAGCACATATGGTTTGCTGTTGTTCATGAGATTACACGGAAAACTACAATGTCAAATCCTTGGCCCTAAATATAATCATTTTCAGTCTTGAATGATGATAGTTACGGTTCAAAGATCAGAGGATTCATCAAAGGTTTGAATTGTTTAGTGGAACTCATATTGTACAGCATGGAAATGAATGATGATCATTGAACAAGTCTAAAAGATTATGATAGTTAAGAAAGACAATACACCTTCTCCTGAATTACAGCAAAATCAACCAGTGTAGTAACCCATTACTTGTATTATGATGATCATGGAACTGAATCCACGATTCGTTAAAATTACAGCCCAAGGTCTGTCAATATCATGACCCGGCTCCACATGTTTTACCAAAAGGAAAACTGTAAACATATACAATCAACAACAGATTACGTTCTGGGGTACGAACACATCTAACTCACCCACTACATCCAAGACTTACCTGACAACCAGCTCAATGCCGCCAAGAATATTTAGCTTGATGCCTGTCTTCAGTGTCTTGTCGAATCCTGTAAAACAAGGAGAGACATTCCACTTCAAATATCAATGTGTGAGTCTCCAATATCAGCAAAACACAGTCAGTGGTTTGTAAAAGGAAAAACAGTAATGAAAATAATGCAAATGAATTTCTGTGTTGTGAATTTCTGACATGTGGTGTTCAGGGCAAGTCTGTTCTGCTCTAACACTGCACACATTTTCCAATGTTTGTGTTTGTTGCCTGGTGCCATAAAATGACAGCACATTAACAAACAAGTCTTAACTCCTCATAATTGTCTAAAGCCCCAATCTGGAACACTTTTACTCAAACATTTTACAAGATGGTCAATCCTTACTGGAGTGGAGAAAAACAACAATGTAAAAAGAGACCTTGGGAGGAAGTGGAGTCATCAATTTGTACTTAAAAATTATGTTTAAAACTTATGGGAAGGGGTGGGGGTCATCGATTTTGTACACGACATGCAGGGGTGGATGGGAGTGACACTTACTTTGTACATATATTTTAGGAGTGTGTGTGTGTGTGTGTTTCCATTCATATTGTATATGCTTCTCCATAAAAATCAACATCAACCCCACCCATAAATTATGAACAGTCCCTAACCTGTATGTAGGTGTTTATTCATATTTTTCTTCAAAATTTTACCTGCGACAATATCTTTAAGGCCGTCCAGAGCTCCAAACTTCTTCTCGAACTTCTTCTCCACACCTACAATGAACTGGAAGTCGCAGGGATCCAGCCTGGCATACACCTTGTAGGCCTTCCGGAACATGAAGAGTTTAAAGTGAGCACAGCACTCCAGTCCAAGACACATGCTGTCGAACGTGCAGTAGATGTTCTTTGGCATCCCTATCTTCATGGCCGGACACTCTGAAAAAGATGATAACCGATTTAGTACCAGACTTTTGTTTTGCATTTTATTGCTTGCTGGTAGGCGCAACTAAATTGAATTGGGTTGTCCGTCTCAGCTGACAGTATACCATCAGTATTGTACTTTGCACAGATGTTGTTTATATTATGAACCACTGGTGTGACTGGTCCAATATCATGTACAGGAGGTGCTACTCGATGTTGTTGATTACAGTGTAATACTACTTTCTCAAACAAAAAAGGAAGTTGAATAGTTTTTATCTCCTAAGGGTAACTTTGGATAAGTTCCAGAGTATCTTTTGATGGTGGTAGAAGGCTACCCAACTTGGAAATAGGAGGTTGCAGTGAGTGAGGTGAGTGAGGTGAGTGAGGTGAGTGAGTGAGTGAGAGTGAGTGAGTGAGAGTGATTATCATTCTCATGTGGGAAGGTATTCTGTGTCCAATCAGATGTACATTTGTAGGTCATGGATATTCGAAAACTGTCAGAAGTATAGTTTAACAAGGACCTGTCAGTATATATTATTATAGGAGGGTATTTTCTGTGAGGCATTGAGTTTGGATAACTGCAGCTTAGAACAACATTGCAGTTTATGTCTCAGTGGGTCAGCTTGATGTGAGAGGAAGTAATACAGGACTTGAAGTTTGGGGGGTATGCCTCTGACTAACGAAGAACCCTCAATTAGCAGATCCTCTGACAACTAAGAGAAGCAACTCTGCAAAACAAATACCGGTGCCATATACAACTGGTTAAACCTTGTTCCTTCAAGAGCAAAGGAGTTTAAAAACCAAATCTGAGTGAATCCGTGATGTTTGTTTGTCAACAAAACCTACTGTTCTGTGGTGTGGTGATCCTGTTTATCATCTGTTCTCTGGTACCATCAGCTCTCTGTCCTCTTTCAGTCAGCTCAGTCCTCAGTTGGTCGTCCGTCAGTTGGTTTGGGTTGAAGCATGGCTTGTTGTCAATCATCTCCTAAAATTTGAGTTTTAACATCACTTTACAAATTTTTCAGGAAAAGGGAACATGATGGTTCAGTTTTATGTGGAATGAAAGCCTGAAGTGATGTTGGTCTAATCTTACTGTCCTGGTGAAACCAACCAATAACAGACCAAGAAATATTCACAGTGAATCTGGGATTCAAACCATATGTTCTGGCTGTGGCTTGCCTACAGAACATCACTTCACAGTGTAATGTTTGACAATGGGTTACAATATGGAGGCCTCCCCTTTATGTTTCAGAACACAGAAGAACAACCAAAGCAACACAATCATCAGTCACAGAAACAAAAGTCTATATTGTTGTCTGCAGCTAAAGGTTTCCGCTTGCACACAGGTCTATAGCAGCACTTCTATCAGTCAGTCATTATGTAAAAAACGGAATTCTTGCAATTTATAAATACCATTTGTTGCCATGGACAATACTTTTCCCGGTCATGAACAGTGAAGATTGATGGAAGCAAGTCAACTTTACTCAAAGAAAGATAGAAAGATAGATAGATAGATAGATAGATAGATAGATCTCTTTAAGAAGGTCCTACGACTTCCAAATAAGAAACATTGTGTTAAGTAATGAGCTTTGTCTTTCAAAATTATTTAATTTATACAACTTGTCACCTGTAAAATGTGAGAATTATAGGGCATTAAAAGGAAACAAAGTCGAATAATTTTTTTTTTTTTTATAATTCAGCACCACAAGCACTACAACACGTCACAATACCTTATTACGTAATTTGTCAAACTTTGTTTAAAAAAAACATTGGCGCAGCAATGCCCCGTGACACTGTTGCTGGGTGTTGGGTGTGTCTGACTGGAGGTTCCATCTACACTTCAATGAGCTTGCTCCATTTTTACCAAACTCGTTTACGATTCCGCAATTTTCCGGTTTGCCAGTTTTGGTGGACAATATTAATGAACGAGGGTTGGTCTCGCCTAATCACAACCCTACGTGGTAGACACATCCCTGCTGTCTCAGTGGCAGCGTTGGTGGTTGGGAAGGGTTTACGCGCTCAATGGTCAAAGGGAGACAATTCAAACTTCAGCCTTCGTGTAAGCCTGATTGGATGTCAGGAAACGTGCCTGATGATGGTCAAAGGGAAACAACCCATAATCCTGTTTGCGTTACAGATTTACCTCCCTTTATGAAGGGACATAACTCTTGATTGTTATACGCGATTAACTCCCTTTGGAGCACACGCTCTGTGAGAAGTTTTAAGCGGGACACTGTGCGGAGTTCAAGCGTGTAAAACACGATTACCTCCCTTTGACCACAAACAAACTACTATTGCCAAGACACTCTGCGGAGTTCAAGCGTGTAAAACACGATTACCTCCCTTTGACCACAAACAAACTACTATTGACATCCTGTGGCCCCTGACGATGTGTTTTTTCAATGCTACGTATATTTAAATGTGTTTTTCTTAGGTTAAATTCACGGGACTATCGACAGGGAGAAACCTGTCCGATGCTCATTATTTATTAGTGTTATTTTTCGCATACAGAGAGGAAAATATGACATATCCCATCCGAATCACGGAAAAAGAAGTCACAGGAATAAGAGTCACAATACCAATATATACAAGTGGGTCGTAAAAAACCGTCATTTAACTGTTTCTTAATTTAGTCAATTACTAAGTATATTACTTTGATTATGCTTCGTTAATATAGCAGTTACTGGGTGGCTTCTCAAATGTTATAAAAGCATTATGACCACATTTAGCTGCATTTTAACCGAGCATTCAAGAGATTAACTGCTCATTGTCTCATATAGGTCACACATAACTATTATTTTCCTACAAATTTGTTTTCAGAATTAAAACTTGGATACAGCTTAAGATGATTTAGTCTTGATTTGAGAGCATGACTGAAGATTGAATATCTTACCAAAACCGTGTGCATGATTGTTGACATGTGTGTTGTTTGTTTCCTTTATAAAAACCGTCTTGCTCTTATGGCAGAATGAAGCTTGACCTTTTTTGAAATTCGAGATTGTCTCTCTGTAGCTTATGAACCTCTTCTTTCAGTTAGAATGCAACACTTTAAGTTTACCGCCTAAATCCTACCTTTTTTTTCATTCATGAGTCATTTGGTCCCTTTCAGAATATTAGGTATGTGAGGGTGGGAAAGCCACATTAACTTGATGAGCCAGTGGCTGCACAAGTTGTATGGTCCCCAGGGAGTTGAGATTGAAAATACGTTGTGCCGTTGAGATTGACATCCAATGATGGAGGTAAAACAAAGCGCTTTGAGCAGGCATGTAGATGGGGTGGACTATAGCGCTATATAGTGAGTGAGTGAGTTTAGTTTTACGCCACACTCAGCAGTATTCCAGCTATATGGCGGCGGTCTGTAAATAATCGAATCTGGACCAGACAGTCCAGTGATCAACAGCATGAGAATCGATCTACGCAATTGGGAACCGATGACATGTGTCAATCAATTGCAAGTCAGTGAGCCTGACCACCCGATCCCGTTAGTCGCCTCTTACAACAAGCATGGGTTACTGAAGATCAATATTCTAACCCGGACCTTCACGCGTTAGCACTCTATGAATACCTATATAATATAATATTGGTCATATGTCACCATTGATCTGTACAAATAAAATCCATTCTATTTGTTTCGGTCTTTCACCAATCAAGGCTATTACAACAATAATCTCGACAAATCGCCGCAAGTGATCCTGACCTTGATGAGGGTGATGACGTCCGCCATTTTGCGCTGGCTGTCGTCCAGACCGAGTATATCCATGATGTCTAGCAATGCTCCCAGCTTCAGGTTCCTCACAGAGAACTTCTTCATAAAGGCAGCAGGTTTCTTGAACAAGGCCTTCAGCGCTAGAAAAGGAATTAACCACATACATTTGTAAATGTACTTGTCAAAACATTTTGGAAATCTGGTAGTGACCGACACGTCTTCAAGCCAAAGGATCGGCTTCAATACTTCAAGTGAGTACAATACGTGAAGCCCATTTCTGTTGTCCCCGGTCGGAAGACTGCTCAAATATTGTTGAAAGCGGTATTATAATATACAATGTATTCATTCACTCACCAGTATCATTTGTTTTGCTGGCTTTATTATCTATCTCGGTCTTCTTTGTCTTCTGTTTCTGGTACATAGAGTCAGGCTGGTCTGGAACATACGTGTACATAAATAACAACGTGTTAAGGTATTGTGTCCATACCACAATGAGGCGACTGCAGGCGACGCGGATAGCCGCGTAGTTGGTGGTGTCGCTAGACCAACTCCCTCATCAACACAAACGTTTTAACAGGCTACATGTGACTGTCAGCCTGGGTCCCGATCCACAATGCGTTCGCAAAGTTACGACCTGTCGTAACTCTATAATTTATCATAGGCTTACGAATATCAAGGCGCAACGAACGCTTTGTGGATCGGGAACAAGAATGTTATAGAATATTTTAAAGATAACGGTATGGAAACAAAAAAGGGGAACGACTGTGAATGACCCCACTTATATATATGTACAAAGTAAGTAACCCCGCATGTCATGTACAAAGTCAATGACCCTGCTCCTCCTTTCCATATTTTTAAAGCATAATTTAAAAATAATTTTATGTACAAAATTGCTGACCCCCTAGTAACATGTGTACAAAATTGATACCCCCTTCCCCAGAACAGACTGGGTGACCCCCTTAAAATCAGCATTCTCCACCACCCCCAAAAAAGAAAAAGAAAGCCATAAATTATGAACGGTCCCTTAATACCTCCGCTTTTTATATTCATTCATTACAATATTAATATAAGTATGTACATAGGAGCTTACCCATTCACCAGTCAAAATCGCTTACAAAGCCAAAACCGAAATACAGGTTTACATACTGTTTGCAGCACTCAGGATCTTGGATGGATCTTTGTCCGGGTCGACGTTGGGCGGATTGTCGATATTCTCTCCCTTTCTCTCGGGACTGGTGTCATTCTCGTCCTTGCCAAGCAGACCAATGACGGAGCCCGCCGCGACAGTCTCAAACTGTACAGGAAACATGGTGAGATTACTGAATGCCACTCTGTGTCCTCAACATGTGGTGATGACATTTGTGATACGATTTTTCCAGATTATTGAGTGAATGGATTATGTCTGATTGAATGAGGTTTTATGCCTTGTTCAACAACGATGTGACGATATGTGTGTCTGAATGAGTTTAGTTTTACGCCACACTCGGCAATATTACAGCTATATGCCGGCGGTCTGTAAATAATCGAGTCTGGACCAGACAATCCAGTGATCAATAGCATGAACATCGATCGACGCAACTGGGATACCATGACATGAGTCAACCAAGTCTGAGAGCCTGACCACCCGATCCCGTTAGTCGCCTCTTACGACAAGTATGGGTTACTGAAGATCAGTTCTAACCCGGATCTTCATGGGATGTGACAATATGAAAAAGTGGTTGATAGTGTGAACACCAACACTAAATAATTCATTATTTGAAGTGGGAGTGAGCTCGCTTGGTTTAACAACCTTCCGAATAATTTCCACAATATTTCTGACGACTTAATGCCAAGGAAAGCCTGAAGTGTCATAGACTTCAAAGATTTTATTATCATCTTCAACGTCGTCGTCATCATCATCATCATACCTTCCAGACCAGCTTGTAATCATCACATTCCTGGATCCACTTTGGTATCTCGGGTATCCGAGGCTCCAGGAATCGTGTGGGTTCCACAGGACCGCCAGGACGTCGCATGGCGAAGTGGATGTGGTTGTTGCTGCCGCACCCTGACTCCGTGGCCACTCCAATCACCTGACCAGCTACCACCTGTGTATTTAAAATGACTTTATATATAGCAATTATATATCATTCCAGTATCTCCATGATCAATATTGCAAAACTTTCGAATTACAACCAATGCAATTCTTTTAGAGTTACGTGTATCTGGACACTTTTCGTCTCTTTCAGGTGTTTGTGAAGGATTCACTGGTGGAGCAGGATATGCTAACCTTTCACATTAGTGAGTGAGTGAGTTTAGTTTTACGCCGTTTTTAGCAACATTCCAGCAATATCACGTCGGGGGACACCAGAAATGGGCTGCACACATTGTACTCATGTGGGGAATCGAACAAGACTACCCCACCGTCCCCTTTCACCTTAAGTATCATAAGTATTTAATAAATACATGTGTATTATACAGTCGAAATCGTACAACGGATATATGATTTCGGAAACGGATTTTATCATTGTATTTATAACTTTGACACACGTCAGATAGATAGACTGTAATTTTGAGATTACTGTTGGCTATTCTGGTTTTCATCAGTTGTCTTTTGAAGAAGGAAAACCCAGAAAAAATAATGAAATGTAAAATCTGCAGGGGAAGTTGTCTGAAGTCAAGCTATTGTTCAGACTTTCTTGGTGTTCAACTTCACTTTAACTTTCTGGTCAACGTTGAAAATTGCATAGATGTTGAAATATCGGAAGGTTCTCACACTTGAAAAAAGGCAGTTGAACAATTCGCTAAACCGAAAATTTATTGGTCCGGAATTCTGGGGAACCATAGTGTGTAGATTAAAAGGTTCCCCTGTACAGCGGCCACCGTGGTTGTGGCAGGACGTAACCCATTACAACAGAAGGGGTGGTGGGGTAGCCTAGTGGTTAAAGCGTTCGCTCGTCACGCGAAAACCTAGGTTCGATCATCGGCCTATACATTATACAACACTGCCTGACCTGGTTGTCGACATAAAGGCCGTCGTTTGGATGTTGAATAGTGGAATTGGGGTTGACGTTGGTGATGATGATGTCTGTGTTCTTGAGGGAGCCTCCAGTCGCCTTGATGACCACTTCATTTGGCTTGTTGGACAGCATGATGATTCCGGGGAAGGGGGCGACCACCTGTTATAGAAGAAAGACGGTATCCATTTAGATACAATGGCTGACACATTTTTAGGGGCACATTCTCCTCACAATTTACCAATGTATCATTATCCTTAAGGGACAAAACACACTTCCTCATGAATATAATACAAGTGACTGCTTACTACTATCCGATCCGTGAAGATCCGGGTTAGAATGAATCTTCAATAACCCATGCTTGTCGTTATAAGAGGATCGGGTAGTCAGGCTCGCTGACTTTGTTGACACATGCCATCGTATCCAAATTGCGTAGATCGATGCTCATGCTGTTGATCACTGGATTGTCTGGTTCAGACTCGATTATTTACAGACCGTCGTTATATACATGTAGCTGGAATATTGCTGAGTGCGACGTTAAACAAACTAAACACAGTAACTGTGCCCTTCCTGGCCTTGTTAAATGCGGACTTTAATAAGTTTGTTGGCAAAAGACAGTTCACTCACAGATTTGCCTTTCATAATGGTTATGTCCACGCCGTCGTTCTCGTACTCTGGTTTCCCATTCTTTAGGCGGGAGGGGTAACTTCCATGCCCGTCACAGCCACCCCCGGTCTGTCTGAGGGTGCGAGGGAAGGCCTTGTGGCACTTGGGTCCAAATACACGATCAATCAGAGAACGCGCTGTGCGGTAACTGAAAAAAAATATGTTGTGTCAAGAATCTCTTCTCTCTTTTACAAAAAAGTGTTGACTGGTAGAAAGATGATTAATAAAATTATTACAATTATGAAAGGGGCACAGCTGTGACCCTTGTAAATTAAACCCACATGGGAAATCCATTCAGGGGAACCTTGATAAATCAACCTTTATTATACCAGACGCCCAGCAATTGGGCACCATGAAATCAAATTAAATTTTAAGTTGGAAACGCTTTCATCCAGAATGGATGGGTTAACGAGGATCTACAGTCGGCACTCACCCCTCTCGAAGAGCGTCGAAAGCTTCTTTGATGTCTTGCACGACCTTGAAAACCTTCTCGTATGTCTCCACGAACCTCCCGCCCAGGTTCTTGAGGCCGTCAAGGGGAGCCAGGAGATCATCCACGATGCCCTTCACAATATCAATCACCTCCTGCTTCTGCTCGGCCTGAAAACGTCATATGACTGGATGAGATAACTGGACGTTATGACTAGACGATATGACTGAGCGATATGACTGGGCGATATGACTTGACGATATGACTGGACGACATGACTGAGCGATATGACTGGATGATATGACTGGACGATATGACTGGGTGAGATGATTGAGTGTGATGACTGGGTGTGATGAGCGAGCGAGCAATACTCCGGTGACGTTACGGAAAGGAGGTCAAGAAACCAGATCGCCAGGAATCGAACCCAGGGCTTTGGTGTGAACCACTGCTTCACTCAGATAACTATCCGGCAGACCGAAATAGCGCAGTTGTACTAGTAGTAGTGGTACTACCTGGTAGTAGTAGTACCAGTAGCAGTAGTAATAGTAGAAGTATTTCACTGCTTCCCCACATGAATATCCCACAGGCAGTAGTAGTGGTACTACTTGGTAATAGTACTATTACCAGCAGCAGTAGTATTTTAGCCACCATCAGAAATTGGTGTAAACTTTCATATACCCGGCAAGTACTGGTACCGCGTTATTGGGGTGTTTGGGATGTTTGGTTTAGTCAGACTTACCATGGTAGTTTTTCCTTTAGTAAACTCGGCAATTGGGTCCTTCTTTCCCTTGACCACGTCGTTGACCCATGCTGACCCTCCCGTTCTGAGGGCGGAGGTGGCGTTAGACGCCATTGCCCTTATTTCCGATATCTGACCGCGAAGGTCCCACCAGTAGGGCTTCTCCTCTGAGAAGGCAAAATATCATCATCATCACCATCTAATTATCAATCTGTATGGTCTTACGATAACTGATTACACGTAAAACTTTAGGCTTTCCTCCAAACACCAAGGTAACACTGGAATACTGGTTAAAAATAGCCTACTCACTCACTCACAGATACAGTCGAGAGAATCGAGACTTATAGGTAAAAGTAACAGGTATTGGCATATATTCATTTTCGGAAATGTATTATAAACATTGGCTTTGGCTTAATCAGATGTCGTGTATGTTCGCACAAACGGCGCATTATATTTCGTAGTCTTAATTCAATGTGCAGCTAAAACTGGTGACGGTATACTCTATCTATGTCTTCCCAACAGCTGATCATGACCCAGTTTAAGCTATACTTCTATCCCATTCATGATGTAGATGCAATACATATGTACGTGCCGAGGATAAAACATATAAGCGCAATGCAACAATGACGTAACGTCGAACTATCCAAGTAATACTTACTTTTCAAAAAGAAACATGCTTGCTTTGTTTTGTTTATTGCCTCAACCAGATTCTTCACTTCCATGCCAATCCTGTGGGCAAAAATAGGTCGTCAGGTGTTAATACTTAGTGGCAAAAGTCTTGGAACCGCGAAGACACGTTGGATGTTCTCTATATTATGTTACACTTGTACGTCTCATATATACATATAGTGAAACTGTTAACTACATCATTTATATACGTTTGCTTAAGAAGTTGCCTCGGTTGAAACTCCGGTTATCTCGAATTGAAGATAACTCGATACTTTAAGGGTCCTGAAGATTACGAATTATCTATGTTAGTCCCCCTTTTCCATCTATCAGTATATAAAACACTAAAGAATACAATATTATTCGAATTTTCTTGTCATGAAATTAAAGAAAGAATACTGGTGACATTTTAACGTCATTGATTTAAAGTCACGGTCTTAACTCACGTTATGACGTTGCCGGCGATACCGGATATCGCTTGCTTCGGGTCGTTGTTGAAGTTCTTGAAGCCGTCAACAATAGTTTTAATAGACTTGAAAATCTGTTCCCCGGCCCGTGGGATGACAACGGTAATAGTCTCCATCAGCGTCTGAAAAGGGTGAAGGCCGTGGCAATGACGTTAAGTGAGCTTCCGGCGACGTCATGACATGTGTATTGAATGACATCGAATATCCTTTTTCAGAAGTTTCTCATGTGTGAGTACAAAAATGAATATATTCTTTGCCAATCATAATACTGGTGTGTTGCCTCCCGTATCAATCCTGGCTCTCATCATATATCGGTTTGATGTGTCACAGTGGAAAGGAGCAAATAATGATATCAATATTTCAAGCGTACAAAAACTACCCATACATATCATGAAGGCAAGAATTTTATGGATGTCATATATAAACTTCGAAACGTCGTGTCCATCACAATAACGAAGTTGACATCCATAAAATCCTTGCCTTTATGGGTATCACGTCTAAATGCCATTCAAAGACTCAATACATATCGGGGCAGTGGGGTAGCCTAATGGTTAAAGCGTTGGCTCGTCACGCCGAAGACCCGGGTTCGAATCCACGCATGGGCACAATGTGTGAAGCCCATTTCTGGTGTCCCCCGCCGTGATGTTGCTGGAATATTGCTAAAAGCGGCGTAAAACCAAACTCAGTCAGTCAGTCAGTCAATACATATCATGATCCTAATGTAACATTTAGTTAGTATTAGTTCTTTTCACGACCTTCCTCTGATCCAGTCATATGGCTTGGTGACTCCACCAGTCCCCGAAGCCTGTAAATAGTGTAAATAGTTGACAACTCACATTGTAGAACGTCATGACGGCTCCCTTAATGTCTTTGTACAGATTCGTGACCTTGACAATCAGGTTCCGCGTGGGGCGAATAAAGGGAGGTAACTGGTCCTCGTCGATCTCGCCCATCGCTGCCATGGCCAGTGCTGATTTCTTCCCAACCTCCACCACCTGCGTGTGATAATTAATCAACGTGTGTCAGTGGTCATGGTTTAGGAGTATTTGAGCATCAATAAATGGAACGTGTACAACAGTGCCCATGCCGTCCAAGACACAGCGTCTCGCAGTCCAGAGTTACGTCCCTTAGGCGTGTCAGAATCCATTGATCCTGACCTCGAATTCCAGGTAACTAATTATGATTGTTGGGTTGTCAGAAGCATATCCAAGCTCGGTTATATTTTTGACAAATACCTGACATCACTGTGTCGCTGTGATTAAAATCGTAGGAATCGTAAAATGAACTCATAATCTTATGATTAAGGAAAATGGTTTCATTGCTTATATGGCGTCCTCCCATTACGCAGACAGGCAGTTCGCAGACGCCTTAAAACAACAACATTTATGGTTCAGTGAACAGATTAGCTACACCAGTTACCTGCACATTATAATGGAATAGTCCAAATAAAAACACAAGATTAAAACTGAAGCTATCTCATTTACTTGAGATGGCCGAAAAGACATTAATTTGAATTTTGATTGCTGCAATTTAAAAACATTTGATTTTGATAAACATTTGGGTTTAACCTTCTCGTCTAACGAAAGTTGGCATCATCTTATTGAAAACATTGTCAAATAGACATCTAAAATTAATGGAACATTTCGGAAATTAAAGTTCCTACTAAATAGAACAACATTAGCAAAAATGTATATTGTATTTACCACACATGCATGGCATCTCTTAGACCTGCGTCACTGAATGGTTCGAACATTTAGACACTGACAAGAAACATTACCTTCTAAAATATCTCATTCAGTCAAGGACCCGTTAATTACGTAGAAACCGCACTGTACACTATCGCAGAAAGAATTCTTCGTGATATATTTATCCAACCTGTCACTAATTCCACCTGCACGTCCACGCATCCACAACACCATAACGGCATAACACCACATTCACTCACTCACTGCACAACTTACCTTCTCGGGCATTTCTTCCAGCGCCTGCTTGAACTCGTCCATCATATCCCCAATGGACGGATCGCCCCTGATGATGTCTTTGAACAGGTCAACGCCTACCTCAATAGCGTCAACGACGTCGCCTTTGATTTTATCATAGAGCTCCACCAGTTTCTTAATACTGTCGATATCAAATTCCTGAAAAGTTGTCATGTTAATATTTAAAAAACCCCATCAAAAACAAACAAACAAACAAAAATGTATTGTGATGTGCATCTGACTGGACCTTGTTAAATGACTTAGTTGATATTTATACTCGTGAAGAGCCGCGTTAGAATGATCTACAACTAGGAGACTGACGGGATCGGTGAATGGACTCGATGGCTTGTTTGGCACGACATCGTATCCCAGTTACGTAGATCGGTGCTCATGATGTCATTTGAACACTGGATTGTCTGGTCCAGGCACGATTATTAACAGGCCGCGGCAATATAGCTCAGTGCAGCTTTAAACAACAAACTAGTTGATATTCAATTTCGCGTCAGAAATTTTGGTTTAATGTACAGAAACCTGCGAAAAAATACACATACTTCCACCAAAAAACTGCGTGCGCTTAATTCATTTAATATGTTCCTTCCATCATCAATCGTCTCATAGCCTACTAGTATTTAACCAACACCCACCAGTACCAAACAAAAGTCTCACTGAATAGATGTGACGATAACCGATGACGTCTAAATGGTTTTCAAAACATTATGGTGCAATTCATTGGAGTGATGTACCCAAGCAGAAATCAAATGATCGCAGCCAAGCAATGTATGCAAGTCAGTTTGGGGATGCTGAGAACCAGTAGCTGTGTACCTGCAGCAGGTTAAGATTGTAGGAGGCGCTGCCCTTGAAACACAGCCTTGCCCTGAAGAAGTCGACGTTTTGTCCCAGAACTCCAAGATGAACCATCGCGTATGCTTCATCGTAGACAGTTAACTTAGCGTGGCCGTCCAGGGGAGCTGAACACGAAAGTGGATATGAGAGAGTAATTAACAGGTGCATTCAAAGGTTTATTTGATGTTCAACTTGCCATTTGTTTTAGGTTGGGCGACCAACAAACAACAAACGAGACCATACAACGTTATCATTTCGAATCTGACCTGCGGATCCAAAGGAAGGTAACTCTGCAGTGTCCACAGAGCCACCAGTACTGCAATAAGAGGTGGAATCAGTGACGCAGGTAGTGACCATTTTATTAACACGACAAGCATGTGTACGGTGGTCATCGACCATGGGTCTTTATTGAATTTGGGTTCAAACACGAACAGCAAATCCTCTACCACAAAACGCTACATAGCAAATTGCAGCAAGTTAAAGGTATTGGGCCAGCTGTGCAAATGTAATCTGCAGAATATCTCCCATTTTGTGAACTGAACTGACATAATGTGAATAGAGGGGCGGTGGGGTGGACTAATGGTTGAAGCGTTCGCTCGTCAAGGTGAAGACCCAGGTTCGATTCCCCACATGTACACAATGTGTGAAGCCCATTTCTAGTGTCCCACGCTGTGATATTGCTGCAATATTGCTAAAAGAGGCGTAAAACTAAACTCACTCACTCATAAAGTGAACATTTTGGAATGCCACTTTACCCATACCTAATGGTTGTTTCTGTTGTCACCATGGGTACTTCTTACCTGGGTTGTGTAGCCAATAGAAACACGATGGACTGATTCAAGAGGATGGACAAGTGAATTAAATATTTGACAAGTGAATGGAACGTGAGGATAAAACTATTTCACCAAAAAGAAAAAAGAATCTATTTGATCAAGAAGAACAGAAAAACGAAACTATTTCACACGATGAAACATGAGAAACTATTTTCACCAAACGTCACCCGAGTAGCTATCTTGACCAAGCGGCACATGATAAGAAACTAGTTCGTCAAACGTCGCCGGAGCAATTAGAATGAAACTAATTCACCAAATGCTGATTCAATGATTAATGCAAACGGAAAATAAGAGAATGAAACCATTTCACTCGTGTTTTAGATGACCAATTAAAAAGGACAACACACCCAACAGTACATGTTTACTCAAACCTCCTTTGAAGCTCATGTACAAAACACTCTACTTGCCTATCTTGAAATCCAAAAGATTTTCCAGGTTGACGCCGAATGACGCTCCAATCTTAAGGGACCCAAGCAGCTTCTTCCAGTTGACACCCGGTGCCTGCAGCAGGAACTCTATAGTCTCGTCTAATATCCCTCTCTTGTGCCGGTCAAGCACCTGGATGTCCTGGGAACCGAGGCTTGGGTTCTGGTAGAAGATCGAACCGTTTACCGTTCTGGAAGGAACAAATGTTTTGCTGTGAAAAATGTTATACCTGTTACAGCTTAATCAATACACTTTCACAAGTAATTCTTGATTCTTCTGGGTGCACGTGGGTGATCTATCCGAGTACAGAGTTCCCTCTGCAAGCAATACACCCGGGTTCGATTTCCCACATGGGTACAGTGTGTGAAGCCCTTTTCTCTTGATCACCGCCGTGATATTGGAATATTCCTTAAAGCGGCGTAAAATTATACCCACTCACTGGTAAATATGTTAATAATTATGGCGTTTCACCAGTATATGTTTTAATAATTGTGGTGCTTATGCAGTGTGCACACAAGGTCGTATGTTTTGTACTTTCATAACATGAACAATTTCTTTAGATAAATACGCCGACTTCTATATAAAGAATTAACAGACAAAATTGTAGACAATAACATAGGTTCGGCCTAAACCACCCTATTATCAGCCGATAAGAAAATCCTTTTTCGGTTTATACGAGAAATGTCATGAAATGGCCTTCAGTTTATTTATAGAGAAAACAACATTGTTCAAATCGACGTAAATGCAACCGACTCACTCACTCACTCATAATACCTACCCTTGTTTGATGTAGCTGGCTGCAACACTTGCCGCCCTCGGATGTGCCTGGTATTGTAGAAGGGCTTCAAACCGTACTTTATCATCTTCATCATACAAGGCTGTCTTCATCATCAGGTGCACTGCCTGTAGACAAATAAACACATGTAATGTCAAGAAAGAAGACAATCATACCCTGAAGATCCAGGTTAGAATTGACTTCAACAACACGTGGTCGTTGTCGTGATGAGGTGACTACGAGATCGGGTGGCCAGGCTTGCTGACATCGTACCCCATCTATCGATTCTCATAATGTCAATCACTGAATTGTCTGGTCCCTATCCAATTATAAGCAATCGAAATGACACATTTGACACATCCCGTGAAGATCCGGGTTAGAATTAGTTTTCAGCAACCAATCGGAAGAGGCGACTAACGGGATCAGATGGCCAGGCTCCCTAATATATTTCCCAGTCGTGTAGATCGATGCTCATGGTGTCAATCACTTGATTGTCTGGTCGAGACTTGATTATTAATTTACTGCTACCATATGGCTGGGATATCGCTTACACCAACAAAAGAAAACCCCAACAAACAAACTTAACTGAATCTTAAATTGATATCGGTGTCGTCGTACCATCGATCTAATATCTGAACAAAACCCAAAGTTACCTGTAAACCGTATTTTTAATCAATTTCTGGCTAGCGACATGAGATAAACTTACTGCATCATGATCATATTTCCTCATCGCGTGTATTCCCGCCCTTTTCACCCACTGAGAATTGGTGTCATTGACATGTGACACAATGTAGTCGTATGATTGGTCGAGTCCGGCGTTGCCGAGGGATTCAAGAAGAACCACGCGCCAATGATCATATGTCAACATTTGCTTCTCTGTCATCAGCGCGCGCTTGTGTCGGTACAGCCAGGGATCTGTGAGAAAATAAAATGAAAACGCACTGATAACCTCATTTTGAAAAATCCAAACTCCAAACTCCAAAAAGTTTAAATTAGCAAAATCTTCCACTGATGCTGATCTATTATAACTGAAATGATAACGCGAAACTACTGTGATGCCGCCGAGCTACTGTTGCTGTTATACAGCGGACGTACCGCGAACGTAAGGCGGAGATGTTGCGAAAATTTTGCGAACAAATTAAAAAATGCTCCGTGTACGAAACGTTACATGTGCACCAACAAAGAATTATTATTTCTTTCATCATTGTGATAATCTCGAGCTCTTAAACATATAATTATCAAATACTCATAAGAATTATGAAAAACGACCCATTTCATTTTAATCACGACTTTCGATGACAGTTTGTTTGTGGTCTGTATTAACATGTAACATGCTATTACTTACCAACATTTCACACTGGATGAAATATGTATAATGTATTTCCGTACCATGCATACTCGGGGCGGTGGGGTAACCCAGTGGTTACAGCGTTTGCTCGTAACGCCTAAGACCCAAGTTTGATTCCACACATAGGGAATATTATCATGCCCATTTCCGGAGTCCCCTGCCGTGGTATTGCTCAAATATTGCTGAAAGCGGCGTAAAACCACACTCACTAACTCACTCACCATGCAAACCCAGCCAGGATTCAATTTTCCCCACTATTTGCGACGCTTCCTGTTTTCTCCCAACGGCCCACAGCCGCTTAGCAACCACGCCAACGGCCAACACAATACGGTGATGCGTCTCCGTGTCTTGAAGCTCGGAAGGGGAGTGGTCAGGCCGGAAACACAACTCCTCAAGTTTGATGATAATATCCTGTAATAGTGAACATGCCCTTGAATGTAACTTTGGCTATCCCCAATGATTGGGCGTACTTAAGTACTGCCGGGTTTGTCCGCCGATCTCTACGCTCAGTATTATTATACTACCCATCAAAAGTTTAGACTCATTTTAAGCACTCACTATGGTTATATATATGGTTACATCGACGATGAATTTCTCCACTAACTTGGGGGAACCAACTGCAAACCTTATGCAAATAAATTGTACGAGGATCATGCATCAAATTGCTGTAAAGCATATGAAAATATCGAGTATGTGAACAGCTGCGTTTTGGTTTATAGGTTTGTTAAGAATTTGCCAATTTTTACCAAGTCTCATCATTTATTGAACTCATGACAACAATCTTTTCAACGTTACGAATTTATTTTACAATACATCAGTTCATGTGTAAACAGTACCTTTAAACAGTATGGAATATCTTGCGAAAGCTAGCTTAGAACAGTTGACTGAAGTAAGTGGCTACATTTACACTAGTGAGTCTAAACGTTTGATGGGTAGTATATACGGCCCCTTCGTATTCATATATACATGTGGAGGAAAGATTGGGTATAAGAGCAAGGTTATGTTTCACGGAAGTAGAGATACGTAATAACAATGATTAAGAATATAATATATCATTCAATTTTTTTAATAAATATTGATTTTGACGTATCATCATCATCACTATCATCACCATCATCATCGTCGTTGGGGTATTCGTTATAAATATATTTACCTGCACCTAGATTCCAAGTTAAGACATGTATTCAAGATCAGGACATATGTTTCTTGCAAATTTTATATTTTTCAACATGGATGGGTTTTGAAAATAATAGTCATTAAGCGTACGCAAAATACGTACGTCAATGGGTGGTGTTTCCATGGTAACAATATGCATGAGGAGTCTCTTGACAAGGAAGGCGTTTGGTCTGGTAACGTTGAGGACGGTATCCAGGAGTAATCGCTGAGAGTGGACAGTATTCATCGCAGCAATGGCGTCAAACATGTGGTTCCGGTCTTTGACGTCATGTGGGTGTCTGGAACAAGACGAAGGCCTTAGGCTTTGCCGTGGGTTCGAATCCCGAATTTGTCTGAAGTATTACCCTAGGTATGTCAACTCATGGTCGTGGGTTCCACGGGGACACAGAGAGTCTCGGAGTTGCGTCCCTTGGGTACACCAGAAACCAATAATCGTAATCTCAAACCACCCCGGTTCGACCCGATTATGTTTCTAGGTCGGCTCTATACCAGTGCTCGTGGGTTTCAGCAAAGCGATAAATGTCTGAGACCCGCATAACGTTGGACTTTCCTTCCACATTTACTGGAGTACTGTTAAAAGTGGCGCTAAACCCAACTCACTCACTCACTCCCTCGAGGGTAAGACAAAGGTGGCTGACATCTATGATATGAGACGATGGGATTTCCTTGCCCTTCAAACTGACATAATGTTCAAAGCGTCGGAAAGAAGCAACATTCTAATTATCTGAGGTTGATAATATGAGTGACAGATGTTAACATGCGAGGACAGATTAGCTCGACTTAGTATTGTCTTACCTGGGCTTTGGCGTGAAATATTTCTTGGCAAGCATGTCGATGTAGTCATCAGGCAACACCTTGAGACAGGCCAGGACTCCCATAAAACACTGCGTGAGTCGCTTAGATCCTAGAAAGGTTTGGCGCAAGGTAATAATACATCTCAACTCGAAATCTGGGCGCTTCAAGCGCTAACATTTCATTTTGTGTTCAATGTAATCATATGGCATAAAATCGACTAAATTCTTTCGATAATCATGCAGAGTACAACTTGATCTATTTGTGAGTTAACGACATCATTCATATTTTATTTAAATTAGTTTTAGGTCTTTTTGTGGTGCAAACGGGAAGGTCTTACGATTAAGGTCAGGTACTATAGGATGGGTCTTACAATGTATATGTATTGTACAGGATATAGAATGACAACCGAAAGTTAGAACACATCTTTCGATATTTTCGTGTGTGTGTGGGTGTGCGTGTCCGGGTATATTTCACCGAAATATCACCGTAGTTGATGATTAGGGCGGGGATGGTTTTGTGGTGCGTATTGTAAGGGCGCGGGTAGATACTAATTTTCGTAACTTTGGCAACAAACATTATTTCTCATGCAGAAACACTGACGTAATTTATAGATTAAAGAAATGATTGAAAACATGTTTTCTTGTTTCTATCGGAAATAATATAACAACAAAATATGGGGCAATAATTAACAAATCATCTGAAATCTATACATATATATATATATATTATACACATATATATATAGGATAGTGTTATAGCTTGTGACTGTTGATTACCTACCCTTTTGTGGTTCGTTACGCATGCAGGTCAAATTGGAGGTGATATATTTCATTTCGTCTTTTACCACCACTGTATTCGGTTTCTTGCGACTGACCTGGCACAAAGAGAAAAAACGTTTACTTCCTGGCTCGCCCACACGTATCTTAGCATCCACCGGTGGTGGTTGGATCTATTCACATGAACTCTTCCTTGAATAATTTATAACTCCTTAGCTTATGTCCGCTCTGGGAAAACGGATGGTTGCCTTAGACTCCACAGTATGCTGTGCAGAGTTGCGTCCCTTGGGTGCCCCTGAACAGAATGATCGTGAGTTCGAATCCCGGTTTGCCCTCATTTCCATTCTAGTTTATATCACCAGACCCGTGCAGGTGGGTTCAACCACAGTAGTAGACGTCTGGGACATGCGTTACTCCGGGCTTTCCTCCCACATTAAGCTGACACGCCCTGACATAACGGGAATATTCTTCCTAGTGATTATATTGGATGCTCATTCACTTACCATTAAGGGGCGTTGGGATAGCCTAGTGGTAAAAGCGTTCGCTCATCACGCCGAAAACCCGGGTTCGATTTTAGTGAAAGGGATATCTATATTGTTTTCGGAGAATTTGGGAGATATCTTATCTATATGTGAACAGTCAAACTCTCTTCGATGCCAGAGTCCAGGGCGGTGGGTAGCCTAGTGGTTAAAGCGTTCGCTCATCACGCCGAAAACCCGGGTTCGATTCCCCACATGGGTACAATGTGTGAAGCCCATTTCTGGTGTTCCCCGCCGTGATGTTGCTGTAATATTGCTAAAAGCGGCGTAAAACCCAACTCACTCCCTCACTTACTTACCATTTAGACTCCTATCTTTCAATAGGTGTTTAATGTACACTAGAAACAAGCATACCAAATACGTTTATAACGTCATCGTACATACCATATCGAACACGTGAAGCTATGATTACTTTCGCATCGCATCTCTTACACTTAATGATAGAACGTGTGTTAAAATGAAATTACTAGCAAAGATGAAGAAGAAGGAAGAATGGTGTTCAACATCAAATTGACTTAATTGTTGGGAGGGTGGTCTATATGAGGGATGGCTTTTCTTCTGGTAGATACATCGGCTGGGTCAGTATTACACTCAGTTTCATATACTCATATTACTTGAACTAATACCTTAAAGCTCACTGAAGCAAATGCCCATCTTGTGTAGATGGCCACGTTTTAAGGCGATGGAGTCCAATATTAAATTGGTCGTGTTTATTAACAATGTGATGATCCAGGAAAGGAGACTGGGTCTTTTGAATTACAATAAATACTATGGCAAACTTCCCAGTCATCCTTCAGTTGTCGTATTGACAACAGAAATGATTCACACCTGTAAACGTCTACATACATTGTCTTTGAATGTTTTGTGACAAATCCACCATGCTGGACAAGGATATCATGAAATTGCATCAACCTATTGGCAGAAAACATATTTCGTGCTCCCAGAGCAACTTCCATATTGAAAGTTCAACATTGAATAAATGAGTTCACTGTAAAAGTTAGTTGGTTGGGTACTTTCTTTTGTACCTCAGTATAGCATGGTGATCGAGGGTGAAATTCACACTACCTTGTCAATGGATATGGATGATCTTGTGGTGGCGTCAGCCGGTCTCGAGGGAACATGGCGGAGTTTGTATCGTGTGAGAAACTCCAACTTCCCCGTTCCAAGGGCAGATAACTCAGGATATTCTGTAATTCAGGTGTTAAATATAGGATTAAAAAGCGATGGATGTAACGAACATTCGTAGCGATGGCAACTTTGTATGTCTTTCTTGTATGTCTTTCTTGTTTGCAGCTCTCCGTATAAAGAATAAATATGTATCAAGCTTAAAACATCTTGTGTGCTGAGAATAAATAATAATTTTTTTTCTCTTGCTAGTGCTCACCTTTCAATATCCGACAAAAAATTCAATTCATTTCGTTTTGGGGCAGTTCAGAAAGTTAGATGATTATAAATAGAATTCTTTGTTTGAGACAATCCACTGTGCATCCCTTTGGCCTCTATTTTAAAATGTTGCAGCTTTGAACTGATTCTAAAAACGCTGGTCATGTCCATGTCTTTTCGAGTAATCAAGCTGATGCTTCTGTATTTGAATCTTTTTTTTCTAACGTAAAACAACTGTTAACGCTTCCCATTATGATTCTGGAACCCATTTGTCAAGAAACTCTCCGTGTTGTGGCAAGTAAATGGTATTTATGAACTTCCCCATGCTCTTTTCATGGGTATATACTATACTAATAAAGAAAATGCAAGTAATAATGTGTTGTTTCTGCTTTGTTATTAGTTCATAGTATAAGAAATACACAGCTGAAAAGAAGAAAACAAACTATTGTCGTCATGTGGAAACGAAACAGGTTTGCTTGGCTGAAACTGCAAAATGGCGGTGGAAGATGGACTGGTTTATTCTCTTTTGTAGCATTAACCAGGTCCCCCAAATTGAAATATTGCCAACTCACCTAGATTTGTAAACTCGTTCACTGCTTTCACAGGCCTGGAGTTTTCGAATGGCTCATACCTGAAGTCAGAAGCAAAACAATATGATCAGGAAACAAACGCCCGATTAAGTGGATGTCTCATGTGACCGTGGTGTCTAGTCAGGCATGGCAGATACATAGTTGGTAATGTATCTATGCATGATTGAGTAGTCTAAAAGCATTATTTTCAGAAGTTTTCCAGCGGCAACGTGCGAGCATCGAGACTTAATTTTAATCCAATTGAACCAGTGGTTGATAGCATGAACAATGCTACCTGTCAGGTGTGACGACACACGGTTATTTGGGGTCACCTGTTGTCCCACATTTATGGTGTATTGGTTATCACAATGTTATCTAAACATGTAATAAAACTACATTGACACCATTTATATGGGTTAGAGTTGATCTTCAGTAACCCATGTTTGTTATAAGAGGTGACTAACGGGATCGGGTTGTCAGGATATCGGACCCCAATTGCGTAGATCGATGCTCATGCTGTTGATCACGGGATTTTCTGGCCTCGATTATTTACAGACCGACGCCATATAGCAGTAATATTGTTAAGTGCTCACTCACTCACTTATGTGGCGTATATCAAAGTATATACAGAGCCAAGCCACTCACCCATCCTGGACTTTATGCATGACCTTGAACGTCTCGTTGATCTCCACTGAGTGAATGTTGCCCAGATCCTTGCTATAGTATAGAGTCTGGGAAATAGATACATAATCATAAACTGGAGGATAAATGACAGTATGCGCCCATGTTATTCCATGGTAATACATTTAATACAGCTATCGTTGTTGTTTGTCCTGAAGTTTGCAGTGTTTCGGCGAATGTTTTTTATCTCTTAACGTTTCCATCACGTGTGTAATTGTACGGTAAATAATCTACTTTCGATTGCCCGGCAAGTGATATCACTATTGTTTATTTGTAAACAGACAATGTTAATCACATATTTACAAATGTTTCGTGTTACTGAATGCGGCAAAACGGTATTTTCACAGGTTCTGATTGTACCTTTTTCAACCCTGTACATCGTTACTTGATTAGGATAGTGATAGCAAGGGGGCGGAAAACATCATTCACTCGGGTGAAATATGTTTTAAATCCTTCATAGGTAGTCAGTTATTAGGGATGTGCGCTCGTGTGTCTGTCTATACGGTTGCGTCTTTGTGTTATTTGCTCCGTCATATATGCGCTGGGGTGCGACAAGGAGGACATATTTTGCCTATTTTATCCTCATTATATTTAATATGATTCTCACCGTAACTGTCAAGGCGTAACATTTGATTCTGACTCGCTTGACACTATGCTTGACTAGTCAGTGAGTCTCTTTGTGCCTTTATGCCCGGCACTTTATTGCCATTATACTGACCGAAACTGCCATGGCGTGAGACTTTCGGGGTCACTATATCCAATGCTTTACTGATCTCTTTGAGCATTTATGTCCAGAAGAATGCATCCGTAGATATTGCAAGTTAAATGTTAATGTACTTCTTTGAGTGGCATTTAGAAGCTGCTGTGATGAACAAGGGGTATGGCTCTATGAATATAGACTGCTTGATAACGGTGTTGGAATCTACAGCATATGTTGTAATTATGAAGTTGTATATCCATAGAACTACCCCCGTGTTAAAATACCAATGTAATACGACTTAATTTGAATAAATCGTGTACAGTTCCGTTCGTATTGCTGAAAAATCCTTGTGATGGGATGATGGCGACCCATTTAGGAAAGGTTCATCGTTTTGAACACTGAAACCCCTTAAAAACGGACACTCCTTTGATTGACATCCTACTTGGTCGGATGAAGGCTGATCTGACGTGACTTCTAATAACATATTCTTTTTTAGGGTGGAAGTAATCATGGGTGAGAGTGCAACGCTCTCGTCATTCGTCACAACTCGTCCCTTTCCGTAACCTCCGGAAAAAACACGAGTGGGGCACGAATGCGTACTCGTGTTCGAAGTGTGACCCTCACCTTGGTGTACTCGGAAGACGCATGTTTGACTGGGTGACCTTTCGGATGTCGTGTCTTGGTGAATACATGCCCTTCTTTGCTTGGACGAACATTATACGAGGCCTGGTGAACACCTGTTTGAAATACATGGCTAATATCGTGACAGGTGTTACGATTTTAAATAATCATTTTGTTATATAATAAAATAATAAATGAGTGCATTTCCGTGAAACAAAATACAAATAGCATGAACACCTATGGAAATCGTATTGTTCGCTATATCAAGACGGCGTTTACATGATGTAGTCTTGTCCAGAGAAACTGATGGTTTACATCACGAAGAACGTCGTAGCGTTTGGGTTCAGTAATACTCATCACATATTACAGTCAACTGTTCCTTATTTTGGTCGGGTCGTGCAACGTGCATGGAAGTACATGTACCCATTTATCATGGAGTCCCCGCAGTGAGTCATGCATGTGGAACATGAATACCAAAGGGGAATAGTCATCGGGTGCTTGGGACCTCTTTGAACGGGAATACCCAAACGGAGATAAAATGTAAGGAACTCGGGACCTCTCAGACCAGGAATACCCAAAGGGAGACAATCGTAGGGTACTTGGGACCAGTTTGCCAAGGAATACCAAAAGGGGGATAATCACAGTGTATTAGGGGTCTATCTTCCCAGGAATACCCAAAGGGAGAATATCATAGGGTACTTGGGAGCTATGCGATCTGGAATATCCAAAGGGAGACAAACGTGTGGAACGTGTGGATTGATTAGGTCGGGTTCGTTGACCTTGGTCGATACTTTATCATCATTTCCCAACTGCATAGATCGATGTTATTACGTCATACAGCTGTATTATTGCTGCATGCAGGTTTTAACAACACATTTTCGTTATTTGGAGATTCCTAGGCTTGTATATGTTACACTGACTGACTGAGTTTGGTTTTACGCCACTTTTAGCAATATTCCAGCAACATCACGGCGGGGGACACCAGAAATGGGCTTCACACATTGTACCCATGTGGGGAATCGAACCCGGGTCTTCGGCGTGATGAGCCAACGCTTTAACCACTAGGCTACCCCACCGCCCCTTGTATATGTTACAGTCAGATTGTGAAATCAGTCATTTTACGTTATGACTAAAAATTTCAGTCATTTCGTGAAATTACTAAGAGGATCAGCCATTTCGCTATTGACTATATAAATAGGTATGGACGTTTCCATCAAATTTGATGTAAATGTGCTTGATAACGATTGCCAATGTTCGTGATGCACGAAACAAATCGCCAAAACGCATTTTGTGGCCCCGACTCTCAGAAACACGAAACACATGTCTTAGTCGGATACATGGGAGAGATCGTGCGCACAATCAGTATAAATGGCCTGTCCAACACTGCAATATCACTGCACTTAAAGTCACACAGAGAGAATGCCAAGGATAACCCAGGAAGAAAGAGAACGAGCAGTAGGGCTAGTTGAATGGCTGACCCTCTTAGTTATTTCATCTGACTGTAACATATATACTTTGTAAATGATGATATAAAAAATTGAACTGAATATTTCCCGAGATAAGTATTTAATTCAAGGTCGCCAAATCTGATTGCATACACAAACATCAGTCGTGACTGCCTCTGTCAGCCTTAATTTCCAGTCACGTGACTATTGACGTACCTTCTTGTCCTGTCTCTTGAACGCTGTACCGCCAGCCCACCTCAGTTCTCCGGGAAACTTTCTGTATAGAGAATACATTCATACCTCGTTATAACGCCATTTTAGATCCGCTCGTGTTAAGGAAAAGTTACATTTAGGACTTTTAAAAGGGTTAGTTAATAAAGCCCAAAGTATATGAAATACTCCCTTTCTGTCATTGTCTATGACAGCATATGGATGTTCTTTATAAAGACTTCACATTTTGATAACAAACTTGAAATTCGAAGCCACACCCGTTATTATTTAACTTTCACCTGTCAGCGATGTGTTTGTCATAGCGCAAACTTAAATAAGAAGCAAACCACATTTCACTTGCAGTGTTTCTGCAATGCTAAAGCCCTAAATGAAAAGGTATAGTTGTCTTCAGGTTCAGGATCACCCATCTCACTGGGGCTCCTTTTCAATTTACATGGAATTATTTGTTTCTACAAACGTAATATATATTCAGAGGCTAAGCATTAGTCTAACCTATACCCTTCAGTGGTGCAGTGGAAAAAAGTGTCTCACGGAGAACGGAAGGTTGTGGGTTCGATCCCCGGTCGTGTCATACCGAAAGACATATAACGATAATGCTTGTTGTAACACTGACTGACTCTGGGTATAAAGTTTCCCTGAACCAGTATATGGCGGTCTCGGTATACTGTGTCAGAGTGGGGTTTCCATGTTTAACTGGGGGCATGGTACATAAATCACTTGGTCAAATACCCGCGTCTTTCCGGTCTAGTACAAAAGCTTGGCGAACTGTGGTCACCTGATGAGTGAACTGTGTTAAATGAGTGTCATGAACGTAAATATTTACTCAATTTATAAGAGTACTCTGATTGAAATCAATAAGTTTGGTGAATTTGTGAATAATTACTTAATTTATTAGATGACTTTGATTAAAAGCAATGAATGGGGCTCTAAAAAAGACTGACAGCTTCAGTTAACAAGTCAAAATGGCAACCGTCAATGTTCAGATACCGTTCTTTCCAATATCTAATGGTTGGGGAATATTAGTTCATGCGGGTTTTCAACACACCACAAAAGAACAATTACAAAGATACTGGGGATGTAAGCAGCTGCAGCATGCACAGGGTTGTCCAGCAACCTTAAACACAAAGAATGATCTCTCTATCAAATTTGGAGGACCACACAATCATCACTCTGACCATCAAGACATTCAGTCTCAGGTACACATCTTGATACAGACTATAACTAATCCCTTTTAGAAATTCCAATTTAGAGATTAGTCACACCCTGTTGCACAATCCAGTTTTGAGCTGGTTGAGACCAAACCATCGAGTGAATACATACATTCAACCAGAGTTAGTTACATCACAGGACACACACACAAATACATCAAGGTCACGACATCTCACCTCTGACTCGTGGTGCAGTCGACCAGCAAACAAAGCCGCGAGGCCCTTCTTGATGGCGACTGCCTCATCATCGTCGTGTGCAGGGTGATAGACGTGGACGATCTCCCCATGGGGTGTAATTACAAACGAAAACCTGTTTAACAAAATATCTTAATTCACAATCAAATGGGAACACAGACTGTCCTGCAGTGGGTGACGTTTTCTTATTAATGTTTTTGAAATATCTTTTTACCATTTGCTGTAACAAGGGGACGTAATTTTGTGTTGTAATGAGTGAGTGAGTGGGTGAGTGTGGTTGTACGCCGCTTGTAACAATATTCCAGCAATATCACGGCGGGGAACACCAGAAATGGGCTTCACACATTGTACCCATAGGGGCATCGAACCCAGGTTTTCAGCGTGACAAGCGGACGCTTTAACCACTAGGCTACCCCACCACCCTTTTGTGTTGTAATGGGTTACGTCCTGCCACAACCACGGTGACCGCTGTACAGGGGAACCTTTTAATCCACACACTATCGTTCCTAAGAATTCCGGATCGACACATTTTCAGATTAGCGAATTATTTGTAAGTGATCAGGTTGCATGGACTACGCAACGATATTCCCAACAGTATCCGCACGGGAGGCCGGTCTCCGGGCTGACAGAGTCCCGATTGAAGAGTGTAGTTCAGTGTAGTGTAAACAATGGAAAGAAAATAAACCGCTTACCATCTCGAAAAATCCCAGTCATGTCCAACCACGTCTGAAAGAGTAAGATCCGTATAATAAGGATATCATCAAAGTCACAAGACTTGCTTATTTTAGAATATTTTGTATAATTGGTTATCAATATTTCTCTTTTATGTAAAATTCAGAAAAAAAACGTACCTTGTGATTTTTTTGTGTTGAGGGACAAGGTGTAAACCCTCAGTGACACTTCCTGCCCTTCATCGTCTTCCCTGATGTTCGTGTACCCGACCTGGAACAGAGGTCAAGTTGGTCAGTGGAAAATGTAATTGTTACGTATGGTTATCTTGTCATGGACGTCAATTGTAATATCATAAAAAACCCAACTCGTTGACATATTTCCTTCCGATGTTTCTCACCTCATTTTATGCGTACCCAATTACAAAACGTCAACGCCAGAGCTGAGTGGTTAAAGCGTCGCTCGTCACGCAGAAGACCCATGTTCGATTCCCCACATGGGTACAATTTCTGGTGTCCCCCATAAATTATAACCCTAATCTGATTGTAAACTCGCGCAAGCAACCTGCTTATCTGAAGTGACACGACTTTTACACCAAGCCTTAGGTTGAAAGAGATTACACGCAATAATACCTATAAACCCAAGAATGGGGATCGTGTGAGCACAATGGCTGCTGACAGGGAGATAATTCGATGAGTGAGTTTAGTTTTATGCCGCACTATTCAGTGCAACTGATTCCAGCTATAAGGCGGCAGTCTGTAAATAATCGAGTCTGGGCCAGACAATCTAGTGATCAACAGCATGATCATCGATCTACGCAATTTGGACACGATGACATACTTCGATGAGAAAATCACCATCAGCCACGAGTCAGGACATTATCGTTAACACGTGTGTATGTTCCAGGTTCAGATACCAGAGTCTGTATATCTATTGCCATGTCTTGAACACATTACCCACGATTATGTCCGGCTTCATTAAAGAATTGCCGGGCTGTTTTTCCATATACCTTTAACTATGTTGAAACGCCCGACAACTCGAATATTCTTTAATTCATATGCAAATTAGATTCTTTATTGAAATGTCGCTCTTCGCAAATCTTTTGACACCAGGAAGGCGTAAAACCGTAGAACTATGTCATTATTCAGGGGATGCAGAATTGCAGTGGCATGTTTCTATAGCGCAACTGAAAAACCCCAGCACAAATATATTTTTGTCGCGTATTAGAAAGATGAAATGCTGTCAAGTAGCTAATAGTGACTCACCAACTTCTAGACTGCCGATCAAACAATTAGCTAATAGTGTTTTGACACATTCTAGAAAGAGCTGGCATTAAACGAACCTTTTCAACACTCGCCTTAATAACACATTAAACCATTTGTCCAAAACCCGGATACAATTCTCACACAAATATATCTCATCTCCTTTTTGATCCGCCGGGCTTGGCTCTTTAAGTCAACCATGGCCGTACAAGTGAACAATCGCCTAACACAAAAACTGTAGGGCATTTGGAGGAACACACCCATGTCGATAGGAATGAAAGAAATAAAAAGAAGTTATTCAGAAGTGAAGTATTTGACATGGGTATCATTGTTATCTTATTGTATTGTTTTGGCGTCTCCTTTCCGCCGTCGTGATAACGTTATAATTCAAGTTTGTATTTCCTTTTGTCAACTGTAGAAACAACTCAGCTCCAAAAGTAACAAAACGGATTGAACATGGACAGTTGTACCTTCTATTGAAGTTGTAGCACTCCCACAGTCAGGGGTGCAGTGGATTAGCCTAGTGGTTAAAGCGTTCCCTCTTCACGCTGAAGACCCGGGTTCGATTCCCCACTTGGGAACAATGTGCGAAGCCCATTTCTGGTTTTCCCCGCCGTGATATTGCTGGAATATTGCTAAAATCGGCGTAAAATCTAACTCACTCCCACAGTCAGGCTTCAATAAACAATAAATACTTTCTCCGCCTTCTTAAGTCAGTTATATTACTGCAGATATTTCTCATGTGTTCGTTTTGGTTAACGTTTAATAAATATACATTTAGAGGCTGAAGCAGTGATCCATGTCCCATTTCACGCGACAATGGCCCACCCTCCAACACGGAAGTTTGTGACATACGACCTCCATTACCGTATGTTCACTGTAAATATAAGATGCTGTTACAAAGAAAACAGCAATCCCCGGGGCCTGTCCCTTTGTCAGTACTACATAACGCTCGGGACACTCACGTTATCCGTCATCAATCCTTGCGGCTACCAATCATTATCCAACGCCCACAAAATGTTTGTCGGGTCAAGCATGACACGTGTTTTTAGTTGCCGAACCCGGATCTTACAGGGTGTTAAACCATTTAATGCATCACCTTTCTTCAAGCGTTATTGTGATTAATATAACACGGTAAATCATTATTACACCTATGTAAAGTTAAGTATTATTGTTTCATTATCTGGTATATTGTATGTCATGGTACCCTACGACGTGGACTGATGCTCATGCTATCGATCACTTGTTTCCTGGGCTAAAACTCGACTATTTATAGCCTGAAAATGCAGAAATGCAAATGCGGAGTGAAATGACATAATTGATATTATCTTAACCTATCTGTTCTGGTTTTGTCTGTTGTCGAACGTCATAATCAGCAATGCTCAAACAAAATGACGGCGGTCACGTGAACAAGACATACCGGTGATGGATATTATGATCATCAATCCATGACGACGGTATACGATGACACGTCATCAACCACGTCACCGAGGCGACCTCGCCAGCCATCAGGTCGCCTCTTACGACCCGGATACGTCTGTTAGTGACCTACCCTAACCCATTATCCCCACAGGACCATTAAATGCCACATAGAAATCGTATGAGCAAACATGCCCCCCAAGAGACTCGGCGCTTACAAATACGTGACAGAAGCCAAGAATACAGTTGGCCGACATTTCATTCGTTACATTAAACATTATCAGTCACGACAACAAATAAACAAGCAAATGCCAGCCACACAAGTCCCCTACCATCGCCCTATACAGCCCTCATAGGACCGACTGAGCTCATACAGATATAGTACAATACATCTTTAACGTCCAATCAAGTGTGGCATATTAATTTAAAGCTCTTTTGCTACAATGAGATTCTCAGTAAGGGCATCAATCGAACGTTTCTTTTAGAAAAGCGGTCAGCGACCGACTTGGCTTTTGTTAAAGCTGGATCTATGTATACTGAGGGTGCGCCGACATGGATTTCTGATGTATAATAGACATCTCAAGAAACGTTATAGAGCTTGCATTGTTGTATATTAATAAGGTGACTCTATTTTGACATGAATGTAAGTGCATGTAAGTCAGTATCGTTTATACATGAAGGGTCGTTGACCTGTTGACACTGCTTGTCAATGATAACACTGTTTAATGATAACATATTTCTCGTCAAGTGTGTTGTAAGTGACTTGACTCAAGTGAGACATGCTGGTGTTACTCTTAAGTCGGAATCAAGTCTCACTTTAACATTGATAGCCACATCCACGACATATATGATAGATATAACTACGGAGTTATAGAAATAAGCGAAACGGTTTTTTTAAAGTTTCCACAATCATAAAAAATCTGCTATAATCAGAAATCCGCCTAAATCACGAGCACCTGTTTACGAACCACCGTTTCATAATGTTCATACAAGGTGTTCGTGATAAAGTGAGCGTAACTTGCGACACTGTGGCACCCGTCAAAACACATGCAAAGGCAAAGGAAGTTTTAAAAAATTATAAACCTCGCAGAAACATGTGACTCAGTGACGACAGTATCTACTTCCGAGCCCGAAAGATATTTTGTACATCATCAACATCGTACGGAGATGTATCACAAATGTGTTCACATTTCTACAGACAATGCATGTCAACATTTGGTAAGGCATAGACAAAAGGTTGAAGGAAAACAACGTATTGTTAAATTGTGATAGCGACGTTTCGGCGCAGACTATAATACCGTCGCCACAGGACAGAAACGCCGCTGTTACAGCATAACAGACGTGTTATCTATTTTGTTATCCGACAGCTTCCCAGAAATGCTCAAGAAACAAATTTGCAAGTACTAGTATACTGATCCTGAGTGTTAATATCAGTCAGAACGTTTAGACTCTCACACGCCATTGTGAAAGGCAAGCGTATCCTGACCCACCGGTGGACACCGACCGCAAACACATGCAAAGGCACATCAATTGTCAGAAAACAGTACTTTTTTAACTGAAGCGTAAAATTTAGAAATGTTTCTATGGCTATGGGCGTTGTAGCCCTGGGTGCCGATGTACAAAGCAACCATAGCGCCATGTCAGTTTATGTCTATGTTAAGATATGGGGGTTACGATCACCTTAGGGCTAATATTGCTTTGTACAACTGCACCCTGCTCAAACAAACTGAATCTTTGAACAAAGGAGTCACAAAGCATTTACATGTATATAGGCGTCAAGTAACAAACCTGACCAAACTAATTATAAAGTCCAGCCCGAACATACACACATTGCATAACCCATTTACACTTTTGCATACACAATACCTTTATTTGTACAGTAAAAGTCTCCCTTATACACGAATTCTAAACGCATATTTATATACACCTTTATAGACCCTTGTTTACCTCGCTGGTGATAAGTTAATGGGAAAGCGTGTGTGCTTTTATGGCCGAGGTATCTTAATTATAGCATTACCGAAGAACTAAGTTTGCTAACATAACATTTTTTTCAGTGCATGAAGTTTCATGTTAAAGTGTTATTTGTTGTATCTACGCTGAATCTGTAAGATGATTTTGCTATTCCTAGGTGTAAATATAAACAATTACCTGCACAGGAATAAAGTTTTTCAAAATCTCAGGTTGATGGTCGGTATAAAAATAAGAATGAAATATGTTCCTTGGGCTGGTAATTTGATAAACTATCTATTTTGAAAATATGTCATTTTCTGACTTGCATAATTGTTGAAAGCGTTACCATGCATATGGGAACGCAGGCTACTTGTGGTACATGCATTTGTGCCATACACTTATCCATTTGGCTACATGAGAACACCTTTGTATATTTGTCCCTGTTTGATGTTGCTCAGTTGGGTCCAATAACACTTCCGTTAATTCCACCCTTAAGAACACCCAGTAAAGTCATAAGTTTCTAATTTGAAAAATAAACCTCCCGGAAAACAAAACATACAAAAACGTAAGCACAAATTGATAACAGAAAGATAATGTGTTATAAGGTGTGTTAAAGACCAACGACGAGGTTTTGGGAAATTGTGTGAGCTTATAAATATTTCCTATCGAAAAAGAAATTGGCAGATCCGTAAACGGGGCACTTAACACAAACAAAGCCTTAGGTCGGTTTGTGCAGTGGATCCCGACATGTTCGTTTCAAAATACAACCCGCTTTGATAGTTTTTCCTCTTTTGTTCAAGGAATACTGCCCTGAAGCTATGCCGCCTTTGTTTATTCTGTAACATAACGTAACGTAACACAGCGTGATGCTGTGACACCCAGTACAACAAGCATCACAAGGAGGCACTGAAACAATTGCTTCATTACAGACGTCACCAAGGAGATATAAATATGCTGCTATTGAGCTTTCCAACGGTGTTTTCAGTGTCGTGAACATTCATAGTTACATGTTTACTTCATACACGGAATCTCTGTCACGCTGTCACGCACACCAACACCTGAAGGTGTGGCTTTGTTGTCGCGTAACTTGTCATCTAAAGTGAGATTACTGCATGTATTTGAGTATGAAGCCTCATACACACACAGAGGAAAGAGTGAACGTTAAGACAAAACGGAAATTCATTCAAAGGAAATTTAAAAAATGAAGAGAGAATGAAATGAATAAATACATGAATATACTGTATAAACGAATGAATGAATGAATATATCAGTTAATGAATATAAATTTAAATTAACAAATATAAAATATTTAAATAATGTAGCAACGAATGCAAACTATCATAATCAAAACTGATACTGTAAGTCTTCTTCTACTACTACCTCTACTACTACCTCTACTACTACTACTACTGCTACTACTACTACTACTGCGGCTACTGCTACTGCTACTACTACCACAGTGTTCCGTCTAACGATCCATACATACAACATGTGCAGTACGTGTAAAACAGCCCCGCATCTAGGCTGAACAAGTCGCAATAGATAGGGCTGTTTTAGGACCACTGCCCTAACCTGACACCATGACCATAAATATAATCTTTAAGTAAGTGACACACACCAGTCAGGTCAGTATTTCAGGAATGCAACCACGAAGGACTAGATGACTCCGCAATGCCTAAACTAAATAGAAAGATTCAGATTCTTAGCATATTGATGAAGAGTGGTGCGCATCTGATGATCCACCTTAAACTTGCAGTAAATTATGCATGAGTGAGAAAGTATGGTTTTACACCGCTTTTAGCAATATTCCAGCAACACCACGGCGGGGATACCTGCAATGGGATTCACACCTTGCATCCATGTGGGGAATCGAACCCGGGTCTTCGGCATGACGACCGAATGCTTTAACCACAAGCCTATCCCACCGCTCCACTAAATTATGAATCAAAGACTTCATACAGAACAAAGAAACGTAAAGATGAACGTTTTCTACTTAAACATGAGTACTTGATATGAGATCAACGTGAGTAATCGATGGATAAGTTAATTATTTCATGTAATGATTGATGAACAACTCTTCGATTCGTTCTGTAGAAATATGTACATAGATATACAATTCATGAAACAATTTGCCCAAGTGACTATCATGTGTTTCTATTAACATGATAAGCACATCACAAGAGGTTCATTTCATTCAGGGGGCGATGGGGTAGCCTAGTGGTTAAAGCGTTCGCTCGTCATGCCGAGGACCCGGGTTCGATTCTCCCCGCCGCGATATTGCTGGAATATTGCTAAAAGCAACGTAAAACTAAACTCACTCACTCATTTCATTCAACGCCAGACCGGTAAGTTTGTCCAAAGCAGAAACCACTGTGCCCTTTGCCACTGTGGTCTTTTCTTCAATTATAACTTAAATGCTACTAAATATAGCGTTACACCTCAAACTTACTCTATGTCCCGTCCACTGTAAAATATGGGACTTTCAACAATGGACGTGGATTAAGGCTGCACTAGACACAGTAATTAACGGACGCTGTTTACCCCCGTGTAGAGGTCAAACAGTGACCGGCGGTGACAATTGTACAACCACGGAATCTCCAGCTTCACCTCTCAATGCCTCGAGGCGATTTCAAGGTTTCATTCTTGCTTGTGTGCCGTCTCTGGTCTGTGAGGTTCAGACTCGACTATTTACAGTCAACCGTCGTATGGCGGGTGGGTAGCGGGGTACTGTTGTTGGTGCGGATGTTCTTGCCCGTCACACTCTAAATCCTTATTTGCTTAAACACAAATCTAAACTTCCTTGTCCAAAAAGTGAGATGCATTTGGGGTCTTACCATATTTCATATTGTGTTTAACAGATAAACGGGTTTAGCTTAAACTGACTGACTGACTGAGTTTGGTTTTACGCCGCTTTTAGCAATATTCCAGCAACATCACGGCGGGGGACACCAGAATGGGCTTCACACATTGTACCTATGTGGGGGGATTCGAACCCGGGTTTTCGGCGTGACGAGCCAACGCTTTAACCACTAGGCTACCCCACCGCCCTGATAGTAACAAACAAACCCATATAAAGTGAAAACGAGCCCGAGGGAAACCAGAGTTTCTGAACCTGAGGAAATCTAGACTTGATTCATTTAGGGCTTTAGCACTGCAGAGAGGGCCATGCAGTAGGGAAAATAAAGTGGTTCAGCGACTGTGAGGCAGACTAAGTGTTTACAAGCCGGCGTCTCTCAAGGGTATGTTTTGGGTCCACTTCTTTTCATTGTGAGGTTGTTCCCGGTATTGGACAGCATCGATCCTTAACAATAGCGTGCTCCTCTACGTGGAGTCATAGACTGTGATGCACGATCAGATTTCAATTGTAATCTGTCTCGTTTTTGTCTTCGTTACGTAAACGTCTCGTATCCATACATCCGCGGTGTATGTTAATTATGTGGGCCTGGAGACCTTACGTCGTAGTTTTTGTAAATAACATTGCCGATAAAATAGATTGCTGCATTAACCTTTCCTCTAGATCGATCTTTCCATACTCATATCGAACATCTGATGTCATCACTGAAAACGATTCATGAGTCAGGTTCTCTACTTTGTCGCTCGAGAATATTTCAGCATTTATTTCGTGCAACAGAGTACGACTCGCCCCAGGGTTAAGCGCTTTCGTACAGTAATAAATCTTTCTCACCTTTGCCGATATGTGGAATTCCCCGATACTCTTCACGTCAGCCTTCGAGTTGAACTTGTACTGATATTCAAATCCCGGCACAAAGTTGATAAACCGTGCGTTGACACACACAAGAAAAGTCACAAACCCAGCTAGTATTTCATTCATAGTTGTTCGTCGGAGTCCCGACATTTTCACGGATCACAACACTAAATACCGCGTGTACATAGCCAGAGCTGGAGTGAGATGCATAAACCGTGTGTCTGTAGCTCCTGTGAGCTATTCCACTTTTCCGAGAATTCCCACTTCAATAGACCAGAAAAGTAAATACATGTCGGTTTTCATTGGCTAGCCCTCCCGGAACCTATCCTTGTGTGACGTCACGATAATAACTCGACCGTGGCAGATTTCCCTGTGTACAACTTCCAACGAACCGTATCAACTACCCCGATATAACGCTGCTCTTTATACGACATGTATTGTTTAAACAGTTAACAAGTTACAGCTAAAAGTTTGCAACCGTTCACATCATAAATTAAAATGACAAAATGTACTTTGTGAATGTCTGTTTTAGGTTTTAAGATAATTTCATTAGTAAACAAGGAAGGATTGGTTGTGTCAACCGTGAAGCTTACTGCACTGTAACGGAGACATCCGAAACATTCCGACCTGTTTACGAGGCAACCTAACGGAAACTGACAGCTCTGGTACGTTCCTGTTGATTTCCGACATCTGTCTATACATTGAGCTGTGGTTTAGAAAGTAAACACCTAAGTTTACAGGTTGAAAGTTTTACTCGTACCTTCTGATTTTGTATCTACACAAAAGGGTAAACGACACAGATTAATTAACCCAGTTTGCATTCAATTCCAACAAGACACGCGTGGCTCAATGCATGTATATTTAATGTCACATAAAACTGCGTCATATGTTTGGTGTCATTTCATTCAAGCGTAGATACATGTAAAACCAGTGAAAGACAGTAAAACCTATCAGTTTTTCATGATAAATCCATGTCTCCATGTAAAGTCTGAGAATTCTCAGAGTGAATAAAGATGTCCTACCAACCAACACTTGTCATTTTTTTAAAACTTTTGTAGGCAGAGTGGGAAGACACCATAGAATTAACCAGCTAACTAGTCAAGTTCATTTTAGCAGGGGTAGAACCGGTCAGATCGGTGTATTCACTTCCTGATCACTGGACCATATCATGTTGTTTTAACCTGTAGGCAGTATGGGAATACACCTTTTGTTCATAATTACTGAAGCAATCAGGCATGTCAAATAGCAAAACAACGGGATTACTGGGGGACCGTATCAGTATAAACCTGTGACACAAAGTTAAAACTGTTCTTTTTCAATACAGTAACATACTCAATAATACTAATTTGATAAAATACACAATTTATATCAACTATATATATACACACACACTAATACAAAAATATCAACATTTTACAAGAAAAAAGGCACTGGACTTCATGGCACTGCATGAACTACATTTAATGTTAGTACTGAAAAACATTACAATATGAGTCCAACTAAATGTGATATGGAATCAGCAAATTCCATAGATATGTCGTAATAAGATCGTTGGCAGTGTTGATGGTTGCAGGACAGCCTGCCTTACAATATCTCCAATGCACATTTGTGTGGCGTCTCTTCTGTATTCTGAACTTGTCTATCAAGGTTATGACCATCTTGCGTATTAGGAATGAACTCTAGATTTACTTGTACATAAGCCATGGTGATAGTCACTATATGTTGTTCTTATTTGCTTTATTTAACGTCACACGCACAACTAAGGTATTTCGGCGACGGGGTAGTACACTTATTACGAAATGAGGGGCAACAAAAAATAGAAATTTGGAAAGAGTGGTGTTACTAACACACACACCCCACAAACACCCAAACAAACAAACCAAAACAAACAAAAACAACAACAACCCACCAAACAAACAAACAACAACAAACAAAAAACAAAAAAACAAAAAACAAACCCAACAAACAATCCCAAAAATAAAAAAACCCCTAACAACTGAGTATTAAGGGAAATTTTAATGGGAGGCCAACAGTGACTATACATTTTCCTGTGTAAGATATAGCTGTTTACAAGATGAGTTTTAATCAGTGACATTAATTGAACATGGATATTTGGTAAGTTGATATCAATCTGACAATCTATCAGTTTGGAATCTCTCCCTAGGCCATGAGTTTAGTTCATGAGACGATCCCTTTCCTTATAACAACATCACTAATCCTAATCCTCTACAGGCTGCCTGCACTGTTCATGTCAAAGAGGGGCGGTGGGGTAGCCTAGTGGTTAAAGCGTTCGCTCGTCACGCCGAAGGCCCGGGTTCGATTCCCCACATGGGTACAATGTGTGAAGCCCATTTCTGGTGTACCCCGCCGTGATATTGCTGTAATATTGCTAAAAGCGGCGTAAAACCACACTCAGTCAGTCATGCCAAAGACCGGGAAAGTATGAAATGTTAAGCATATATTTATATCCAGAATGAGGACGTTGTCCTTCCAACCAACCTTGTGAATGTTTTAAACGTTTGCTCGATTAAGTACATGGGTACAACGTGTGAAGACCATTTCTGGTGTCCCCCGCCCTGATATTGCTGGAATATTGCTAAAAGCGGCGTTAAACGTCACTCACTGAACCTCCGGTAGATCACCTCAGTCACAGTTGCTATGTTCTGCTGTGTATTCCTGCGGACACTTAAAGCGGTCTTAATGTGTTCTACACGACTGGCACAACAACATGTTGTTTATCTATCCTCTTGCGGTGTATATCTTGATTGATCTGACTCGCTCAATGACAGAAGGTGCAAAGTTAAGAACCGTGACGATTAATTTTTAATTTCACTCAAACATATTAGAATCGCTCTGTCAGGTCCCTTCAGGCGTGGATCGACTTTAACACCTGGAAACTGGCCTGGCTGGTTTGTTGTGGCCAATAGCAATGGTGGAATGTTATCAGGGAAGGTGTATTGACAGATGTGGGCGTAAATTCGACGTATGGGTGGCGAATTGTCCTTCGTGTGTCTCTGTAGATTTGCACAACTCGACACCAGATGCATTATTTTATCCACACTGTTATTCTAATAGCATTCATGTACATCTGTATGCAGTTAGGATGGGATTAGTGTGGATTTGTTCACTATCTTGTTTATTGACGCACTCAGCAATATTCCAGATATACGGGACCCGTGAAGATCCGGGTTAGAATTGATCTTCAGTATCCCATGCTTGTCGTAAGTGGTGACTAATGGGATCGGGTGGTCAGGCTCGCTGACGTGGTTGACACATGTCATCGTATCCCAAATGCGTAGATCGGTGTTCATGCTGTTGATCACTGGATTGTCTGGACCAGAGTCGATTATTTACAGACCACTGCCATATAGCATGGTTACTGCTGAGTGCGGCGTTAAACAACAACCAACCAACCAAACAAACAACCAGATATACGGCGGCGTCCGTGATTGACATTATGAGTATCGATAATTCTTTCACATGCACCTTTAATTTTTAGGAGGGGAATATACCATCAGGTGAAAGGTGTTTGCAAGTAATAGTGATAGTTTTATAACTTTTAAAAAATGTAAGGGTTCATTTTAGGTGAGCGAAAAATATGATATATCGCCGATCTGATCTGATTTTCATCATTTGATCATAAACTGCTTGAGTCTACCTTAAACTCCAACCTACAGAAGCTGAGCTCTTGGGGAAAACTTTGGCTGGTTAAATATAATCCAAATAAAACAGAAGCTATACTATTTACCCTTAGAAAACAAAGTGATGGCATAACTTTATACTTTGATGGATGTGAAGTTAATAATGTAAATGAACATAAACACTTAGGTCTAACGTTTTCGGCAGATGGAAAATGGAATAAGCATATTGACCAAATAGTAATATCAAGTTCTAAGATGATAAACTCCATGCGCAAATTAATATTGAAGTACTTGAACAAGATTTATATTTTGTTTATCAGTCCACTTTTTGAATATGCCTGCGAGGTTTGGGATGGGTGTAATCCTGAACAGTCACTAAGATTAGAACAACTACAACTGGTGGCAGCCCGTATTGTTACTGGTTCACCAAAATATACACCACTTAAATATCTCTATTTTGAAAATGGGTGTGAAAAATTATCAGTACGTAGGGAAATAAGAAAGTTAACATTATATTATAAAATGAAATGTGGTAATGCACCCTCTTATCTAATAGATTTACTTCCTCGGACTGTTCGTGACTCTACAGCTTATGACCTTAGAAACTCTGAAAATTTTGTTGGACCATCATGTAGACGTAAACGCTCATGTCAATCTTTTATCCCAACAACTACAGTATTATGGAATAATATTCCATTAGAAAAGCAAATGTTACCATCAACAGAGACATTTAAATCATATTTGAAGAAACCTATTGTAATGGCAACATCATATTTTTCTACAGGTATCCGTAAAGAAAATATTATTCATCCTCGTTTAAGATATGTAAGTAACTTGAATTAAGATTTATTTAATGCTGGCGTTAGAAATGTGAATGTGGTAATTTATGTGAAAATGTTTATCCCTTTATGTTTGAGTGTTCCCTATATAATGAACACAGAACGAAAATGTTTAACCTTTATAATTATAAGTACTTGATGATACTGTAAATTTACATTTATTATTAAGTGGCAACAAGAGCTTACCATATACTAAAAACCAGGCAATATTTAAAGCAGTTCAGAATTACATTTTAAATAGCAAGCGTTTTTCTTGAATGCTGTAAATATTTTCATATGTGTAAATAACTATCTCTGTACATAGGTCTCTACCATTTCTGTACTATATTTCTATCTATATTACATGTATTTTGTTGTATATCTTGGATAACGTGTTCCTAATCCCTTTCTTCACTAAATAAGATATGTTTTAAATCAATCTCATCTGATCCGCCATTGAAATACTACAGGGCGATGTTTGAGTGTTTCTAGGTATTATCGTAAAAGCTTCCTTCACATACACCTTTAACTTTTATGAGGGGAATATACCTTCAGTTGAAAGGTATTTGCGAGTACTAGTGATAGTTTCATAATTTTAGAAAAATTGTTAGGGTGTATTTGGAAGATAATTTTGAAATTGAGAGAAAAGGGCAAGGGGAACTCATAAGCATTTCAATCTGAGCAGAAACACATTGAGTGAGTGAGTGAGTGAGTTAATATTTAACGTCAAATCGGCAATATCTCAGCCATATCGTGACGAAGAAAAACATTGAAACATAGTGAGAC